CCTGTAAAATGGAAGTGGTACGAATATATGAAATTTCTGCATGATATACAGGATTCTCATAAGTTAGTATATTCAAATATTATTTGAAATATGTTATTGGCATTATTTTATAAATAATTTGAAATATAATTTACCGACAAAGTTTTTTTGTTTTCTTATATTAATTTTTATTAACTACTTTCTTATGAGACGGAACAGTATATAATAAATTAGTAATATATATAATGAATTATTATTATATTTTTGTATATAAATTTTGTTTTATGTTTCAGTACTACTACTAACATTCCGAGTAGGAGCAGCGACTGTGCATCAAGTAAAATATCAGAAATCGAAGAAGTAATATTGATATATTAATGATATTTTAATGACATCATTGAATCTCCAGATGCTAAGTACCTAAATAAGAAAATAAGAAATTGTACAATCAACATTGAGAAAAAGTAAACAATCAATATGTAATTGTTTTTACTTGTTGTCAATATCATTGTTATATTAAATATCATCATATCATTGTTGTAATAATCATTGTTATATCAAGTTATTGATATAAATTTTGTACCTTAATGTACCAGATCTGTAAATATGAAACCGGAATTTACCCATAGATGACCCTAGCTGTCAATGTAGTTACCGTCAAACAGCGTCGTTGGCGCCATTTCCATTTGTTGACATCTGACAAAGATTTTCAACTCACAACAATACAAGTTTCATACAACAGCATAGTTTATAATAGCGTTGAACATGTCGAATTTTGTGCCTGGAAGCTACGATTTGCGGACAGCATTGATTTTCTGTTACCATTTGAAGAAAACTGCTGCAGAATCGCAAGGAATGCTTGTCGAAGCTTACGGTGAGCATGCTCTTGGTAAATCACAGTGCTTTGAGTGGTTTAAAAAATTCAAACGTGGCGATTTTGACGTGAGAAACGAAGAACGTGAAAGACCACCGAAAAAGTTTGAAGACAGCGAATTGCAAGCATTTTATTGGATGAGGATGACACTCAAACGCAACAACTCGCGGATCAATTAAATGTGACACGAGAAGCCGTCTCCATACGTTTGAAAGCCATAGGAGAAAGCTATAGAAAGATCCAGAAGATGGGAAAATGGGTTCCACATGAACTGAATGAAAGACAGCAGGAAAACCGAAAAACCACTTGCAAAATGCTACTCGCCAAGTACAAAAGAAAGTAATTTCTTCATCGAATTGTGACTGGCGATGAAAAGTGGATATATTTTGAGAATCCTAAGCGTAAAAGATCATGGGTAACTCCAGGCGAACCATCGACATCGACTGCAAGGCCAAATCGCTATGGACGGAAGACAATGCTCTGTGTTTGGTGGGATCAGAAAGGTGTGATCTATTATGAGCTGCTAAAACCTGGCGAAACCGTTCATACTGAACGCTACCGACAACAAATGATCGATTTGAATCAAGTTTTGCGTAAAAAACGACCAGAATATCAAAAAAGGCAACATAAAGTAATTTTGCTTCATGATAATGCACCATCACACACAGCAAACTGGTCGAGGGAACGATAGAGGCGTTTAGTTGGGAAATACTTTCGCATGCGGCTTACTCACCAGACTTGGCTCCGTCCGATTACTACTTATTTGCATCGATAGGACACGCACTTGCTGAGCAGCGCTTCACTTCTTACGAATATGTACGAAAATGGCTCGATGACTGGTTTGCCTCAAAAGAGCAACAGTTTTTTGGTGTGGCATCCACAAATTGTCAGACAGGTGGGAAAAATGTATAGCTAACGATGGGCAATACTTCGAATAAAATATTTTTTATCATTTTCATACAATAAACGTGTATTTTCTATACAAAAATTCCGGTTTCATATTTACATACCTGATAAGCAGCAGACGTTGATCAGGTGGTATTGGCTCTCGACAAAGTGTTTGCTTTGTGATTTTTGGTACAATTAAAGTATATAACTCTTTAAATAGTGTTGCACTCATCCGACAATAGTTTATAAATAAATTAGGATCTCTTAATAATTTTGGTATTGCTATATAATAAGCACCATGAGTCTTTTGCTTACAAAGAAAATTTGATACCCATCTCCTCTGTTTATTTCTTCTTTTTCGATTCAATAATAATAATGCTGCAATGCATAATCTCCTTCGTCGTACCACTTGTGCTATTGCACATTGTAATTGATAATTTATATCATTCATTTAAATTAATCACTTTGATGTTCCTTAAATAGTTAATAATCTAAAATAACACTGTATTTGTTAACTGTCCTTATAATTATAAAAATAAAAATAATACTATCTCTCTTTTTAATATTTACAATATTTTTGCAAGTACCGAAACAATTTTTGAATATCATAAACAATAAACAAATGATAAACTTTACGACGTAAGCTGTAGATATGTTGACAACGAACTATATTACATATGTACGACAAACTATATTACATATGTACAACAAAATTTCGTCGTACAGATGAACGCATGCGCAGTATCAGCCAATTAGAACGTCCGACAAGAGCGTCGTACGACACATGTAAGCTACGTTCGGGGAGCTCGCTATTAGCGCAAAATAGTGCTAACGTGTTATTCTATTCTTGTTGCATATCTAATGAGCGACAAAGATAGAATGATGTGTTAGCGCTAATAGCGTGCTGCCCGAACGTACCCGTAATATCAGCCTGAGTCTGTATTATTATAATATGTCCCACCGCGTATATTTCATTTCTCGCCTTTCGTTGTGAGCCACTGCGCAGGCGTGCTCCGCAGGCGGAGCAGTGACTTTCATTCTTCTCGAGTCGGGATGCGTTCCGAAAGTTATAAAAAACGGGCACAAACTATTATGTCCGCGACTGTACACTTCAATACTGCACTCCAGTGCACTAAGTGCAGTACCCTTTCGTTAGCCAATGACATTTGTTGAGACCAGCCAATTACACGTAACGATGATCGCAGTTCACTTGTTTAAAAACAGTAGAGTAGCATTCTTCCAGCTCCCATATTTTTATAAAGAAGTGATCTACGCCTTGTAAAGCTTTGTTGGTTTATATATATATTGATAAAGAGGTAAGATAGTAAAGAGGATATATAGATATTATAATCTTGACTTCTGCTTCATCACCTCAATCGATCGCAAGGAGGTGACACTTGTAATATAATAAGTGGCGATAACGCCATATCGATCAACAGTCATGATATACGAGTACGAGAGAGTACGAGAGAACTACGCATTAGATGCACTTGAGAAACAGCAAGAAACCGGAACCAAGGTCCGTAAGTAGAAAGATGGAGAATCAGGCCCTCTCATCAACTTCACACGGTTTGGCTCGAAAATGGCGGCAACCGTAGCTCAGCTGATTAACTACTCACACAATTGAATCATAATACTACACGTACATAGTATCACGTACGCCACACAGATTCTCTGGCTCCAAAATGGCGGCCGTGAGAGAACCTGACTTCGTTCTGTCTCTATTTACGGACCTTGACCGGAACTAGAAATTCTTAAACAGAGATCGGCCGATGAGTGAACGATTGCTGATTGGGTCGCGTCGCATGGGGTAAAACCGGAAGTGAAAGAGAAAGATATATATATCATAACGCAGAAAGCCTAATCTTTATCCGACATAATTATCCGTCAAAATAATTTTTCGTTAAGACGCAAGATAAAATATATATTTCACTATCAATAATTTAATGTAGTATTTATTATTATATTTATTGTAAGTTCATATTTCTGATTGCAAACTCTTAGGTTCATTTATCATCCGATATACATCCAGCTATTAAATCCAGCTATTAAATTGAATTTCAACCTTATGAGTAGGATCCCTAATAGCACAGATGTCCAGAGAACGTCCAGAGTACATCTTGAGGCCGTCTTGGGGATGTTTCTTCATCCTCAGGACGTCCCCAGGAGAACATGGGCTATCAAGGATACAAGATTACAACTGCAATTAAACTGGATGGATAAACTTGGATGGTCTCAGTCCATCAGGTCACTATATACATATATATATATATATATGCAATCAAAACATACATATATATATATATATGCAATCAAAACATACATATATATATATATATGCAATCAAAACATACATATATATATATATATGCAATCAAAACATACATATATATAATAACCGCCCAGACAGCACACGGATGTCCATTGGACGTCCGTTACATGTCCATTTTATTTTACAAAAGACGACGTCCGCACGACGTACGTTTGTCACAACTTCGGACATAGGACGTTCGATAGATGTCCGATGGACGTACGGTCGCGAACATAAAGGTTTGTGACCGTTTTTTTGCAACTTTCGGAACGCATCCCAACTCGAGAAGAATGAGAGTCACTGCTCCGCCTGTGGAGCACGCCTGCGCAGTGACTCACGACGAAAGGCGAGAAATGAAATATACGTGGTGGAACATATTATAATAATACAGACTCATATGAAATTAATACTCCAGTATTAAATAGAAATGAGGGAACACAGAACAGACAAGAATCATCCGATGTAAGTCTTATACTCCGGAGGACATCCGAAAAAGATAAAATACGAACTTAATTAAGAGAATTAAGCTGCATTACGATAGTTACGATTCTGTTATACATTTATATATAATCTATTGTTCCAGCAACAGCCATCTTCTGTAGCAGAAGCAATGATATTAGATACAGAAGCAGCTGTTATAGCGAATTTTGAATTTTTGGGACATACAGACATGGACATGGAAGAGGAAGGAGATGGAGACGATGAAATTTATGATGCAAATACAGATACCAAACCAAATAAAGTAACGCTTACTATCATCTTGCGTTTTAATGATATTGTTCACGCTATTTGTTAACATAATTTCTTATTTTTCAGGCATCTATCCCCCTTCTAGCGGGAAGATGTTGATACAGATACAGAGGCAGAAGTATTAAATGAATTAAATCTCCTCACAGAAATTGAAGAATCGCCACCTGGTTCTATCCACCTGGAAATGAATTCTTCAAAGGGGTTAGTAAATCTCTTTTTATTCGTGTATTTTAAGATAAAATATAAACCTATTACAATAATAGATATTTTGTAATATTGTCACATATAATCACATAATCTAATGATGCCTGTAGGTTTATTACATAGAAGATTACAACAAGATCCAAGACGCTCAAATAATAAAGAAAGCGGTGACTCCACGCTGGAATTCGGAGAATTACAATTATGTGTTAACAATGATGCAGAAATATCGTACGATGTAAGTTTTATTATGTTTTATTATTTTTACGATGTAATTTTTTTATTCCACTCACCTAGACCCATTTCTATGCAGCACTTTGTGTGATCGTACCTCGGCTCGGGACATCCGCTTACGCAAAAGTAGCAGTCGCTCAATGTAGATATCTTCTCACATCCGTGATGCTCGCAGAGATTATCGAAACGTCCGAAGAGATCAAACTGTATTCATTCAAACTGTAACTTACATAGCTAAAAAAACGACTCAACTGAAATACAGGGGAAAATTCTTGGAACTTACATCGTACGATATTTCTGCATCATTGTTAACACATAATTGTAATTCTCCGAATTCCAGCGTGAAGTCACCGCCTTCTTTATTATTTGGGCGTCTTGGATCTTGTTGTAATCCTCTATGTAATAAACCTACAGGCATCATTAGATTATGTGATTATATGTGACAATATTACAAAATATCTATTATTGTAATAGGTTTATATTTTATCTTAAAATACACGAATAAAAAGAGATTTACTAACCCCTTTGAAGAATTCATTTCCAGGTGGATAGAACCAGGTGGCGATTCTTCAATTTCTGTGAGGAGATTTAATTCATTTAATACTTCTGCCTCTGTATCTGTATCAACATCTTCCCGCTAGAAGGGGGATAGATGCCTGAAAAATAAGAAATTATGTTAACAAATAGCGTGAACAATATCATTAAAACGCAAGATGATAGTAAGCGTTACTTTATTTGGTTTGGTATCTGTATTTGCATCATAAATTTCATCGTCTCCATCTCCTTCCTCTTCCATGTCCATGTCTGTATGTCCCAAAAATTCAAAATTCGCTATAACAGCTGCTTCTGTATCTAATATCATTGCTTCTGCTACAGAAGATGGCTGTTGCTGGAACAATAAATTATATATAAATGTATAACAGAATCGTAACTATCGTAATGCAGCTTAATTCTCTTAATTAAGTTCGTATTTTATCTTTTTCGGATGTCCTCCGGAGTATAAGACTTACATCGGATGATTCTTGTCTGTTCTGTGTTCCCTCATTTCCATTTAATACAGGAGTATTCATTTCATCTGAGTCTGTATTATTATAATATGTCCCACCACGTATATTTCATTTCTCGCCTTTCGTCGTGAGTCACTGCGCAGGCGTGCTCCACAGGCGGAGCAGTGACTCTCATTCTTCTCGAGTCGGGATGCGTTCCGAAAGTTGCAAAACAACGGTCACAAACCTTTATGCTCGCAACCGTACATCAGACGTCTTACAGGTCCGATATCCAATAAGGACATCCTTGTTACGTCCAATTTATGTCCACAGACGTAAATCGGACATTCGGACATAAATTGGATGTGAAACGTACATCCATTGGATGTCCGGTGCAGTCTGGGCGGCAAGTACATATCCAGTAAAAAATTTTTTATATTATATATGTTTATATTATATAAAACTATACAAAATATATAGAATATATAAAATTCCCAGGTAGCAGACTGACGTCAAATGACATACTAATGACGTCTTAATGACGTTAGCTAACGTCATTAAGACGTCATTAGTACATCATTTGACGTCAGTCTGCTACCAGGGTTATGTATAAGTTATTATGTAATTTTATATAAAAGTATCACAATTTCATATATTATTATCATACATAATCATATATATAATTAAATATAAATTTATCCATATATATATGTATATGGACAAATCCTATATATAAGTATATATAATCATATATAAATTGAGGTGCTTTCATATAAAATTATATATAATTAAAATAAAATTTAAAATAAATATATAATTATATAATAACTTGACATACATAATTTTATATATTTTTCTATAATTTTGTATAGTTATATATATAATTATATGTAATTATATATGTGTTATTAGATAAATATATATAAAAAACGACAAAATATAATAATAAACAATGTAAATGAACAGTTGTATATAAAAATTATATTCAACACTTAATTGGAAATAAACACAATTATTCACATTTATCCATTACAATTATACCTACACATGTTATATCTATTCTATAATCTGCATTTCTTTTCTACAACTTTAAATACAATAAATAAATTGTATTTTTAATACACAATGTATAATATAAAAATATAATTATTATAGCACTATTCATCATATACTTATGTTAAAATGAAAAAGTATATATCATTCTTGTATATTCATATAAATTCAAAATAGACCGCCACCGACACGTCATATCCAGTTTTACTCCATGACGACATATCTGCCGATCTCTGATTAAGAATCTCTAACCGGAACTAGCGGGCCGTTATTGATGGCCGCGCCGCGCACAGGAATCCAACACCGCGCGGCGCGGAGGCGTGCGTAGTCGACGGTCGCATACGCATGCGTGGGCGCGCAGTCGACGAGCGCGTTATACATAAATACAACACTACCGCAACGGGAGCGAGTGAAGTTTGTCTCAGGATACGTTGCTCGTATGATGGCGCAACATGTTGGCCGTTTGTTCACAGCACAGCCGGCAATTCTTCTGTTGCTCGTTCACGCGCTTGTCGCACAGTTAACGAATAACGCGTCGACGGCGACGTCCAGCGAGGTCGCCAAGGTGGTCGCTCGTGGCGACAACGGTCACGTCGACACGTCGTTCGCGACGCTCGACGCGCGGTTCGCGGTAAGTTCGGCACGCGTGATAACAGCACCGGAACTGCTCGCGTTGTCAATGCCTGTCAACATTACCTCCGCCAACGACCACCACCACCTCTTCGTCGAGTTCCTTGGCACCGCGTTTAATCGTCCCAACTTTACGCTGCGATGGTCGCTACACCCGCGTGGCGAGTGTCCACGCCTTCCGGACAACACCCTGGACCTCGTGTGGACGTCGCATGCGACCAACCGCGGGATCTATCAGTTTCGCAACAAGCCCGAGCCGAATGTCGCCTTAATCTACTTCTGCCTGAGAGACAACGAGCACGAGACGTGGACGAGCCTCGGCGAACACATCTCAATCAAATTCCCGGTACGATCAGAGTAAGTAAGCTTCCAGTAGCTTTCTTCGATATCCTATGCATGTCTCATCTTTCTCTAGTTAGCTGCGATCGAACCGCTGAACGAGTTACTGTTGGAACTCTTCGGAAAACCCCTCGTTATGTTCAGATCCGAGAACTTATTTCTGTATTTATCTAAATTTGTTGGATCATCAGTATTATAAGAAGATAGACACAAGAGAACATACGAAACGTACTTCCTGATTTCCATAACCAGACATGACATTAAGGGTGCGTTCCATTTCACACATATGCGCGCTTTTTTTATAGTATACGTAACATAAACTATAGATAAATACGCGCATATGCGTGAAACGGAACGCACCCTAAGTCATCTCTTTTTTTCTCTCTCTGTCTTTATCTCTGTCTCCTTCTCTGTGCCTATGTTCGTCTCTCTCTTTCCGTCGACGTTCCTCCTTGCCCCCATCTCTTCGCAATGCTGACAAGTCTGTTAACTTTTCCTCAGATTGTTTCCTGTGCTTCTATCTTGGTCCTTGCTTTTTTTACTCTGTACCTCCTCGTGAATCTTGTGAGTCTGACTGCATCCATCATGTTGGACAAGTATAGACAGTTTTTAAAATTAGCTTGGTATTGAGAGAAAAAGTGTTGATTGTGTGGTAAAAGTTCAAACAAGGACCTTGCCAAAAAGGTAACTGAGAATTGAGAAGACAGAAGTTGATTTATTATACCAAAGTCAAAATGAGGCATAAATTTCATATGCAGAATTGGTACCTTATGAATATCTTATTCTACATATGATAGGTAATTATTACATATCTCTACAATATGTCTGAAATACGTGTGTATATTTCACTTTGATATCTCTAACTGTATCTTTTGTATAGTGGTCATAGTTTGAGAATACATCTTCCGTCTGCAAATTTTTCACTATATACACAAATGGTCAATTGCTTGAGTAATCACAAGCCAACACACAACATTTGGATGTCATGTTTTCTTAGATCAAATTTGTACACGAACATTGTGAGATATCAGTTTGACAACAAAACTCAGACTTAAAGGCTCTCCAAGATAACATGGAGAAACTTTCCAGATAGCACAGACATCCTGAAATCATCCTGGAGAATATATTCAGGATATCTTTTGGGTCTATTCTGTAACTTTTAACAGTAATTTCCATATCCTTAGATTGTCGTTGCGCAGATGTAATACACGATAGAAAAACTATGTATCGACAACATGTGACTAAAAACATTATATCTTTAAAAGTTACAAAATAGACCTATCGACATGTACATAATGATTACAGGATGTTCTGTACTGTTTAGATTGTGATTTCATAATTCTCTATGTACACAAAACGTCCTATTTGTTTTTCCTTTTTTTCCTCTTCCTCTCCTAAAGTTCCAATTCAATCCGTTTGATCTTCCCCACAACTGGGAATGAACCCAGGTCCAACGGACCGAAAGGATGTGAAGAACGGCCTCGATGTGTGAAAACAAAAAAAGAACGCGCGATGGGACCCACATTTTCCTCTTTCATTCTTACAAATATCACAGCACGCGTGTTGATTTACGAAGGCAAAGGAGCAACTTTGTGTATGCGTGCGCGTACACATACAACACAACGGATCGTTTAGTTTTGTTAAATCGCGCCCAGCGAGCTCTGCTCCGCCGCGAGCGACTGTTTACTCAACATCAACATTGAGAGGAACGCGACGTCTTGTATTAGGTAATAGAAAACGCTGTGTTAGTAAAGAACGACATATGTCGGCGAGAGGAGGAGCGGAGCGGCGGAGGACAGGAAGGAGATACATTTTATCGGCCTGGCGAAGAATGCGCAACTTTAGACGCATACATTTAGGATTACTACGAAAGGAATTCGTCATCGTCATCGGTGTCATCGTTATCGTCGGCGTTTCACATCGAAACACACCGGCGATAACTACCCGTCGATGTTGCCCGACGTATCCATTGACCGCGTCATTAGCTGGCAGCGGGCCAAGCAGCCGACCGACCAACCGACCGATTCAATAGTCAAACTTGGCCCGCGCTAAATCAGTAAAAATAGATTACTGGTGTGTATATGTGTATATGACACCTATATATTGCGCGTCTCCTCCTCGCCGATAATATTGCATGGTGGCGCGTTGTTTACGCGCGCGCCGCGGAATTTATCGCTTCATACGGCCGTATGATTCCAATAAATTGCTTTATGGCTTTTTCGTTTCCTGAAGAAGAAACAGAATAAAATGGAATAAGAGCAAAAAGAGAAAAGAAAAAATAAGGACAGCAATAAAAAAGAAAATTGGAATATCCTCGACCTGATTAAACGTGACTTCCCGATAAACACCAGCCAACAGTAACGCTACAGCAATGTTATAATCGATATTATTCTACTAAGTAATATAAGTTCAAGCCTAATAGCACATGTGAATTCGGAGGACGTTCGGAGGATATCAAAGGTAGATTTTCTATATTCTCTACATATTCGAGATGTATGCACTGTTATACAAAAGATATACTGTGTTCAGTTTTCCCATGTTCTTTTTATATTGAGGAACGTACCTATTGAGAATGTTTTCTAATGTATAATAAGTATATATATATTCATTGGTAAAAATTTCGCAATCACACTTACACCTCTCTAATACCTGTCTTATATATGTACCTCTCTAATATGTAGAAATAACAGATATTTTGAAATCTAATGTTAAGTGATTAACCTTGTGTGTGTATGTATATCTATATAAGCACAAACGTTCCTCAGTCATATTGAATATAGATGTATATTGAGGGTAAATGTATTCCTCAAACAGAAAATTTGGACATACAAACATTCTCGATACATTTTTCTGTACATAAGATTTGTATATCTCGAATATGTAGGGAATACATTACACGCAATCCGTTTTTGTGATATCTTTTGAACACAAAGTGGCAAACTACATATTGTATTGAAGTAAATGTTATGAATATTTGTTTCATGTATTCATAGGTTTGTAAGTCTATTATAAGTTCGTCATAAGCATTGAATTTATTTGAAGCATATTCTAAATCCTGGTAAGTTTAGTACTTTAATGAAGAATATTAAAATTAGAGAAAAATATTAAACAAAGCAACATTTGGTTTGCTTTTCCTACATTCACAGACATAGGAATTTTCTTTCTCTTTTTGTTTTGCATTCAACGATAATTCGCGAAGTATCATTGTTTGAATATTTCACCCGCGGGGCGATAGCCTTATTTGTAAAAGGGCTCTCATTACATACATGCTTCCCAGTGATTCATTCTTAGATTAGCCTGGAATTGATATCTCTGGGAGACGAACTCTGATAACGTCTCATGCGTCCCGGTCGATTTGACGCGTTAGCCTTTTAGTTCATTGCTCTCTTTTTCTACACGTATATTGGGTAAATGTAAAAGTTCTTGTGAATTTCGTGATAGAAAAATGTATGTATGTATGTGTGGACTAAGTAATTTTATTAAAAATGATTTCTCATTCTATCGAGTGATCATCATTATTTTCTATTATCTTTCGCTAACTTTTCTCAGGTAAAAGATAAAAAACAGTTTCTAATAAAATTATTTTCATTTTTCACCACGAAATCCATGAAAACTTTTGCATTCACCTTGTATATATACATATGTAAGTTTGAGAGCGTGTGGCAAGACTCGGGACGTCAGAACTGAGCGATGGAAAGCACGACGAAGACAGTACGAAAACACAACGAAATAAGAGAAAGGATGCAGACCCACTTTGTTTATTTATATCGACGGTAATTTTTGTCTGCAGGGGATATCATCGTTCACGACGGAACGACCCACTCACCCAACCTGATGATTCCGAGACTTCGCAAAACGATACGGACATGCATATCGAAGGTTTACGGGTGGAGATGGCCGACAAGGAACCTAGTTACAATGACGAAGGAATTCCCGAAATTTTGGTCGGCACCAAGGCGGTGATTCGGTTGTTTGGCACCGGTATCACAAAAGACACATTGATCACATTTACCGACGTACCGGCGAAAAGAGGCACTGTTTGCGACAAAATTAAGAGTAACGAGTTTCGTGTGAGTGTTATATCATTTATTCACAATTGCTTCGTGAGTGAAATGTGCGCGTACTGAGAGGAAAAATATCTGAAAGTAAGAAATATATTTATTCAGTGTGTACTATTTACACACATGTATCTAATTCCAAATTTTTAGTTTGAATAAAATACACAATTGCTTCCATAAAAAATTAGATCTAAGAAGATGTGTATTTTCTCATAAGGAAGAAATTTGTTTGCAATGTAAAACTATGTATGTTAGTACAAGTAAATATGTGTATGCTATTAGTACTCATCGAATAAATATTTTCAATTTCATTTTGTTTTTTCTCTCAGTGCAGGGGTAATTACAAAATTGACAGAAAAGTCTTTATACAAGCTCTTATAGAGCCTTTTACACTATAAATTGCAAATCAATTGAGACTTAATTTGATGATTTTATTTATCACAAGAATTAAATTTGTTCTTTCAGGTAGAGAAGGTAGAAGGAAGTACAGCAACTATTAGCGTAATACTTCCTCCGGGATCACCGTTTTATATATGTGCGAAAAAACCAACATTCGAGAAAGACAGTCCAAAGGAAGACCTAGTCCTCTTCAAGCATCAAGGTACTGCGCTATACAATACTGTGAGTATTTCTCTCTCTCTCTCTCTCTCTCTCTCTCTCTCTCTCTCTCTCTCTCTCTCTCTCTCTCTCTCTCTCTCTCTCTCTCTCTCTCTCTCTCTCTCATACTCTTCCGCTTCCTTTTTTCTTTCCTCCTTTTCCTCTATTTTCTCTTTGCATTCAGAGACACATTCGTGTGAACAATTATAAAGTTCATTTTATTTAGTAGGTAGAACAATGTTTTACAAATCAAGAATTTCAGATTCGCACATATGAGAAATTATTACCGCTCTGGGTCACTATTTTGATCATTCTCATTTGTCTCAGTCTTTCTGCACTATTTTCTGGTCTCAATCTGGGTTTAATGGCGATGGATAGGACTGAATTGAAAATACTCTGCAATACTGGCACGGAAAAAGTGAGCGGGTTTATTCTCTTGTCATCTTATTGCGTTCCTCTTCCTCCGCTGATAACGCATATGTTATCTTTATATTGCAGGAGAAACAATACGCGAGAACTATCCAGCCGGTAAGAAATCACGGGAATTATCTCTTGTGTTCAATCTTGTTCTCCAATGTTCTTGTCAATTCGGTGTTTACGATATTATTAGATGATCTGACATCCGGATTGGTCGCTGTTATCTGCTCAACATTAGCTATCGTTATTTTTGGCGAAATTTCACCGCAGGTACGTTTGCTATATTGAAGTTTCTCTCGATCTTCATTTGAGAATTAAAAAGTTTCTCTCCTACACTCTGAATCAGTATCCTTTAGTATTATTTTATAATTTTGCAAATAGTAAATTATGTGAAAAATATTTTTTAGTATAGATTTTATCTTTTCATTAGTTTTTATCTTTTTAATATAGATCCTTTCATAAATTTTGTTTTTTTAATATAAATTACAAGTTGCAGTAAGTTGTAAATTTTTTAACTGTAGCGAACGCTTTATCCGCGTTAATTGTTGTAACATTTCTGATAGTTCAACACGTTAAAAATGTATGTTTTACAGGCTATTTGCAGCAGACACGGATTGTGCGTCGGCGCAAAAACTATCTTTTTGACTAAATTGACAATGTTAGTGACTTTTCCGTTAAGTTATCCAATCAGTAAGATTCTAGATGTTATTCTCGGTGAAGAGATAGGAAATGTGTACAATCGAGAAAGATTGAAAGAGTTGGTCAAGGTAAGAAATTAAATGACTAAATAGCAATGTTAAACAACTATGTGAATTGCATGATGATACATATTGAAAGAAACAAAATAGTTATAGTTATGTACTTATGTAGTTATGTCACGGTGTGCGAATACTTCTCGCGGTATACATTAACATATCTCTAACATGTACGAGTAATTGTAATTAGCCGATTTCGTTAATGAATTTGATTTTAAACGGGAGTTAATAATGCTTGCAAGTTTTCGAGCATACGTCATAGAAAAATCTGATTAGAAATATCTTTGAGATATGCATGATTATTTGAAATTGATGTATTAACGCGTACTATACAGGAACCTTTCTAGGTAACGACTGAATACAACGATTTAGAGAAAGATGAAGTAAATATAATTGCAGGAGCGTTAGAACTGCGGAAGAAGACCGTAGCAGATGTAATGACCAGAATCGAAGATGTATATATGTTGAACTATAATGCTGTTCTAGACTTTGAAACTGTGTCTGAAATTATGAAATCAGGTATGCGAAGATACTTCAAGCGTGCTTTAACGATGTTCGCTCACTCGCTCCTACTCGTAAGAAACGCCATACCACTGTGACTCGCAGATGTTATCAATTCAATTAAGTGCTCTTCTTACAGAGATAAATCTCACATTAGATAAGCATTTAGCTTCCCTTATCAAGACTACCTAGTTACCTAAATCGATTGAATGCAGGTTTTCGTATTAATTTTATCTAGTGACATGAAAATGGTAGAGTTAATCCTGCTTTATTTGTAGGTTTCTCCCGTATACCGGTGTACGAAAATGTGAGAACAAATATAGTGACGATGCTATATATCAAAGATCTCGCATTCGTCGATCCCGATGATAATATGCCGCTCAAGACACTTTGCCAGTTTTATCAAAATCCATGTAATTTTATCTTTGAGGATGTTAGATTGGATATAATGTTTAAGCAATTCAAAGAAGGTACGTAATCATGCACTGAAAATACCCTCTCCCTTCCTTTCTTTCTCTCTGAATCGATGCAAAATAATGATAAAAAATCGAAAACGTAAAATGTATAATATATAACGTATAATATATAATTAATAACAATGATGAAGTTATTTTTGAATGAACGAGTGACGTAATTGACACTTCCAGGTCACAAGGGTCACATGGCTTTTGTACAAAGAGTTAACAACGAAGGTGAAGGTGATCCGTTTTACGAGGTGATTGGTTTGGTTACATTGGAAGATGTTATCGAAGAGTTAATTCAGGCTGAGATTATTGATGAGACAGATGTATTTAGTAGGTTTTGTTTTTATCGCTTATTCGCGCTCGCTGTAAACTTATTTTGCTTGAATTGTGATTTTCTCTTCTCGTGTCTGAACGCTAGCCCTGTAAAACGTTTAACGCCAAAACCTTGTCCCTTACAGTGGATAACAGGAGTAAACGTAAGCGACAGGTTCGTCCGAAAATGCCGAAGGACTTTACGATATTCGCGGAGAAAAAGGAGAACCAACGGATTCACATCTCCCCACAGTTGACCTTGGCGATGTACCAATACTTGTCCACAAGTATGAGGAGAATTGTCTTACATACTATAAAGCATTCACAGATTATTTTTAAGATACTCACGTTGGATTGGGTATAATTATGTAACGTGTGGTTTTTCCAGCTGTGGACACGTTTAAGCCAGACGTCATATCGGAGACAATTTTGCGACGCTTACTGAAACAGGATATTATTTATCATATTAAAGTAAAGTCGCGCGAGAAAGCTAAAACGGATCCAGCTGCGATAATCTATCAGCAAGGAAAAGCTGTCGACTACTTCGTGTTGATTCTAGAAGGTCGCGTCGAGGTGACAGTGGGCAAAGAGAACATGATGTTCGAGAGCGGCCCGTTCACATATTTCGGATCTCAAGCACTCACCGCTAACATCGGAATTGGTAATATCTTAATGTTCCGACAAAAATCAGTACTTATAGTATTTTAACTAATATATTTATCTTCAAATGTGGATCGTCGGTTAAATGTGAAATGTTTCATCATTTTCAGCCGAGTCACCTACAAATGCAAATCCGCAAACGGTAGGGAGCATTCAGTCCGTTAATTTGGATTCCATGTTGCGCCACACTTTCATACCGGACTACACTGTGCGCGCGGTCACCGAAGTATTCTACGTGAAGGTCAAGCGATCTTTGTATCTTGCGGCAAAGCGCGCCACACTACTGGAGAAAAGCCAAAAGGATCCGTTGCCTAGTCAGGAACAGTTCGACGACGAGGTGGAGAAGGTAACTCGCATCGCATAGATCATAAAACGCTTTAAATATCAGAACAACTCTATTATAACCAACCGCGAATGGACAAGATGATAAATAACCACACGTTGATTTTCTTCGTGTATCTGAGTTAAATATATCTAAGTTAAATATTTATTTTCTTTAATAACTTTTATTCATTAAAATATTAATTTAGTTACTAATTTAATGAATTTTATTGATTTACTTAATTTTAAATATCTTAGATATATTATAAATTTTTTATTAATATCGTAGAGAGAAAGATAAATCATATAGATGATTTTATTAATTTTTTTCCAACAAAAAACAGTTGTTACATTCACTGGAGGAGGACGATCGTAGTGTACCTGAATCGCCGATATTACCCTCGGATAAGTCGGCGGAAAATGAGAAGACAAAGGACCTTATCCATTCGCCTATACGCAGCGTAACGGCACCGACGTCGCCGCTTCCAGCTAGCGCCAGCCCGGTTATCAATTCGAAGTCCATTTCACCGCGGAACGATGGAAAAGCGAAGAGTTTGTCAACGAAGGTTTTTACAGATTTCATTTTTCTATATCTGTGCTTTTAATACATTGACTGTCAACTGTCAGTCCACTTACATGTTTCTTTTCGATGAGTTTTGCTTTAATAGTAAATGTAATTAAATATAACATATTAAAGTAATGTACTAATTGTAAAATAGCGTCGGAAACACACCATTTCCTAATATTATTGTGGCAGTTAATGTGTTAACATGCCATTGTTTGCGTATACAATAGTAAGATTTATATCGCGCGTATGCATAAGTTCAAGATTTTCTCTGTTTCATTTAAGTTGTATACGCGCGCGCACACACACATACATACACACAAAAATTAATCTTGTTTCTTTAAAAGATTTATCTCTAAGCTTCGTCGTCTTAAGTTGAAATATATGCTTATTCAAGGTACAAACGAGTCCGGTGGATATTCAGAACAAACTTGACCTAGACTCGGAGACTTTTGCCCGACATTCAGAGGCAGCGCGAATGTTGTCCGTCAAGAAGACGAGTGAGGACGAGGAGAGAACAAATCTCTTGCCTACTAAGCAAGATCGTTCTTAACACATGCAGAATGGCCGACGATACTCGGTGCTCTCGTCGGCGAAACCTACACTGAAAGCAACATCGAGCAACACAGAGCGGAACATGCTGGCATGACATATTTTGCTACTGTGGCACTAGGTAGTACTTGACGAATTATTTTAGATATTTATCGCGCGGTGAAGATTGCACGTGAAAACCATCGATATTTCGTATTCTTAACGATTATTGGCTTAGAGGCTGTACCCGATCTCAGCTTGTCTTTTTTTTCTTGCAAAGTCGCTTAAATATCTCAAAAAAGTATATTGAAAATTATCTCTTTTGTAGTTTATACAAAGATTGACCAATTCTATTGGGTTGTTCGAGCAGATTCGAAAGGTTCGAAAGAACTTTTCCGGAAAATTCAAGGCCAGCGGTACTTTCATAGCAAATATAATTTAATCTTTTTTTTTTTTCATTTTTATGATTTTATGATTTGGTATAAAAAACATCAGTATATCAGTACATCTTTAAATCGTTAAATAAAGTTATGCCCAACAATTAAAGTAGCGGTCTTGAATCCTTCGCAGGAATTCTTACACAAAACTTATTAATTATTAATTATTAATTAATTGAATATATTATAAATTTGTATATATATAATAATATATACATATAATATAAATATATACACATATATATATGTATGTATACATATATATATATATTTGTACTTCATACATTATAAATCTATTATAACTACTAACTATTGTAGCGATATTAACATTTTTGAACTGTAATTTGTTGAACTGTAATAGGTTGTAACCGATAAGATCAAAAGACATACATACTCATTCTTCGGACTTTATTTGATTACAGAAGCTAAGAATTGTTTTAGTAACAATGTCGATTCTTATCGTCATTTTTATGTAGTTTTAACCTTAAGGTTGCGAATCTATATTGACTTCTCTGTCATTTTCTCCAAATACGTTTTCTAGATTTTCCTATAATGCAGTTAGGTAATCATTCTCTATAATATATATTTACTCTATTTATAATATAATAACTATGCCACAATCGCATCGGCATACGCAGCACGAACGGGTACAGTTTTTAGCTAATTACAAAATAATGCCTCGACATTATCCTGAATATATTTTAGAATAGAAATTTGTTAACATACGAGAAAGAAAACGTATGAGACCAGTCGTGCGATTGAACAACTACGATGTATATTAGAGCGCAGTACAAATGAACGAGAGAGAGGGAAAGAGAGAAAAAAGTTTAACGAACGATCTACTTTACATCATTCTGCATTGTTATATATGTCCCAGGTCGAGCGGAGAATTCGTTTGTTTATGACCCTTACGTTGCACATGGATACAAACGCGCACGTTTAATGGCCCAATTAGTAACTAGTGGCCAAAAGAAAAAGCTTGGTACATAATCGATATCATTACTTGTATGTTTATTATGTGGAGTTTTGTGTGTGCCTTAAGAGATCCTCTATATAAGTGCTTTATTAGAGAAATATTCTTTTCTCTTTTTCTTTATCTTAAAGAATATCGATTGAATATCGTACCATCTCAGCGTGTGTGCATTGCATATTTAAATTCCTGTCAACTTTGGAGCTAGCCATGTTACACGCTCCTCCATTATTTCCCTGGATTTGTTATTTTAACGAGCTAGGCGAATATGAAAGAGGAATATGTATCATTCTCACAATCTTTAAGAATAAGGAACGGAGTAGGATATTATTGTGTTTCACTATTATTCCACTATTATTTCCATTATTATTCACTGTTATTTCATTCGTTATTCTTACTCGTTTTTTCCTTATCGGCAATATAATCGGGCATCTGACAGACTACATAATATCGATATGTAATTAAACATAATTAAATGGATCATGAATCGAGTATGTATCGTGCAAGCACAAACAGTACTGAATAGTACTTATACATTTTTCTTTCTTTCTTTCTCTTTTCTTTCTTTTTTTTTTTGTTAGTACTCAATGAACTCTATTATATACAAAGTACTTATAATTGTATGGCTGAATCGTAGGCCGTGATATATTCCATCGTCTAAAGATTATATTTTTGATAAATATACAGATTACTTTAATGTCACTTTTGATATCTCTGACTTTCACATACACATGTGAATGGCACAGGAGCTCCGTTCCTTCTCCACTCCCAAAACACCTGTCTCTCTTAACTTTATTTTTTATCTATATCATTATAACTTTGGTATTTAAACGAATAAAATTCTAGTATAGTACATTCATTCCCCGAAACTTTTTCGTTAACAACTCTTATAAGCGGAGACCGCCACTTAAGATTTTTCAGAAGATTACTCAAAGTCATGCCCTGGGTGATATATGACAAAGTCAGAAATATCAGTGGTGGCACTAGTAATCTGCACATTTATCATATTTTTCAACGAATGAAGATGAGACGATTGAATTTTTGCTAAAGAAAAATAATTGTAAATTACTTTAAGAGAATAGCTTTTTAGTGGAGTATATTTTAGAGACATTCAGAATCTAAGATATATACATGTGTATGAAACTCGCCTTCTGATTATACAATTTCGCGTCGAGTGACCAGCAACTTTGAGTTAGGAATTCGAACTTGGAAGCCCGTATCGTTAGCGCCATGAAATTCCTAGTTACACAAAATTTGGACACGATAATAATATTGTTAATATCTATTCACACCAGAATCTAATGTTCTCAGCTGTTCTTATGTACAATTTGATTCTTGGATACTTAAACGCGTGATATATACGATAGAGCGACTTAAAACTCCGTAATTATTGTCGACATGAAACATCTTTATCGAAGAGTAGATTTTTGCGTATCTTATAACGTACGTATCTTATAACTTATAATTTCATTACTAACATAGGCCTGGAAACAGCGGAAATAATCGAAGTGACAAACGTTGACTGTTGAAATGCCTCTATACGCAATCCGTATGTGTTGCTCGCAAATTAACTCTGTGTTAACGGAAAAACACTTAAACGAAACTTAATAACTTTATTTGAAACTTTGTGTAGAAGCGTATCATACAAGTTAGGAAGTGCGATTACCTGACATTATTTTCGTAGAGTGTATCGTCGACCGAAGTACTTATCAAAACGAAAAAGGAAAAAAAAAGAAGAGAATAAGAAAGAAACTGCGAATATTACTGATATTTTGTACTATCTAAATAGACATATTACACGTAGAAAAAAGGAATATTATATCTGAAATGCGCGCGTAAAGTGCATTCCGTCATGGCGGGGGATAATAGATCTAGTACTTATACAATAAACTGTTACATCAAATAGATCAAGTTATACAGAGTGAAAGATATAAATATAAACGTGACGTTTTTTACAGAGATGATCTATATAGTGTACATAATACGAGACGAGAAAGTAGAATGTGTAAAAGAGGAGAGTCATATTAGATGTATATTCTTCATTTCTTCCGTCATATTTATTGAAAGATGTCTTACGCGTTACCTTTTTTTTAATAATGATTACATAATTATTCAACATACTGCCATTGTTCATTTTAATTTTAGTCCCGAACAAATCATACTAGTATCTTCATCCAGCGAGAATTATTACAGACAATTAACAAGTTGTTAAAGATTAGTTCATATAAATATATTCTTGATATGCAAAAAAATGATATATAAAATAATATACACATAAGTATGTGTACAAGCGTTTCAAAAAATGTTAATGAAAATGGGAAAACAATTTAAATTCAAAATATTTTATTGTCATTTTATGATTACGTATACAGAGAAAATTTTACAGTAAAAGTTACAGAACACTTGTAGAACACTTGTAGAAAAACATGTCGAGATATTCTGTTTTAATTTATTATCTTCTCATTTCATATGTTATTTATATTTTAGGAACTGAAATTTGTGTTCCTTAACAAATGAAATTCTTTTGACAGTCTATTCCTGCACTATTAAAAAATATAATAAAATTTAAATAAACTTACATAAAAAAGGATTGTATGAAACATACCTATCACATAATATGCTTCCTTAAATTATATATATATATATATATATATATATATATATTTTCATCACATCATCTTTTTATCCATGCAGTGATAAACATCTTTTATGCAACTTTTCATCCATTTTTATTTTCTCAGATTAGTATAAAATTTTAGAAAATCTATATTTTTATATTCTATATAATCATATAATTATATATAGATAATTTCTTCTCTCTACATATGTAATTGTTTTTGGAAAATAAAACAATACATGGTATACAAACAATACATATATAATTAGTATACTGTATATCTCAAAGTGACACAACAGAATATTATATAACTCTAAAGGGATGAAACTTCAATATGAAACCAGAGAGAAATTAATTATCCGATACAATGTAGAAAATAAGTGATAAATATGTTTTATAGATTTATGATATATCACGTGACTTAATTTGCAATTATCTTTATCAAGATTTTAATTTTTTTCGTACCGTTTTTTTAATTTCACTCAATTTAGTCATATCCAAACCTTTTTCTATTAAACTTCGCAATAATGCTATTTTAGTTTCTATAAAATCTATCTTATCTTGCTCCTTTTTTGACCTTTTTCTTGCTTCCTTTTGTGGTGGACAAGTTATAAAGTTTTGTATGATACACCATGGAATTTCTTTATTCACTAATGTAATCATATCCATGTTAACAGTCGAAGAACATAGTGCTTTTCTTTCATTCACAGGCATTTTTACCGTAAATGTTGTTTCTGTCACTTTCTTCATACAGAATGTACTTTGATAATCAATGTTAAGAGTGAACACTACATAGCTATTCTTTGGCAATTTCTCAGGTATATTTAAAGTAAGATAAGTACAATTCCATAACCTACATATCTCAATTTGAGGATTTGCTTCTAGTTTTTTATTATAAGCATACATATTTATTTTCCTTAATTTATCTTGTTCGTCTGTCAACTTCTCATACAGTTTATCTAATTCTTTCACTTTATCACAAATCCTTTCCATAATGAGGTTTGTATTTTGGAACATATCAGCACGAAGTTCAACGCTGTTGTTAATTGACAGAGAATTCTTCAGTGTCTCCACGGAAAGTTCAATTAATTCTCTATTATCTAACAAGCCTAAAATTATATTTGATTTATAATATTGCATACATGTAAATGTCTTTTGTTCTATTTTTGCCTCTTCAACATTATCTGTGGAGAGCTCCTTTCTCATATAATACAGTTTAGACAGATCACAGTACACAATCCATAAGATATCCTCAGACTCTGTACAGAAACTGGCGCAAAGTGTAGAGGTGCACCTAATGTTTCTTCCCAGCCATATCTTCTGAAAGACCAGGTTACAATCTCTACTGTGCATCAGAATCACTGTGTCCATATTAACAAGGAGTAGTACGCCAGCTATCTTGTTTCCTCGCATAACAGGCATGATACGCGAAATAATACCAGCTATATCGGCATAAATCAAATGTACACTATTTCCAGTCCAAACGAACAACTTTCTACCATATCCAATCACACAAATATTTCTCTTCTCTTGCTGGTCATCCGTGAAACATTCAAGGAACCGCTCCTCAGTGTTTGCAGGGATCAGAGGAAGGGAATGCACCTCTTCGGTCGTGTTCGACGCAGTGGGATATTTGAACAACGATCTGGAGTCTTTACTCTGTTTGTTGGAGAGTTTGATGTGATTCTCCTTGGGGACGAGCACCTCGTAGAACTCAGCGCCCATTCCCAGGGCGTTCTTACTCAACACGGCAAATACACCGCCGCGCGCCAGTTTGTAGACACCTCGCGGAGCGCAGAGAACAAAAACTCTGCCGTCGAAGCACTGGACTTGCCTGACAGGAGCTGGCGTCGTGAATACTCGGACGTTGCGCGCCGAGCTGTCATCCGCCATGTACGGAAACATTACGAGCTTTGAGTGGTTGACATTCCAGCAGAAGCAAGTCTCCACTCCATAGAATTCGCACACGATGAAGTCTCGCGGCACGATTTCCGCGTTATCATCGATATACATCCTTGCACTTGATCTAAGTGCAGATTTAAAGTAGGACCGGCGACACACCGTTTTCTTTTTCTTGTGTCTCTTCTAACGGTCATTGCATGCATGAACTTCCTTCAAAAGTCGCCAATCTCCAGATCACTCCAGATTCTTTTCGATTTTTCAAAACGAGAAGCAGAGAGAAGCCTGAGAGCGGCCATGCCGGCGTTTTTGGCGACATGCATTTTGATGACTGATTTTAACGTCATCTGCGCCCATTTGTAGCCGGGAACTACGTTGACTACGCCCATTTGCAGACGCTACCGGTAAAGTCAGTGCTGGGAGATCCAGAGAATTTCCGGGCGTGCGCATTCAACAAACACTGTGGGAGCCTCAGTACCGTATTAATTTGAAAGTATTTTATCGCCCGTAAGATACTATGGATTGAAAATTGCAATCGCATAAATCAGGTAATCTAAATCTTGGTTATTTAAGTTGGTCCAGCTGTAATTTTCAATCTATAGTCTAATACGGGCGTAAGATCCCTCGTTTGAAAGAAAATATGAAGGAATTGTAGGGAGAATAGAAAGGTCTGTGAAAGAAACAGAATACTGTTCATAATTAATAATAAACATATATATATATATGTTTATTAATAATTATATATAATTAATTATATATATATATGTTTATTAATATATATATATATAGGGTGTTATAGAAGTCCCGGAAGAGTAGAATAACTCGAAAAATATAAGTCCTGGAAAAAATGCGAAGTACTGGATTTTTATGATTTTTTCCTGGCTATCTGACAGTGACCTTGGATTTGACCTTGACAATGACCTTGAAGATCATTTCAAGGTCAGGTTAATTTTTTTAAACAGAACCCCATACTTTTGACCCCAGAAATGAAAAGAGCGGAAAATTTTACGTCCGGATATGACCTTGAACACTGCCAAATTTGACCTCTGAAGGTCATATAAAGGTCTAAGCTTGTTTTAGGCTGAAAACATGAATATCTTCGAAAATGCACCTGCTAGGGAGCAATGTTACGCATAAGAATAAGAATGTAGAGGTCAACGAGGAACATTCAGCTGTGACCTTGCCCTTATTCTCAAGGTCATGAGTTAAGATTATTATTAAGGTCAAACCGGACTTTTTTAGGATTGAAAATACTTTTGACTTAAAAGTGTCAAGATTGAAAATTTTTACGTTCGGATATGATGTTTTCAACCTTGACCTTGTTCTCAAAGTTATGTGTCAGTCATATCAAGGTCAATTAATTTTTTTAGGCTGGAAACACATACTTTTATCCCCCCCCCCCATAATGTGAAGAGTGAGATTTTACGTTACGTACGAGATCACACTCCGATTGTTGGTAATTCCTCAATATCGGGCGCCATTTTGGATCGGTCATCTTGAATTTGTAAAATCCAACGTCGGATTCGATTTCAGAAACGACTTCAAAAACTCCTTAAACGAGATCCAATTTTTGTTATTCTTAAATATCGGCCGCTATCTTGAATCGGCCATCTTGAATTTGCAAAATCCGACGTCGGATTCGGTTCCCTCGTTGACCTCTACATTCTTATTCTTATGCGTAACATTGCTCCATAGCAGGTGCATTTTCGAAGATATTCGCATTTTCAGCCTAAAACAAGCTTAGACCTTTATGTGACCTTTAGAGGTCAAATTTGGCAGTGTTTAAGGTCATATTCAAACGTAAAATTTTCCGCTCTTTTCATTTCTGGGGTCAAAAGTATGGGGTCCTGTTTAGAAAAATTAACCTGATCTTGAAATGATCTTCAAGATCATTGTCAAGGTCAAATCCAAGGTCACCGTCAGATAGCCAGGAAAAAATGATAAAAATTTAGTACTTCGCATTTTTCCAGGACTCATATTTTTCGAGTTATTCTGCTCTTTCGGGACTTTTATAACATCCTGTATAATGTATCTTTATAGTATTCACAGAACATTATAACCTTTCATGTCAAAAATTAAAACAACGCAACAACATTCGATATGCGACGAATATCAATATAGACTATGTTTCAAAATTATTAATAATGGAGTATTAATAATAATGGAATATTATAATAGTTAACCCACAAAAGAAATAGTTTGAAACAAATTCAAGGAAGTTTAAACAAAAAATTTTAATTACTAAATCTAAAAAGAACTTTTGAAAAATATTATCTCAAATCCTGTCTTTTATCAACATGGTTTTTCTCAATGAAATAGTTTTTACTTCTAAAAATAATATTGTAAAAATATATTTTAATGAAACAACTCAAAATCGAACAAGAATATTAAACCTAAAGAAATTTTTCTCTATGTGAGTATTGTATAATATACAGGGTGTCCCATTTTAATCCGGCCGGCTGAATAAAATTCGAGGATATTTTCCAGAAAAAATGTCAGACAAATGTTGCTCAGTTCTAAGGGGGACATTCGATGCCATCAACAATTTTGACCTCGGGTGAAGGGTTCAAGGTCATTCAAGGTCAACTTTTTTTTCTTAAATGGGAACCCCTATTTTTCACATCAGCAATCGATTCTACATAAAAAAATGAAACTTTTGTCTGAAGCATTTTTTTTTTATAACGTAAACTAATTTCACTTATTCAGCCTCCAAAATTGAAATTTTCAAACTTTCTGAATTTTTTACTCGAGAATGGTGGGGTTTGGGAGGGAAATTGCAGAAGACAAAAAGTTCTTGGAATGCTGCAAGGAATTCACTCGAATTTTCGCCTAGTTGATCGTGCACTTTTTTCCGCCAATGTTCTACCTGTCAGGAGGTACCTCGAAAAAAGTGCACGATCAACTATGCGAAAATTCGAGTGAATTCCTTGCAGCATTCCAAGAACTTTTTGTCTTCTGCAATTTCCCCCCAAACCCCACCATTCTCGAGTAAAAAATTCAGAAAGTTTGAAAACTTCAATTTTGGAGGCTGAATAAGTGAAATTAGTTTGCGTTATAAAAAAAAATGCTTCAGACAAAAGTTTCATTTTTTTACGTAGAATCAATTGCCGAAAAATAGAGGTTCCCATTTAAGAAAAAAAAAGTTGACCTTGAATGACTTTGAACCCTTCACCCGAGGTCAAAATTGTTGATGGCATCGAATGTCCCCCTTAGAACTGAGCAACATTTGTCTGACATTTTTTTCTGGAAAATATCCTCGAATTTTATTCAGCCGGCCGAATTAAAATGCGACACCCTGTATAAGCTTTCTTAAACGTTTAAATAGTATAAGTGCGGATATCTCCACGAAAATAGGAACATTGTGTCCACATGAAATCTATGTGGTTTTGTGGATTCCACGTGAATGCAACGAATGCGTTCCACGTAGATTCGATGTACTTTTTTGTGGGGATATACATATCAGTATACAGGGTGAAGAAAAAACCACGGGATCCCTGAAAATTTCGAAAAATATACACTTTATAAAAAAATATTTCAGACAAAAGTTGTAGCGTTGAAGAAGATCTATTTACCGATCTTAACAATTTGACCTTGGGTGGTGTCATCAAGGTGAAGACAAGGTCATCTCGGATTTTTTAAATGGAACCCCAATTTTTTATTGCATATTCTTATAGCCCTTCTTCAGACCTTTTTAAAGCACCATAGTTTTATCCAATTTGAATAAGCTGTTTCGAAGTTATCGAGTTTTTTAAAGTAAGATATCTAGCCAACTAAGGCAAGGTCGTAGGATGATCCGGCCAACTAAGGCAAGATCGGAGGATGATCCGGCCAACTAAGGTAAGATCGTAGGATGATCCGGCCAACTAAGGCAAGATCGTAGGATGATCCGGCCAACTAAGGCAAGATCGGGAGTTGTCCGGCCAACTAAGGCAATACTGGAAAGCTTTAAAGTAATTGTTCAAAATGTCCGCCATCAACAGTTTGACAATAAACTAATCTATCGTAAAAAAATGAAACAGCTTTTTGAATGTAATCAGCAGGAATAAGAGCAGCGTCATTAAGAATTCGATTTCGTAAGTCATACTTAACCGACACCTAATACTGATGCCCACTGCTTAACCACTCAATATTTAGTGTCTACACCAATAATACACCGAATATTGACGGTTACATCCAACCGACATCCAATATTGATTGTCTACACCAAAATAATAATGAATATTGATGGTTATACCCAATTGACACTCAATATTGAGAATCTACATCAAAGTTACATCGAAAATTTGGTAGTCACACCCAACCGACATTCAACATTGATGCTCAACACTCAACTAACACCGAATGTTGACAGTTAACACTCAACTTTTATGGTAAACACCCAAATTTCAATGTTTACATCCAAAATTGAGGATTTTTTTTCATAAGGGGTACTACATGATGTGACACGATATGACCAAAGCTTTCTGTTATTTTTTAATGAATGTTACATATTGTTTAGAATGTATGTTATTAAAGTGTGTATTATACCATGTGACACGATATGACACGACCAAAGATTGCTTTTTTATGAACGAATTTTATTAGTTAAAATGTATGTTTTTATATATATATATTTATATAAATAAAGTTTTTTTATACATACATATATATACATATGTGTTTATTCCAGAGTGAAGCAAAATATGAAGGCAAAATAAGAAAAAGCTAAATGTAAACAAGTATTAGGCAATAATTTCGTATTATTATATAAATTTTATAAATTATATAATATAAATTTAAAGTTATATACGTAAATATATATCTTAAATATAAAAATATTGCAAACCCTTGTTTACATTAAGCTTTTTCTTATTTTATATCTTCATATGCTTGTAATATTTATTGATCCAAAACAAAAATATTCTTATATGTAATATTACGCTGTGATTATAGGAATAATGCATTATTGCAATTTCGTTACATTGCAATATTGTTATAATGTTTCGTTGCAATCATTTCTGAAAGCGGACATTTTAACGTTGCTGCAGTCTCGAAACAACGTTGCAGCAACATTTCGCAATGTATTTGCAATGTTGCAATATTGCAAGGAAATGTTGCTACAATGTTCCTGCAATCTTACTGTGCTGTATGGGCGTTATTCGAATGAAAAACGTTGTAAAATTTGTGAATTTCATTGATATATATCCATATAGAACAAATATCCAATATGTATGTCATGAATATTCTCTAGATATCGCGATATCTATAGGATATCCATTGAATGTATTTTGGATATTTGTTCAGTATGGGCAGACTTCAGTAACTCATGAAGCAGCCGCAGTGTACAAATAGAATGGGTGAAAAAACAAATAGAATGGGTGGTTATACCATTTTGTAATTTTCTCAACATTTACTCTGTAATTAATTAAAATATATAAGCGAATGAACGCACGGAAAGAGATACAACGAGCTCTAAAAAACGTTTACTTCTTAGCAACGATAAGTAACAACTCATTTCGGAGGTACGCGGCCTTGTGTTATCTGCAAATGACATGCAAAGCAGAATTCACGACGAAATTTCGTGAATGTGAAATAATATTTTTGAATACATTTTATGCTAGGATATTATTATTATAATCAAAGTCGCAAAGATGAGATATGAATTAATAAATTTTTACTAAAAATAGAAATCTGTAGAAATTTGTATATAGATGTAAATATTTGTAGAGAAATTTGTTTTTTTGTAGAATTTTATATAAAATAATACCACAAATTACAATATTCTATAACCTAGAAATCATTGCAAGTAATATTTTGTAAAAATCTACAATTTTATTGAAGCAATTACAAAAATATACATATTTAAAAAATTGAAAGACAACAAAGTCTGTAGAAATAAAAATATTTTTTGTAGAATATTATAAATATTTAGAAATATCTATGCACATCTACAAGAATTTTCATATCGTAAAACTACGTAATTTTAAATCCAATGCAGTTTCTCATAAAATACAACAATTTTTTACATATAATTGCAAATACCGATTTATTTTTACGGCTGTACAATGTATTACAATTACTGCTAATTAATATTTGTACTTTTCACTAAAATAGTACAAATTTGTACACAAATTTATTAAAAATTATTTATTATTAATATTATTCATTTAATTGAAGAAGTTATTAATATTGAATAAATGTTAGTAGATTTGTGTATAAGTTATATATTTAACTAAAAATAATTGTTTTATCAGTTTTTAATTGTTTGAGGTGGAAAAGGGTAATTGAAGATATTATAATTATTTGTAACAATATGTAAATCAATTAATGTTTGTACCAAAATCTTCACAGTACAATATACTATTTTTCGTGAACATGGATTGTTGTACACAAAAAATAGTATACTGCATTGTAACAATTTTTGTGAAAACATCTATTCAAGTATATATTGTTGGAAATATAATATAAACTACGCGTTTTCACAAAACATAAAAAAAATTTACACAACTATTTCCATTGTAACATTTCTTTATTTATACAACACTTATTTCGACATAAAAAATACGTAGAACATCGCTAATAATAGAAATTGACGTAATTTTGCCCTGTAATTTGTAGATCAAATCGTAGCAATGTAATTATAAGTTTCGACCGAAAACTACGAAAATCTACAAAATTCTAATTCTAGCATTTCATTGTAGTATACTATATTTTTATGGACATAGGAATTTGTAGAATATCAGTATTTTTTGTAGTTTGACGTAGTTTTGCTGAGAATTTTATAAATCAAGTATACAATAGAAAAGTACAACAAATTATAAGTGTTCCAATTCTAGCATTTTTATATAGATTTTTGTAGCACATTGTAAATTCAAATAAATTTTTTTAAGGACTTCGTAAATTTATGTAGAATTTCATAGTTTCTGACACTTATTTTTGGTCGTTTTTGTACTTTATTTTTATTTTTTTGTATAAATTTGTAAAATTTTTTCCGCCAGGGTACCTTAATAAAATATTTTTATATATTATATATAACAATATACCCGCCTTTTCTGCCTCTTCCGCCTCTGCCCCCTCTGCCGCCTCTACCGCCTCTGCCAACCCTATTGTTAGTTCCTCTGTTTCGTCTTCCTCGTCCCCTCTCCGTTAGCTGTAGCAGCATCGAGAGTTGTGCCTGAAGACTGAAAAATATACATATATGCACACATATAAACAGAGAATCCGGTAAGTCATCAAGCAGCAGCCATGTACAAATAGATTTTGTAAAACTGAAGTGATATATTACAGCTAAAATCACGAGATATAAAAAGAACAGAAAAAGTTTTTTTATTTATTGCACGATCGCGAACGAGAATACCGCGCGAATGACGATCAAGAAACTGATATACGATTTATATCGATATATAAATATATGGTAATAAGATGAAATTTTTTGTACTCAAAATTATTTTCCCCAAATATTTCAACGTTACGTTGGTATTTATACTCCGGCAAGCGTTTTCTAGAGTAGTTGTATTCGTGTGTTGCATTTAAAGTGTGCGTGACGTACGTGTGCATACACGCACCGTGCACACACACACACACACGCACACACACACACACACACACACACACACACACACACACACACACACACACATACACACGCGCGCGCACACGACACAGAAACTGCTCCCGTCTATCCGCCTGAGGCCTCGCCCACCGCTCGGCTCTTTTGACGAGCCAAGCGAGAGAGAGAAAGATAGAATGTGTTCGTTCCATCTCCTTCTAACTCGCAACGTTGCCGAGACTATGCTTCCCGACACACGGCCGAGACTGATGTTTCCCTCTTAGTGTGAATCCATTATTCATAAATAGGTTAGAATAATTGAATTTCCTACTTCGAATATTCTACAAATATATATTTTCATAATTACTTTAAATAAATATTTATAATTTTCCTAAAATTTAACAACTTTTTGTTTTTTAATGTAATTATTTAATATTTTATAAAATTATATTATCTGATAAAATATTGTTGACTGTCTCACACGACACTGCTAAGTTAGCCTACTCTACTCTACTCGATTTATCGAACAGCATTAAGTTGTCATAAATCATGAAGATTGTAGATGATCGTGCCTATCATACCTTTCAGTCTTAGTGGAACTAACTCGAGTTCGATTTATCATAAACACCCCGTGACGTGCGAGCACAGATGTCTATACTATACTAGATTGCTAACTTCTCAAAAGAGCTGTGTCCCGCCCATTTTCCAGTTCGGCCATGAAGACCGCCAAGCATGGCGGCGGTATGTGTTTGTAGTGTGTATGTGAATACCCGATGCGTATGTAGTAGTGCGTGGTAGTGCGTATGTGACACCTGATGTGTCTACTACTATTTATGTTAGTAAAACTGCAAATCTACAAACGAGATAATGCCGAATAAATATTGTAAATTTCAAAAATACGAACAAGAAAGAATATCATTTAAAGATGTGTGTATTAATAAGGTGTTACTAATCTAAGTGTTTGGTAAAGGTTAAAATTAAATTGAATATATACAGTTCAAAATATGTCAAAGTATTTGTATTAATATTTTTTACATATATATAAAGAATAAAACGCAACTTATGTGTTATTAAATAATATTAATTTTGTCTTAATATTAAATTTGTGTCTGTTACTTGCAGGATTTCTATCTTTCGTTGTTTTTGTAAGTGAATACATTCTAATATTAATAATATTAATAATATTAACATAATATTAATAATATTAACAATGTTTAATTGCAAGATAACCCTCACATATTACAAACCTCGAACATTTATTATATATAAATGTATTCTACTTACTTAAATAAGTAATATCCTTTTTTATTCGTATTATTGCAATTAACAATGCAACATGTACTTGGCATTATCTCGTTTATATATTTGCAGTTTGACTAATATAAATAGCAGTAAATACGACACATCAGTGTAGACACATCAGGTATCACATACTTACAGTACAGCACTACTACACACGCATCGGATACTCACGTACGCACTACAAACACACACCGCCGCCATGTTTTGGCGGTCTTCATGGCCGAACCGGAAAATAGGCGGGACACAGCTCTTATGTAGGTCAAAGATCGAAGTTAGCAATCTAGTATAGTATAGACATCTATGCGTGCGAGAAAATGACCTAAGAATCTTTTTTCAAAAATCACTCTGTAGCTCCTTTTGCAAGCGATCCTCTTAATTTAAAATATCATAATTATGAAATGATCCTCTTCGTATTTTGTTCAAACAACGAAAAATGCTTTTGCTTAAGGTGCCAATTCATGGGAGCGTCGAGCGTCAAAGCGTCCAACTAATCAGTTTTTTATTTCTTATTTCACGGATAAAAACAAGGAACTTTGATTGGTTGGACGCTTTGACGCTCGACGCTCCCATGTAATGGCACCTTAATGGCAGCTTAAAGGCCATCACACGTAACTGACCAATCACAGTCGATTATTATAATGTCACAAGAGAAAGGATCGACTGTGATTGGTCAGTTTTCTTACAACCTTACGGTTACGGTTAAAATTTTTCTATGTGTGATGACCCTAAAGGCCATTGCACGTACAAAAGTTTTAGTCGTAACCGTAAGTCCGTAAGCAAATTAACCAATCACAATTCGTATATTTCGAGATGCTGGATTGTGATTGGTCAATTTGCTTACGGTCTCACGATTACGTCTAAAATTTTTTTACGTGCAATGGCCTTTAAGGCCATCATACGTAGAAAAATTTTAACCGTAGCCGTAAAGTTGTAAGAAAACTGACCAATCACAGTCGATCCATTCTCTTGTGACATTATAATAATCGACTGTGATTGGTCAGTTTTCTTACAACTTTACGGCTACGGTTAAAATTTTTCTATGTGTGATGGCCCTTACTGTTCACGCTTTCTTCTTAAGGTTCGTCTACATTAGCTGTAAGAGTAAGGCTGTAAGATTGCAAGACACGAAATGAAATATTTTCATTCGCTGACAGCTTACATTACAGCCTTACAGCCTTACTCTTATAACTAATGTAGACGAGCCTTAAGGTCATTCTACAATACGTGTCGTAAGTTGTAAGCTGTAAGAATTGGCGAATCACAGTCGATTATTACAAAAATAATCGGCTATAATTGGTCAGTTCTTACGGCTTACAACTTACGACACGTATTGTAGAATGACCTTGAGGTCTGGTCTACAATAGGTGTTGTAAGCTGTAAGCCGTAAGAACTAACCAATTATAGCTGATTATTTTTGTAATAATCGACTGTGATTCGCCAATTCTTACGGCTTACAAGTTACGACACGTATTGTAGATCAGGCCTTACTGCTTACGGCCATTGTAGACCACGCTTAACGTTATGGTAGCTCCAACCTAAATGCATGCAAACGTACGTTGGAAAAGTATGCCGATTGTCATAAGCATGTAATTTGACTTAAAAGTTAAATGAATTTGAATATTACAACATTATTGAATCTACAGCAATTATATTAATTGCACAACGGTGTTATTTACAGCAAAAAATATGGGTTAGTATAAACGTAAAGTGAGCGATTGGACTGTAAAGTATTTTGAAGGTTATGCGGTTTGTGATTAGTAATTGAATAACCGTTTTATTTTAAATATCATAGCATCATTGCCAATTATTCAGCGTCAAATAAACAACGTGATAAGAAGGTTCAAATTCGAAGAGTTGGAACGTGATGTAATGCCAATTTTCCCAGAGATAACTTGGAGTCGTGTCAAGTCGAAATTAGTCAAAAACCACAAAAATTTTACTTGTATCAATGTTGTGCGTGTCATTGAAGAAGCTATTAATGTAAGTACTAACTTAATCCATATAAAATTTGTTATAATAATATTTTTATATTTGACTTATGTTATTTTTGTAGATTGCAAATTTAAAAAAGAAAGATCTATATGACAGATTAGCCATACTAGAAGTGACAGGTAAAATAATGATTTTATCTATATCTATACATATGTATGATTTATCCTAATTATTAATCTTTATTTATGCAAGTAACGCATAATGTTTTAGATATAAGTAGACACAATAAAAGAAAGACATGGTATGGTTATGAATTAACAAATTTAAACAAATTAATAACCTATGTTGGAAAACGTAAACTTGAAGAAAATATCACAGCTGAGTTCTATTCGAATGGTATACAAGTAAATGTAAAAGTTGTAACATATAATGATATCACGTTTGTATATATCAAAGAGCAGAAGAAGAAACAATCTATATCTGTTACACCACTCTTCTTTGCTGTATTTTTGGGACACAAATATTTTTTCTGTTCGAAGAAAAATGTTTCTAGTGATTTTATACAAGCAATAGCTACTACCTTGGGCTATAAAGACAGCAAGAGAATTAAACTTACAGGTAGAGATATCAGATCTTTGATGAGAATGTTATGGAACAAACAACAAGGTGTTTTACATGCTGCAGATCTTAATCGATCATTGGTATATGAAGCATCTGATCCTATCATCAAGTAAGATCATATTTCCTCCATCTTTGTATAACACAACCAAAATATGTATTATAGTTATTATCTATTGTAGGTATTTTGCAACTAAATTGTATGTATTATATAATATGTCATCGTATATAACAAGTGATTTTTACTATAGAAACACTGGTATAAATTATACACAAACTACACAACGGACAAACTATGCGAAACAGTGTTTTGGTGAAGATCCTCCAACTTTGGAATCGCTGGTTATACGAGGACCACAAGAATCTATACAACATCGTGATCTGGCCCTCGTATCACCCTTTGATACTATACATATGAAGTAAGAATAATATCTTATATGTGTATTTTTATTAAATTAACAGATAAAGATATAATCGTAAAATTGATCATTAGATTTAAATTTTTTGTACATTATCATTCGTTCTTATTTCTTATTGTTTTAGTTGGGAATTTCGTAGCCACAATGTAGCCAGATTCTTGTCCAATTTAATTGAAAAACGTATATTTGTATTGCCATTACCCGAATATATAACCAATCTTATAACACTAGGTAAGAACGAATTGACACTTCAAGCCTGCTGACACTTAGTAATGAGAATAATGACACTTTTATAAAAAAGTAATCATTCAATAACTCGCATATAATGCTTACTACTGATTATTATTAGTATATTGAAAAAAATTGTACTTAGCGTAATTGTGACCATTGCAGTAAATGGCTGTAAAATGTTTTATAAATAATAACACCCGCGTGCGTGTATAGTTTTCACGGAATTCTAAAATTAGTTCTTTTGTATAAAGAGAAGGTGTTAAGTCTGCATAAGGTCTACAGAAATTGAATCATGAGTAGATAATAAATAATAATCTAAACCTGTGTAAAAAGTACAATGCGACAATGATGGAGCAGCAGTAAAAAATTAATATTTATTGTAACTAACCAATAAAGATAAAAGATCTAAAATGTTAAGTTTTTATTATATATTTCATATTATTACATAGATATATATGTATATATATATATATATATTATTAAAACTTTTATCATATCAATAAAAGTACTTTTCTCAAAATTTCATTCAGGCTTATATATTTATATTATATAGCTTATATTAAATAGTATACTATATATATATATGGATGTTATTATATCTACACTACACACATTGTTGATCTTTACAATAAATGCTCAGTGTGCATAATACTCAGATGAATTGTAACAAAGAGAGGATGTTAGATAATCGTTACGTGTTCATGGTAAGTTAAATCTTATTATTCAATATATCCGTAAATTTGCGTATTACAGATTATTATATCTCAATATTTCTCGTATGCCTTCAACTACATTCGTCTTCCACTTCTTCTTCATCTGAAGTCATGTCAGGATCATTGGCTTGCGACTGACATTTGTCGCAATGACAAACGAACAGATACAGAGAACTTAATGCCTTCTGCCTGGAATATCTACTTCTCTCAAGCTCGCACTCCTCGAGATAACTCGTACAGATTTCCTCTTCAGGTTGTATGTCCCGTATCGCCCTCAACACTAATGTGTTATTCGAATAAGGAAACTCAACACTTGCATTCGGCATACAACTGTGGTTCACTGCTGATTGCAGAATATAGAGACCAGATCCTTCATTATCTAAAAATGAACCTACCACTGATAGAAAAAAAAAATAAAAACTTTAGTTCATACTAGGATATAATATTCAGTCGACACTTCTGTGATGAAAAATATGTAAATTACCTTCTTCCATTTCATCGTAAATTCGATCTATCAATTTATCAATAAAAATTCTTTGATCTTTATGCATATCTAGAGCTGAAACATTTTTTACCCAACGACTGAATGGACTTGTACCGATTCCTTGTGAGTTCATTCCTACCAAGGCTAATAAACTCTTAAATCCATCTGGTGTAAACCACTAGAAACCATAACATTAACATTACTATGCATATTTAAATATTATCATATAGCTATGTTATTATTATTAGTATATGTAGAGTGTAGTCAAAATTATGGTACAACCAGAAGAGATGATTCTACATAAAAAATAAGCTAAAAATGTAGAATAAATTTTTTTCATAAACCTTATTTTTGAGAAAATCAACTTTGAAATTCTATCAAATATATTATATAGTGATAAGAATTTCTTTATTTTACTAAGAAATAAGATGTTAAAAATGTCTCCTTATTATGTAACACACAGGTGCAGTACTTTATATAAAAATTGCTGAATTCTTGCCAATATAGATTAAGCTTTTATAGTTTCAAATACTTGAATGATATATATCTTTTTTTGATTTCTTCTTCAATTTTGATCCTATATAATATGAACTAAATTCTTTATGTTTCCAAATTAAGTGGTGTAAGATCAGGTAACTATAAAAGTCAATACACTATTTTGCCATAAATTTTTAATTTAATAAATCTCAAACTTCCCAACTATGAATCATTATCATATCGAAAAATTAGTTTTATATGATAGTTTGACACAAACTGAGAAATGGAACTGAGACAAGGAGAGAACATAGTCGATATCTGATGAGTAGTCTGATTTGATGAGATAGTCGATATCTATGAGAAATATTTTATAAAGGTTAATGTCAAACCGTATGACAGATATAAATTATACATGTTTACCTGATAAAACTTCAAAGTTCATTTTTCCAAAAATAAAACTTTATGTGAAAAAATTTACTCTATATTTTTTCATTTATTTTTTCATGTGAAATCATTCCTTTTTTGGTACCACGATTTTAGCTGTACTCTGTATATGTATACATTAACATACATGTGCAGTATACTCAATGTTGAGAGCTTTCTTCATCATTTCCCGGAGAATGTCAATGTGTTCTACAAATTTCCCTCTTGAGAAATTATGTTCAATCGGATGCATATCGTTCACAGTACGATGGCAAAATTGTGAAAACATTGAGCAGATATCCTGCTTATCGTTTGCTTGATTAACCATAGCAACTATTCTTGCTAGCAACATAATTGTTGCAGTTTCCGGTGGATAATGTATTTGTTTCCATGTTTCATTTAATTGGGTTAAAGGATGACTCTCATCTTTAACTCTTGATTGCAGGCACAATGTACTATGATATCTAAAATATATATGCAGTATGATATATATATATATATCAAAATATTTCACAAATAAGTTGTGAAATATAATTGTATCATTGAGAAATACAATTTATAATTACCTCTGGAATGCTTCATCTTGACATTCTCTGCTACAATACTTGGTCCCACATGAGGGACACTCAGTCATCAGATTCTTATTCGTTTCACAGCATTCGCTATTAGGTAAAGCAATGTTTGGATTTCCTGTTAGCCGCTGAGCATTTTCTTCAGCAGTTTCCAATGGTCTCATACAATGATCACAGGCTAAATATCCGTAGTCAGAGTTCCATGAAAACTGACAAGAGACTACAGGCTTCTCTTCTAATATGATATCTCCTTCCTTATATCCACGTTTGGAGAATATCCCTTTACCCTAAATTATAAGGTACACAAATCAACAATTAGAAATATACAAGGGTATCGTCAATTAATAACAATTAAAGAGTCCGATTCTACAGAAAAATGTCATGATGAATCACAGGGGCACCATGTGCAAATAATTACTGTCAGATCTTACCTTTTCATTGTTCACTATTTTGATAAAAAAGCCTTTGTCCTCCATAATTGCGTATTAGACTGTATCAACGATTGAGGAAGTTAACAAGAGAAAGACCCACCTAAGCTCACGTTTAAATTCTAACCCTCGAATATATGTCGATAGCCATGAAGATTTGTCACGAATGTACTACTAAATTCAAAACGACTACTATAAGCGAGAAGCTCGCATTTTCTGATAAACATGTACCCCGTATAATAAATCTTTAAATAAATATAAAATTTCTAAATTAATATTTCAATGCATTTATGAAATATACTCATTGATTTATTTACATGTTTTTGTATTGGCAATCGATAAGTATCGCAATTTCCGACATATATTCTGACTTGAGGAACGTCGTAGCGTGCTTCTCTTGCTTCCTTCCGTAAAGAGGTGTAACGAAAGTACGAGCGATTCGCGCGTGTGGCTTGTGAGCTTGGTGAGGATCATCTGCTAGGTCTCTGGACGTTCTTCTACTTTTTGCAGCAGCAGTGTGGAAAAACGATGAACGGGACAATGGCGATGGTAAGCTATTTTTTCTCTTAGTTGATTCGCGACGAACACAGCCTTATCGCGATATCACTGCGGGTTAACCATCCGCAGCATGATGGCGGTTGTGAAGTTGTCTCTTACGTAGTCGAATCACCATGACGGCTGGACGCGTGTCGATTTTTCACGTCCAGCCGTAAATTGCGCTACGCTTACTGAGGGATACCCAAGAAGGGCGATGTTAGTCTCGTGAAGTTTATAAGAGATGAAAACATATAGACATTAATGTTTTTTTTTTCTTTTTTTTTATTAAAGACAATTGCATCTTTAGCAACATCCAAATAATTTGTCTTTCAACGAATGCAAAAAGAACAAGATTAATTGCAGAGTGTATACCATCTGCCATTGACTTCTCTTTACTTTCATCAGGATAATTTCTTGATGCCAAGTTTATAATTGGATCTTTTTTTTCATTTGTAGGCACCAGCGTCACAAAACAATACGGAACCACCAAACAAGAAAGCTAAGTTGGAAGGTAAATTGCTAATGCAGCTAAATATCTGCTATGCCCGTAATCGCTAAAATATTGTATGTATAACTGTGTTAGAATGGGAAACACAATGAACACAGTGAAGCAACAGCAAGTGTATCACATATATACATATATATATATATATACATATATTTAAAGCGAGAACATGACGAGGAAATACAATATAGCTACTTTACTTAGGACACTCAGGTGCTAGTTTTCTCTTAAATGCTGCCAGACTCTATAAACTGCAGAATGGTCTGAATTCAGAAGCAGTTTAAACATAAAAATTTTCGTAGGCTAGGGTAATAGATGATTGTTGTTGGCGCTAAATCACACTAATGTATGGTTGTCCTTCTGTTCTGAGATGTTACAGCGGAGAGACAGTACAGAATCCGTGGCCTACGACTGAGCTGTGATCATGAGCGTGCGCCAAACAAAGAAAGAGATCTCAACATTCGTTGAACAGAACAAATCAGAGTTTTTACAAACTCCCACTGATACAGCATCTATTGTCGAGTACCAAATATGATGCGTATTTTAGATAGGTCAGCATTTTAGGGTAGTTTCTCTGGTCCCGATTACGAGCCTCTTCTCTCCTCTGTGAAATGATGTAGCTTCATCTTACGACAGACAGAGATGAATTTCGTCTTTTTTTCGCGATACCCGGTAAAATATGCAATTAATCGAGAGACTTGTAGCTCAGAACATGTAATTGTTCTACGAAATTATCACTGTCAGTGACGGTAACAAACGTGAAAGCAAATCTTGAAGTGTTCAGAGGCTCATAATCGACAGTGGCAATGGCGAAGGGTGTACGTTAAAATTGCCGTTTAAGAGAACTCATCCATTTATACATTTGCATCTCAGGTGTAAACGAAAGTTGATAAGTCCCTAGCACTTGGACGTCGATATAGCCATCGATGTCGTATACAACGATGTACGACACGGTGTATACGGTGTTCATTCTCCTGTCACTTCACTTCATACTCCTCCGTTCTCCGTTCGTTTTACTTTGTTCCATCATCTATGCGCGGGATGATGCGATGGTTGTCTCCTTTCTCGTCGCGCGCTATTTTTTAGGCACGTTATAACGATGTCCGAGTGTGTACATGTAGGCGACATATGCATACATTGAGGAGTTGAACCGTAATGTTCAAAATTACGTGATACGACTTCCTTGATATCGACTGTGCGGTTCAACTCGATCCGCGACGTCATTCGTATACTGTGATCGTGGCAAAATAGAGAGAAAGAGAGAAAAAGAGAGAGAGAGAGAGAGAGAGAGAGAGAGAGTGAGGAAGAGAGAGAGAGAGAGAGAAAAGAGAGAAATTCACGCGTGCCCAATACAATATCATACGCCTACGTTGATTATGATCTCGCCATTGCTACGCAACAAGTGTTAGGCTTAATTAACGTGGTAGGTTGGAAAAGGCAGAGACTAAGGACATGGCGCAGAAAATGCACTGAGAGTATTCTCCTTTGCTTTGTGCTTACAGATTTGAGTGCGTCGCCTCAATCTCGGATAATTTGCGCACAACCGTCATTGCTCAGCCCATGAACACGGTTAGCTGTTAATCGAATATATGAGTCCTTAATTCACGAAATAGTCGAACAAACTTTAAACGAACGAAACAGGGAAATCTCTTTCTGACGTAAAACGTTACAACGTGTTCTGATTTCTGTTTCAGAGACTAGCAGACCAAATTGGTTAGGATCGTATGAAACCTAATCTAATTATGAGTAATCAGATTTTCGGGGCTGATTGTGCGAAACTGCATAAGCTAGAGCTTTGATCTTGATAATATCTCCCTCGACTATAAGTGATTTAGTCGTGACGCACATACTTGTTTCATGATATATATATCTCATGTAATATATATCTCGGTTTTCTCACAAAAGTTCATCCGTAGCATCGCTCCTGACAATAATTCCGATAAATCTCTTACCCGCGGTCTTCTAAAATCGAATCATATGAATCTACACTTGGTTGTCTTCCAACAGCATCGAATGAGAGATACGGCCTATGTCTCTCTTCATTTCGATGTGTGCGCTTTTATACACAAATATGTCTCACGTTTTAATCTACATACACATATATCACGTACAATCACACAGTTACACATTACACGCGCACTGACATACCCAAGTTACTCTTATTAAATGGATGTGAAGAGTTTGTAATATTATTCCTTGATCGTTTTAATTTCTGTGAAATTACAGTTCGGAGGACGTGTACGGTTTTAACATAGCGGCTGATATCTGGCACGGCATCATTACTCCCATGTTAAAAAATAAAAAAAAGGGGGAGAAAAGAAAGACATTCCTCTAATAAATAGAAATAACTATTGTTCGCGTTGCAATCAATGCGATTAGCTGAAGTTGTACTAGTCTAGGGTAATAGGTCGTCGAGCTATATACATTGATTGGTTGAGGCTAATTTTCGCGATATCCGATTGTTGAGATAATAACAATCGTGTAAAATTACTATATATTAAGAATGTATCAAAAGGAACAAAAGAGATATAACAGAATCTCTCATTTCTTGAAGCAACGTGAGTTACAAGATATAATCGAACAAAGGCTTGTTGATGAAAAAGCAAGCCTAAATTTCTTGAATTGAATTACTGAGAGATGATTCGCTGATGTAACTCGTTTATATATCGTACCTGAAAATGATATGTTTCAAGTATTCTCCTAATACTTGCCTACATTGATGCGAATGTTTATCTAACGCATGATTTCTTCGTAGGAAACGCAACAGAGTTCTTATCAGGCCCCATATATGATCTCAATCAGATAGGTCAGGTCGTTGCTGGTACGTATAATGTATATATTTTCATTTTTCATTAAATGTGAATATACAATATATATTTTTTTATTAGATTAAAATATATATTTAATGAACTCCTTTCCTCCTTAAGTATCATTACATTATTTCTAATGCATGTTACTATTTTACCCTGAAGTTGAATTAATTTGCACAAAAGAAATTCGCAAATGATGTATAATTTTAACTCTTGTGACTCTTTAAAGTCTGTTCAGTTTAAGTTATATTGAACATTGACATGCAAATTTAATGGACGTTTTGCTGATAAGATCTGATGCAAATTAATACTCTATTTCTTTAAATTGTTCTGTAGATCGATCTAACTCATTTGATATTTTTATTATACTATAGGACCTGGCGCTAAGTATCTGACACTGCCTGGCATATTAGGAGCTGGTCTACCGAAAATCACATCCGAACAGCAAGATACAGTAAACAGGGCGAAGAAATATGCGATGGAACAAAGCATCAAAATGGTCCTCATGAAGCAAACATTGGCCCATCAACAGCAGGTAATTTTTGAACTCAATATGTTACACACACATACACATTTTTTTTCAGAGTTGGGTAAGTTTCACTTGAAATAAATAATGAAAAAATTAAAAATAATAGGTAATTAAAAAAAATGATTGATACTTTATTATCTTTTATTTAAATAAAAACTTGTTGAATAATACCCAACTTTGCGTCTACTCCATTGTATATAATTCTTAGAATCTTCATATATCATGATGCTGGATATACTGTATAAACAATTATTTTTAACGTTTTTTGAACATATCAATATATATTTCGAATTTTTAAAACTTTTTTTTAGAATATACAATGGATATAAGATGTGTAACAATTGTACTGAATTTGCTTATTGAAGAAACAAAAGTAACCAAATCTTGTTTGAAACTCTTATTAAACTCTTGATTCATTTACCAAATTTTATCATTCATGAAGCTAATTCGGTAATTGAATGTAACATATATAAAATTCTGACATTCACATATTTTGAGATACTTTATGTTTAATATAACAAAATGTTAGAATATTAAACTGTTCCCTCGTTTAGCTCTTTACCAATCATAACGATTTCATATGCGCTTTTGACTTAACTTGAGAAAAGCTCATCCCGCCGAGTCGCGCCAAATTATAATGAAATTATATGGAAATAAGAAAGAATTGAGAAATTCAGATCAAATCGATTCTGACTAGTTGATTTTTTTCTCCCTGCAGAAGAATAGATTGGTCCTGCGGCAGCAAGTTTTATTGCTAATGTGCAGGTTAGTGTCAACCAAACCAAATCAAGACAAATCGATAAATCGAGCCTACGATCCAACACTCCTAAACATTTCCTTAAGTTGCTACTGTAAAAGAAGATTAGATATAATCTTAAGATAATAGTCGGCGGGAGCGGAGCTGTGCCAATGCGAAGGAAGAGGACAAGTTTTTGTGCATGATCTTTTCGGATGAAGATTGGAACATGCACTTCTGAACTCGATCAGCCTTCTGAAAGCTATTTGAAAGAATAACTATGAATTTTAAGTTTAAGAAATGTAATTTGGAAACTCTGAAATATGCATAGTATATTATTTTTCCTGAAGTACGATCTATATATTTTTCTAAAGTAAAAAATTCATTTCGCGTTTTGTACCAATTTTCAAATCATATTTATATTTTTTTAAATACCATGGCAGAGTTCATATATGCTTCAACTTGAAGCGGTTGCTTTCGACATGGTAGAAAGAATTGTATACATTTTTCTAAATATTTTGTTTCATCTCGATGAAAATATCCTACTTCGCAATCTCACTAGGACTATTTTGTAACTGCATTTTTCTTACAATACTTATTAGATTTGAACGATAATCTCAATACAATAATTAATACTATAAAAGTCGAGCGAAGAAGTCGGTATGGTAAAAGAGCTTGGGGGTTATTTAAATCAATGAGATACATGGTGTATTTGTAAGGGGAAGGGATATCAATGGGAGGCCTATGGTCCTTTGTGTTGCAGCAAATGGCTAGTCAACGGAATCAGGTGCAGCGACAACAGGCTCTCGCCCTTATGTGCAGGTTTGTTTGTTCTTTGTCTTAGCCCTCGAAACATTGTGCGCAAGAGACCCACCCTCCATTATATACCCTAAGCTTAAATTATACCTATTATTATATTTTTTAAGATGCATTTATTTTATTGGTAGAGCTAAGTGTGAAGAAAATTTTAAGTCACTCTTCTCTTTACATCAAGATTATTAAACATTTTCTCCAATCATACTAACAAATTACAGAAACTTGTTTTTTTGTAGCTTTTAACGAAAGTTCCTCGTTTACCTATTGTTGCGCATTGATTGTTGTTTTCTCAATCGTAACATATCTTTTCAAAAGGGTTGTATTAATTTCGTTTCATTATTAATATAATATGTTTATACATTTGTCTAAACTAAATCTTTTTTGTTTTAGACATCTTTTAGATGTGGAGTTGAGTAATAATAACTATTTATTCAGTTAAGAATTGTGTTAAAAAGTTAATTCAACTTTTTAACTTTAATCAATTTTTTTGAAATTGATTGTGCAAAGCAATATTTTTGTATAATTAATGTTTTAATTACATGTTGAATTTATATGAAATAATTAGTCTTTTACAAGAAAATAATATTGAACATTTTTTTTTTATAAAAGACTAATAATTTCACATGAATTTTTAATATATGATTGAAAAGTTAACTATACAAAAGAGAATACATTGATTTGCATAATCAACTTTAATAATTTAATTTTAATTTAACTTTTGATTTAGTTTTTATCTAATTTAAATAACTTTTAACTTAGCTAAATTTACAGGTTTTTAACTTCCAACATAATTTAGTTAGAAAATATATGTTAACTCACCCATATATATTATATTAACTCATCAAATCCTGCTTAGATGTCTCTAAAATGAAGCATTGTGTATTGTTTGGGATATGCATTTCTGCGTGTATCTCTTACATATTTGCGAAAATGTATTAAAATTAATCTCTGGAGCTACACACGCATATCAATTCCAATACGAATAATTGTAACGCAATCTCGAGTAAAACAAGCTATTATTAGTAGGAGAAAATACACGTACATATCGTTATGATGAATGACATAAATATAATTAATAACTGAATATGATTGTGTACGATACAGAGTTTACGTCGGCAGCATAAGTTTCGAATTAAAAGAAGATACTATCAGGCAAGCCTTCTTGCCGTTCGGACCCATCAAGTCCATCAATATGTCTTGGGATCCCGTCACGCAGAAGCACAAAGGCTTTGCCTTTGTTGAATACGAGATACCCGAAGCAGCACAGCTTGCATTGGAGCAAATGAACGGTGTCATGATTGGTGGACGCAACATCAAGGTAGCAGGACGTACCTATATAACGAATTTCCTGTCCCCCAGCAATCCTCCTATCATCCCGCCGGAGGTCGGCAAATTTTTATTTAGTTTATCCAATACTTTATATAGCTAACGATCTTCGAGCGAACTCGGGCATCTTCGGGCACGAATTGCTGCATCGCGGCGGCTTCGAAGAGTACGATTTGCTCGAAAATCCTGCTAATGCATAGTATCTCGTTTCCTTTATTTTTCTTCCTTACCTTTGTACATTTTGCTTTAGATTTTATCTTCCTTTATCGTGTTTGTTGCTACATCAATTATTTTCTTATGTTGTATTCTTACTTACAAGGAGAAGTCATGATGCAAAGATCGGAGAAAACTGATCAACCGCACGTCTCATGAGCTTTCCTTATTATTAGCGAGTAGTCTTGCGATATTATTAGCATAACACTGGAGAGATCAATACCTCGCCTTCTTTCGATTGTTCCTTCTAGGTAGTTGGAAGGCCCTCAAACATGCCGCAAGCACAGTCTGTGATCGACGAGATTACCGAGGAGAGTAAACACTACAATCGCATTTATATCGCATCGATACATCAAGATCTAACTGAGGAAGACATTAAGTCGGTCTTCGAGGCCTTTGGACCTATTACCTATTGTAAACTCGCACAGGGCAGTTCTCCGCACCGGCACAAGGGTTACGGTTTCATCGAGTACGAAACTATGCAGGCTGCGTTAGAGGCTATCGCTTCTATGAATTTGTTCGATCTCGGTGGTCAGTACCTGAGAGTGGGCAGAGCAATTACACCGCCGAACGCTCTGATGGGACCACCCAGTGGTACAAGTATGATGCCTACTGCGGCCGCAGTTGCCGCAGCAGCTGCGACTGCGAAGATTCAAGCCATGGATGCGGTAGCGAGTAATGCAGTAGCATTAGGTTTGACGAAATTGGGAGCTGCTGCACCACCAATACTGAATCAAGGTTTGCGAATTTCCAATCACGTAAGAATATGCGAACGGAGCATGTATGTTTAATTTGTGCAAAGTGGTGCATCAATTTCTTCGGCTCTATTTAGCTCGATTTGTTATTAGCCGTTTCGCACGTACTTGCTTTATTTGTATACATTTTACAATACATTGGCAATTTGCGATAAATTGACGTAGTAGATCTTCTCAAAGGTACTACTTCAATCACTTGCAAGTGCAAGTTTCAACGCAAGCTGGTATAAAGTCGAATATATCCGGGGTATTGTAATTTTTTTTTCCTTATTTTTCACTGTTTACTAAATCTTCCTCTCGTAGAATGCTCTGTTCAGATATTCTTATGTCGATGTTTCTAGCTTTCGCTTTTGTTTGGTGGAAAGGCGCACAGTGCATCGTGACCTTTAGATATCACAAAGTGCGCTGCGAAATACTTACGTGGATACAATGTTATAGCTCTGCCAGGCGTGGTACGACCGACCATTGCACCTGCAACAATAATGGCGCCGCCGACAGTAGCAACAGTAGCGCCGGTTATACCTCCTCCTGGTATAGCCATACCGCAAACTTTAACACGACCGCCAGCGATTATCCAGCCGATTCCTGGACAGCCCGTTGTCATACCGCCTCCTGCAGTCGTCGCTCCTACCATTGTTGGCACGCCAGTCGTGAGTACTTTTGTAAAAATATCTTTTGATATGATGAAGATAATATACGTGTTGTCTCGATTAGCTTATAAATTGCAAGATTCTCATGATAAGAAAAACTGATACAAAAATGTTAGTTATACAATTGCGATTATTCATTATTAGATACCAGTTACGACCGCGAGTTCCGATATCATGAGGCGAGCGCAAGAGCAAGCCGCTCATCAAAAGCAACAAGAGGAATTGCAGAAAAAGTTGTTGGAAGAAACGGAGCCACAGACGTTGCAACAGCAGGAAAATATGTCAATTAAAGGTCAAAGCGCGCGCCATCTTGTCATGCAGAAGCTCATGCGTAAAGTTGAATCTCGAGTCGTCATATTAAGAAACATGGTAGCACCGGAAGATGTGGATGAGAGCCTGCAAGAAGAAATTCAGGACGAGTGTTCAAAGTTCGGCGTAGTCGAGCGAGTTATCATTTATAACGAAAGACAGTCTGAGGACGACGAAAATGCTGAAGTGATCGTGAAGATATTTGTTGAGTTTTCCCAAATGAGCGGTAAAGTATACTTATATGTATATATATATACATATATACACACACACACGCACGCACGCACACACACACACACACACACTTTAAATTATAATATATATAATAAAAGTTATAATTATATTTACTTTATATTTAATATATTATAATTACATTTACTTTAAGTAATTAAAATTACTAATTGAAATGCGGCGACATTTTCTGTATTCATATATTTACAAAGCTCATCATTTTGCTAATATTTAGTTTGCTATACCTGTGCAATCATAATTGAATGTTTTTAATATCCTGTTTCAGAAGCGGAACGTGCAAGAGACTCATTGAATGGTCGTTATTTCGGTGGACGATTGGTTAAAGGAGAACTGTACGATCAGGCCTTGTTTGATAATAGCGATTTTTCCGGTTGATGTGTAGAATATCACTCCGATTTGCAGTGTATTATGTTTCTATCAATTTTATAGGCAAGTTGTGTCACTTAATGTTAACCGGCACAACCATGTGAGAGATTTCCCGCTATTTCACACAATCACTATTTATAACGAAATCTTACAGTATAGCGTTGAGCGGAATAGGCAAAAATATCAGACGCGTACGATATTCTCATGGTTCTAATAAGTTTTAATAGTAACTGTCGCAAAGAATGTGTAGTAGACAACCGAATGATAAAGCATTATTTGAGGGAAGTAAGTTAAATTGAATTTGCAACAATCTTAAAATAATGTTTTGTACGTTCAAGTTTCGATTCTACAAAACAAAATGAAACTTGTAATGTTATTTGTTGTTCTATATTGCAATTATATGGTAGAAAATTACTACTTTCTTAAAGGACAGATTTTCGTATATCTACTTACACATTATTCTAGCAATACCACACATTGTTATAACTTTAATATTAATTCTTAACTGGAATGCCCGAGTTTCGTGTAATAATTTATGTCACGAATTTATAAAGCAATTTAATTTGTTCAAAAAACGTTTGCTATAATATAAACAGACTATGTTTAACAAATAAAAAGAAACCTAATTTAATCAAATATAAATATGTGAAACAAGTGTACAAAAGTATAAACATTTATAATAATTTTGTTTCATGAACTATATGTATGTATACATATAGTTCTATAGTTATTTAATCAAAATATCTTTATAGAAAAAAAAAAAGGTTCAGAATTCTTCGGATTTCTCTTTACACTGCTCCAGTTAAAAGTTGATTAATATCAGTTGTATATGAAAGCGATACATCTTAATTTACACATGTGTATAGAGACAATAGAATAATAAATCGTTTTACATATAGCTATTTAGGGGTATTTATATCCACATTGTCCAATTTAAGGGATTAAATTAAATGTTCTTATGAAAGATTGGTATGAAATAAGATCTTACTGAAATATTCGTTCGTTATATAACAATAAAATTGTTACCTTTGTTTATTATAAAATTAAAGGATTGTTTATTAACTTCCCTAAAATTATATTATCTAAAATTATATTTTATTTTTTCAAACTTTTATTAAGTATTTTAACTATGATTTGCACTAATTCTGTTTTAGTTTATGATTTGTCATTATTTTTGTAATCTTCATAAACTGGAAAGTTTCCTGGTGTCTTCACACCAGAAATAGACAGAGTGGGACATTCGTTATCTTGGGAATATTTCTGCTTCAATTCACCAGCATTCTTTTTCTTAGTCATTGCTAATTGATAATTATCTTCTATTTCTTCTCGTGTAGGTGGATCTTTTCTGCGATATCGTAACCAAGCTTCCCACTCTGCTGGCAATTCCTGTGTAAAATCTTCTTTGTTTATTGGCTCGAAAGATCGAGGCGGCCTTTGCCGGTTAGAATAACGAATTTCCTCCTCGTAGTATTTTGTACCGTAATAGTCTTCGCCCATTAATTTACGACGAAAATAACGGGGTTTTAGAGAAGATATAAAGCTATTCCAAAGAATTTTGAAAACTCCACGTTCTTTAGCCATGTTATATTCTATAAAAAAAATGATAGTTGTATAAATTTAAGAATACATAAAACACATTAATATTAAGCAAAAAAAGAAATATTAGAATATTAAGAATTTAAAATATTAAAAAAATTTGTTTATTAGTTAATAGAGGACTATAACTTCAAAGTAATGTTGTACATATAATCTCAAACACGATTAATAGCATTAATATGTATGAATGAATCGCAAATTCAAACTCAAAAGTTCATACTCGATAAAACTTACTTGTATTAAATCGTACTGTTTGCGTGCAAATTAATTTATTGGCACGGCAATTTACTTATAGGTTAGATTTGTTTCTTTTATTTCTGCGGTTTAAGGTTTGTTCTTTGTATCGACATAAAGCTAAGACTCCATGCATGCGGTGAGCTCCGGCAAACGGTTGCGGTGACCAATCAGGAGGGAGGCGCAAGTCCGGTTGCGGCAAGCTCCGGCATGCGTCTGTCTTCTGATTGGTCACCGCAACCGTTTGCCGCAGCTCACCGCATGCATGGAGTCTTAGCTTTAGCGTAAAGCTAAGACTCCATGCATGCGGTGAGCTCCGGCAAACGGCTGCGGTGACCAATCAGGAGACAGACGCATGCCGGAGCTTGCCGCAACCGGACTTGCGCCTCCCTCCTGATTGGTCACCGCAGCATTTGCCGCAGCTCACCGCATGCATGGAGTCTTAGCTTTACAGTGGGAAATCCGATAAAAATTACGATTAATGTTAAGGCTCATCTACAATGGGTGCATTCAGTACTACACCGCTCACTGAGCGCTAAGTGAGCTCTTGCACCTGATTGGTATATACCTTTAGATATAAAAATATACACCAATCAGATACAAGAGCTCACTTAGCGCTCAGTGAGCGGTTGTAGTACTGAATGCACCCAATGACTGCAAAAATAAGGTTCTAAGCGTAAGCAGTAAGAAATAGACCAACCACAATCGATTATTATAAGAATAATATTATAAAGCCAGCGGCACATGGTGCTTGTTTTCGTGCTGGATTGCTTGCTGGATGAAAATACTGTGTTCTGATTGGTGCATTTCCTCCATCTTTAGAAATGCACCAATCAGAATGCAATATTTTCATCCAGCAAGCAATCCAGCACGAAAACAAGCACCGTGTGCTGCTGGCTTAAGAATAATCGATTATGGTTGGTCCATTTCTTACTGCTTACGCTTACCTTATTCTTGCAGCCATTGTAGATGGGCCTTTACTGAAACCAACACTAAAGGCTCGTCTACAATAGCTGTAAGAGTAAAGCTAAGACTCCATGCATGCGGTGAGCTCCGGCAAACGGCTGCGGTGACCAATCAGGAGACAGACGCATGCCGGAGCTTGCCGCAACCGGACTTGCGCCTCCCTCCTGATTGGTCATCGCAGCATTTGCCGCAGCTCACCGCATGCATGGAGTCTTAGCTTAAAACTAAGACTCCATGCATGCGGTGAGCTGCGGCAAATGCTGCGATGACCAATCAGGAGGGAGGCGCAAGTCCGGTTGCGGCAAGCTCCGGCATGCGTCTGTCTTCTGATTGGTCACCGCAGCCGTTTGCCGGAGCTCACCGCATGCATGGAGTCTTAGCTTAAGGCTGTAAGGCTGTAACGTAAGCTGTCAGCGAATGAAAATATTTCATTTCGTGCCTTGCAACCTTACAACCTTACTCTTACAGCTAATGTAGACGAGCCTTAAGAATGAGTATATTCACTTATTATAAGTTTTTAACAGAAATAATCTTTTTAAAAACAAAATCTCTCGAATAATTTTTTAAAGGAATCACGTATTTCAACGAGGATACATTGGTATGTTCTAACCACAGATGTCTATACTATATTAGATTGATAACTTCGATCTTTGACCTACATAAGAGCTGTGTCCCGCCTATTTTCCGGTTCGGCCATGAAGACCGCCAAAACATGGCGGCGGTGTGTGTTTGTAGTGCGTACGTGAGTATCCGATGCGTGTATAGTAGTGCTGTACTGTAAGTATGTGATACCTGATGTGTCTACACTGATGTGTCGTATCTACTGCTATTTATATTAGTAAAACTGCAAATATATAAACGAGATAATGCCAAGTACATGTTGCATTAATACAATAAAAATGCATTAATTGCAATAATACGAATAAAAAAGGATATCACTTATTTAAGTAAGTAGAATACATTTATATATAATAAATGTTCGAGGTTTGTAATATGTGAGGGTTATCTTGCAATTAAACATTGTTAATATTATTAATATTATGTTAATATTATTAATATTATTAATATTAGAATGTATTCACTTACAAAAACAACGAAAGATAGAAATCCTGCAAGTAACAGACACAAATTTACAAAATTAATATTATTTAATAACACATAAGTTGCATTTTATTCTTTATATGTATGTAAAAAATATTAATACAAATACTTTGACATATTTTGAACTGTATATATTCAATTTAATTTTAACCTTTACCAAACACTTAGATTAGCAACACCTTATTAATACACACATCTTTAAATGATATTCTTTCTTGTTCGTATCCTTAAAATTTACAATATTTATTCAGCATTATCTCGTTTATAGATTTGCAGTTTTACTAACATAAATAGTAGTAGACACATCAGATGTCATACGCACCACCACGCACTACTACATACGTATCGGGTATTCACATACACACTACAAAACATACCGCCGCCATGCTTGGCGGTCTTCATGGCCGAACCGGAAAATGGGCGGGACACAGCTCTTTTGAGAAGTTAGCAATCTAGTATAGTATAGACGTCTGTGGTTCTAACAAAAACACAAAATTATTTCATTGGCTAGATATCTGAAATCATCTGAAAATGATCCAGTAATAATATGTAGCCAATGGCCGCGTTCAGTAGAACAAAGTGATCAGAGAGCGCTTAGTGATTATTGTCTGTGATTGGAGATTCTTTTAGATTCTTCATAGACCCAGAAATATTTACCAATCAAGAGTGAGATTCAGTGGTAAATCTAGTAATGTTGTCCAACTGTTAAGTCTGCTGAACGCGGCCATTGTTCCGCCTGCGGAGCACGCCTGCGCAGTAACTCACAACGAAAGGCGAAAAATGAAATATACGCGGTGAGACATATTTGACTTGTGCATTCGTTGCAGTTGATGATTCATCTCGTCTATTTCTTTCAGAAGACCTTAAAGTGGAAGTCATATCTTAAAACGATATTTCACATACCATTTCCACACTTGGGTGGAAAGGTAAATATCTATAATTATGTTTTATATTGTAGATACTGTGTGTCAAAGTATTTCTTGAGAAGAAGAAAATAGGAAAGTATAATGAAATAATATATTATAATATATTTGTCTCACTTTAACTTATTACACCAGTTCAACAGTGCAACTACAAAGAACAGACCAAATATGTCCCACCCATACACAGGAATATAGGGATAGAGCATAAGCCCGTAACATTGGCGAGAGGAGTTGTGCTGAAATGCGGAGGACGACTGTGCCTAAGTTTCATTGGCTACAATAGTGTGCATATCAGAGCATATGATGCAACGACTTGACTGTCACTAGCAAATAGTAAATGTAACAAAATGATAAGAACTATTTACACTGACAGTATTTTGCAGAGGTTATACATGTGTCTTTTTTTCATAATTTCACTCACACACAACTTCATATACATATATGTATGTATCAAATCTTAAGCCAGCGGCACACGGTGCTTGTTTTCGTGCTGGATTGCTTGCTGGATGAAAATACTGCGTTCTGATTGGTATATTTTCGAAGATGGATGGAAATGCACCAATCAGAATGCAATATTTTCATCCAGCAAGCAATCCAGCACGAAAATAAGCACCGTGTGCCGCTGGCTTTACACACGGCACAACCACCAATTAGATTTAGGCATAGTTTACCTCGTCGCACTGGTTAGGGCAAGAACACAGGCTTTTGCATAACACATAATACATAACACATAAGAGAATAAACCAATTAGTTCTTCATTTCTCTCCTCAGGACAGAAATGAAGAACTCTGATTGGTTGATTCTCTTATGCGTTGTGTATTATGCGTTTTGCAGAAGTCTGTGCTCTGGCCCTTATCCCCCCGCAACTCTATGCTCTATCCGTATATTCCTATGGATGCGTTCTGTTTCACGCAATGCGCGCATTTTTTATAGTATACGTGACATAAACTATAGATAAATGCGCGCATATGCGTGAAACGGAACGCACCCTGTGTCTATGGACCCACTGCATATATTTCATTTCTCGCCTTTCGTTGTGAGTCACTGCGCAGGCGTGCTCCGCAGGCGGAGCAGTGATTCTCATTCTTCTCGAGTCGGGATGCGTTCCGAAAGTTGCAAAAAGCGGGCATTTACTATTATGTCCGCGAGTGTACCCATGAACTTTTGCTGTACTCGTCAGTTCTATGGTCTGTTCTTTATAGCTGCACTGCTGAACTAGTGCAATAAGTTAGAATGAGAAAAAATATAGTTGTCTCATTTTAACTTATTGCACTAGTTCAGCAGTGCAGCTATAAAGAACAGACTCCTAGTTCTGAACCAATGCAGTTTAAATGCAGTACTAGTTCAGCTGAAAAGAACAAACCCTGTATGTCATGGCCGAAAATGTCGAGGATCCACGCATCGTGTGTACGGCACTGGCGACTCGGTACGTCACTTCCAGGCGTGGTGAAGCATCCGTGCGCGTATGCCTGTGTGCATCGCGCGTGCGACAGCTTGCGGTAGTAGTGAGTGGTGCTGAAAATGGCCGTATACGTGCACAGCTCCGCCGAGTTTACTGATCTTCGTCGCAGGAGATAGTCCTCGGATAGTCGCGGCGCACGATCAATCGTTCGTTCGCCCGCTCGCTCGCTCACGCGCGTGCAAGTAGTGTGCGTCGTACGTTCTCGATGAACGAGCCTGCGCAACGAGACGCTTCGTCGACCCGATAGCGGCTACATTCCGGCGGATCTTGCAGCGAGGGCGGGGGAAGAAGAAACGGTGTCGTATCCAGAACCTCGGCCAGCACCGCGCTTACGAACGTCGTACGGAGCAGGTAAGCAAAGAGCTTCTCTTTTCCTCCGTCTCTCTTTTTCTCGCGTGCATCTCGAGATGTTCCTCGTGAGATATCGTTGTCTCGCCATTACCGACGACGACGATGTTACTCGTCGCCGTTGCCTCAGCACGCGACCCACTCCGAAGCTGCACGCGGACGACGTCGCCTCAGCTAGAGCGATTCGTCCGAAGCAGCTTGAAGCCAGCAGTGGTGGCTACCTTTCTACTTGCATCAAGAGACAGCGAACGAGAGAGAGATAGATAAAGAGAGAGAAAAAGATGCGATGTTTCTACCCCTTCGACTACACTTTTTTGCACCTTCGTGTCTCCAACGACGAGGGCCTATATTCATTCTTCCAAGCGCGAAGAAAGGGGAAGGGGAGAATCCTAGGAACTCGCGGCGACCGAGAGCGACGGAGAATCGGCCGATCTGTCAGTTCGTCCGTCGCGGGTGACAATCGATAGACAGACTAATACCGTGGTACGTTGCGTACAAATACGCGCGGTTGTAATCGCATCGCGATCTCTCGAGTTTTAACGCCAGTACGTCGTCATCGACGTACGACTGTTTTTTAGTTTCCTCGTCAATCGTACGTCAACGGCCGTGCGTAGCCCGATTTCCCGCAGCGCGCTCGCGCGTGTTCGTATGGCCAAAGTCTAACCGCTTTCCTCGCGGATGGGCAGCCACGCGCATACGCGAGTGCGTGCGAGAGCAGGATTTCGGTAAATCGAGCAACGAACGGCGACGTTCACGTCGACAAGGCAGGCGTGACTTCTAAGGTTACTACTTGTCAAAATTGTGTCAAACCGCGTGACCGAATGGTCAACACCTGTCATAGACTCTTGTCCGATCTCTCTCTCCCTCCCTCTTCCTCTCTCTCTCCCCTTCTCTCCCTCCCCTTCTCTCCTTTCTCTCTCTCTCTCTTTCTTTCTCTCTCTCTCTCTCTCGTCGTCTCTGTCGCTCTCTCACCGTGTGTGTGCTTTTCATCGTTCCCTGCTCCTCGGTCTTTCATTTCGTCGGCGACTCCGCTCTTATCGGCCGTTACGCTGCCGCACTCGCCACTGCGTTTCCGTTTGCTGCATAATCGCTTTACCGTGAGATGTAAACGCGATCGAGGGGTAGCGGCGGCACTATCGATTACGAGCGACGAGCTCGGATGACGACGACAAGGAGGAGGACAACAGACCACCGTTTCTCGCAGCACTAAAAAAGATTATCAGCTCCGAAGTTCACACAAAGGTGGACGAGCTTGCATCTCGCTGCTTGCCCGTACACATTTTTATTTCCTTTACACCCGGCCTGTTTGCACGTAGGTCGTATCGTCTCACATCGGCGTCCGCGAGCTCGTGGCTTAATTGAATTTTCTCCTCGTCCTAACGACCGGACGTTCCATAAGTCTCACTGCCCACTCAAAATGCTTTCACGAGTTATAAGGAAATACTCGACGATCGGCGTATTTGACACTATTATTTCCTCCCCCTTTTCCTCTGTTTCAAGGGAAGCGAAGTGCAGTGTGTGTTGGTGTGTCTCTCTCTCTCTGTGTTTGCTCTTTGGAAAAGCCTGACTCTGTTTCGTCCTCTGTTTATTTTAAAGGAACGAAATAATTTTTTGACGGACGGAGTAGATAGTTTGAGAATAGAAACGTAGAATGTCATTTTGTTTGCAATTAGTCAGCCTTCCTCGCGGTGTTATCTGGAATTTTTCCTACAGAGATTTATTATACATTCTTTTGTATCCTTTCAAAGGCATCTGGTTGACGATAGTAATTTTTGTGCGCTTATCAATGATATCTAATTTTTCTAAAACTGCTGCTTTATCTGTCATAAATCATTACTCTTACACATATATATTTGTGTGTGTGTGTGTGTGTGTGTGTCGTGTTCTCTGTCTCTTTTAATAGATTGTTATCTCTGAAGAATATTACAAGCACATTTGTTACAAATTTATTAAAATTATATGTATATATGCAGGCACATTATCTCTCAATTTTAATCAACATAAAGATGAAAGTTTTGTCTGTGATGGAATGTTGCTCTGCTGACTCTGTCCTAGTTTTCTCTATCAATGAAATTTCTACATTATTCACCGCTATTAAAGTTGTGTTATGGGAACAAATGTGAAACATTATTACCATACATTGTACTAAGTAGAACAAGTACTCTTTAACTCTTCAATCTTCAATGAATTAAGTAGAGTGTAGTATAGAACTATGGATAAATCTGATCTATCTGAAATTATCTGGTGAGATCTAAAACAGTATCAGGGTAAGATAAAGTTCACACTGTTATTTACAGAAATGGTTGTTTAACTAACAAATTGTGTATCTCTGTTTCAGAATTTGATTCAGTATTCGCTCAGTATTCGTGATACAATCGTTGGAGATTATCAGCGATGGGTCGCACTCTTCTCATCTATATCTGCAACGATTCGGATACGACGATAACTGTGACTTAGAACCCCACAAAGATGCGGGAGAGATGTGGCACGATCCCTTGGTATCCAGCAGGGATCTAAAAAAGAAAAATATTGGAATAATGTGAACTTTGCGTAAAGTGACGCAGGAAGGGGACACATTGTTTTAAACACGTTACAGAGAGTGCTGAATGATAATAGTTATTGAGTCCTTCGCGAGCTCATTGAGTGAAGTTTATATTTTACTATAAATTTAATACACCATTGTTATATAATCGCTGTGCTTTGTATAGTAGACGGTGGTATTGTTGGGGGTGTACTCAGTGTGTTCAAATGTAATAGAAGCCTGGCTTGAGTGTACTTGCGAGTATTTCGAAATATAACCGCCAAAATGTCGTTCTTATCAAATCTAAAGAAGGCCTTCCACTTTGGTGGTAATGACGCGAAAAAAAAGAAATTATATAACAACATTAAAATGGACTGCAATCCGGAAGAATTTTGGGAAATGGTGGGTGAACTAGGAGACGGTGCGTTTGGCAAAGTTTACAAGGTAACATTGGATGAGAAAAAAATCTTTCCCCCATTTCATCGAGTTCGTTGCCTCTTTCTGATTGATTTATCTCATTTAATGATTTACTATTTACCATAGGCACAGCACAAGCAGTCCAATCAGCTTGCTGCGGCCAAAATGTGTGCCTTAGAGGGAGAGGATGACCTAAGCGACTTTATGATTGAGATAGATATCTTATCGGAATGCAAGCATCCTAATATTGTCGAATTACATGAAGCGTATTTTATTGAAGGAAAATTGTGGGTACGTTATGTTGTTTCTCAACAACAAATTGAGCAACTTATATTTTGATGTAACTGTTTGATCTATCAACTCTACTGTACTATATAGTATACAAGTTCTCATTTAATTATTTCTAGTATGAAAAGATCATATTTTTATAAAATTTTTATAAAAGTGTGTATTTTTATAAAATTAATCTCGATTACTTTGAAATTAAAAAGGAAAATATTTGCATAGATGTTGATCGAATATTGCGATGGCGGTGCTGTGGACTCTATAATGGTTGAGTTGGAAAAAGCACTGACAGAAACGCAGATCGCGTATATCTGTCAGCACATGACGAAGGGTCTCGCCTTCTTGCACAAGTCCAAAGTCATACACAGGGATTTAAAGGCAGGAAATGTTTTGCTGACTATGGCGGGAGGTGTTAAAATAGGTAAAAATTCCATCTTTGACCGATCTTTCGCTACACTGGACCTCTTTTGTTATAGCTTATTTTATCATATTATTCTATTGTAGCAGTTGATATTTTTGTGTTGTTTTTTAGTTACAATTGTTTATATTTGTTTTATAATTATGATCATCTTCCAATTATAATTGTTTCACAAATCAAAATATTTTTAATTGTAGCTGATTTCGGAGTATCTGCAAAGAACAAACATACTTTGCAAAAACACGATACATTTATTGGCACTCCTTATTGGATGGCACCCGAGGTTGTGTTGTGCGAAACATTCAGAGACAATCCTTATGATTTTAAGGTAGGCCACGCTGTATATCATATCGATATACACATATCACGTGTACATTATATCGAGAAAAACTGGGAAATGGTAAATGGTTTGAATAGGGGAAATGTAATTTTGAATTGAGCGCGCATATTTTTCATCCTTTGCGCGTAATTCAAAGTTTTACATACAGACGTAAACTTAATCGTTCAGGTGGATATCTGGTCTCTTGGTATAACTCTAATAGAGTTTGCACAAATGGAACCACCGAACCACGAAATGTCGCCGATGCGAGTGCTACTTAAAATACAGAAAAGCGATCCTCCGAAACTAGATCAGCCGGGAAAATGGAGTAAGGAATTTAATGATTTTATTGCTAAAGCACTTATAAAGGACCCGAGCTCACGACCTACAGCTGACGATTTGTTAAAACATCCGTTTATAAGCCGAAATTTAGATCCAAAACCTGTCAGAGATTTGTTGCTTGAATATAAAGCGGATGTTGTCGAAGAGGAATTAGTGGACGAGGAGGCGGAGGTAGGTTTTACTTTCTTCTACTTTCTCAACCTTATTCTTCTTATTCTCATGTTCTTTATGTACATGTTAATTATGCGAACCATGTGCGCGATAAAAGCAGAATATACGATTAGTCTGAGATAGTTTTCGATTCGTACAATTGAATATAAATAACGTGCGAAGATGCATTTCGTACTCGGGAAACGTACATCTCGCAATTATGCAGCCGCATATTCCTTGCATGATTCTTCAACTACAATCTAACACATGCGCTTTACGCGAAAGATCGTTTTAATAAAGTTTTTTCTCTTGTGCATTAGTTTCTACCGTAGATGCACTAAAACTGCATAAACAATAGTTTAACATCAAAAGCTTCATTTTCTCGTGGGGAATTTTATTCTAGTGCAAGGAGAGTCCGTATTTTCTTAACGCGACAGCATATGGTATATAAGCATGGTATACAGGGTGTCCCATTTTAATGTCCCACCCCAAATACCTCTTCAGTATTGAAGTTTCAAGGAAAATAATCTCAATAAAAGTTGTAGGGATTTAAGTATGCTACCTTATGATGACCTTGACTTTGACCTTGACCTCCATTTTCAAGGTCATTTGAAGGTCAACTTGTGTTTTTTAAATAGGAACCCTTATTTTTTATTACACTGTTTTTTTTCTACTAGTTAATTTGAACAACTTTTCTAAACATCTAAAACATTTTTTTTTGTCTAATATTTTTTGAAATATTTGAGGAAAATTTGATAACTTTTTCAATATTTAACTTACGATATCTTGCTAATTATTTGTCGGAAAAAAAAGTAGTACTAAACTTTCTTGCTTTACTTAGTCTCAAGAATATATTGTTATAATAGCGCCCTGATTTTTGTTAATTTGATGATTTTGAAATTTCCAAAAATCAGTAAGTTAATAAAAGTCAAGGCGTTATTGTAACAATATATTCTTGAGACTAAGTAAAGTAAGAAAGTCTAGTACCACTTTTTCTTCCGACAAATAGTTAGCGAGATATCGTAAGTTAAATATTGAAAAAGTTATCAAGTTTTCCTCAAATATTTCAAAAAATATTAGACAAATAAAAAAATGTTTTAGATGTTTAGAAAAGTTGTTCAAATTAAATAATAGAAAATAACAGTGTAATAAAAAATAAGGATTCTCATTTAAAAAACGCAAGTTGACCTTCAAATGACCTTAAAAATAGAGGTTAAGATCAAAGTCAAGATCATCATAAGGTAGCTCACTTAAATCCTTACAACTTTTATTGAGATCATTTTCCTTGAAACTTCACTACTGAAGAGTTATTTGGGGTAGGACATTAAAATGGGACACCCTGTATAATATCCATTTCATCGTCCAAATAGTTACACATACGGCTTTTTTATGATGCAAAATTAACATGTATACACACTGTTACATGCTTCCGTCATTATAGAAGGCGAAAAAAACGAAAAAACACAGAGAACAATATCAGCGAATTGGTAAGCTGCTTTTAGATGAAACATATATGTCTCATCTTAGCCTTGTCTACTTGTAAAGAGAACATTGGCAGAAAATAGATTATCGAGATAATTGTCGTATCCAGTTAGAACTAGTAGTTCCGACAAATGCTATGAAAGAACAAAAATGTTTGCTGATAAAAGGATAAATTTTTCCTTGAACAAGAGGAATAGAGATGACTGTTTATACTTATATAGCATGATGTCACTCTTTATTTGAATATTACAATGATGCATGCATTTAAAATTCGGATCTGTTAAGAACTTTGTTCTCATCTTGAATTGTCATCAATTGAGTCATTAATCCTAGATCAGTAATGACGAGTAAAATGCACGAATTTAATTCTGTCACTATTTAATTTTGAACATGTGGAACTCTCTAAATTTCTTGTAGCAAAACCTTATTCTAAATGAATAAACATCTCGAATGAATTAGTGGGTCCTGACTTTCTGTAAGAATGAATGAATATTTTAGTTGATTGGAGTAAGTTTGTTTCTGCGATGGTAAAATACATCAGAATTATTCTTTAATTTGGAGTGAAAAGATCCACTCATCGATTCAGAATACAGAATTTTTTGTATACGAATACAAAATTACTCGAATTCGAGTATTTTTATTATCATTTTATTCTTCAAGTAAAATTTTACTCAAGAAATTTAAAGAATAAGTTTATTAATTGTCACTATTAATCTTAATGGTAACACGCTCGTTCTATGTGTTTGAGTAACACTATATTACCATACATATATATTATCAACAAATTGACTTAAATCAAGTCATTTATAATTTGTAATTATTGTCCTTTTTGGTTTTACGTTTAATGTAGTTTTCATGTATAATTTTGAATGGGGAATTTATATTAGTCCGAGAAACGCGCTTGGTGTTACATATTGTCAAGTTAAAATTAAAAATAACGTTACTTATCTAGGATTGAGAATATATCTATAGGGTAATCTCGTAGTATAAAATATTCGACATATACATAAAAAGTATATCGTGTGATTATGATGAATGTGTTTGTGATAATGTAATTACTTTGGCTGTGCATGCGGTTCTCCTGGCCCTCGCCAGCCTCATTACCCCAATGCGTGCCAGGTTAGTAGTTTGCGCCGTTGCGTCATGTGTGACGACAGGATTAATACTAATCCTGAGTGAATCACGTTATACATAATCTTAAGGCATAACACCAATACATCAATATATGTCAATATGAGAGAGTTTTTTGTATGTCATGTTTTCTGTATGTCATCTACAGCATGGGATAGTATTCAATCATTCTCAATGCTCCATTCTGTCTTTAGACCAATAACTGTGTATTCTTCTTTTTTGCAACTGTTCATATATTCTTTCTATTCGAGTGATAAATTGTAAATTGTAACTGTAATCTGCAAACTCTGACATTAGTTTATATCCCTGTCAGAGTATCTGGCTACTTGATATCATGTCATTTGCGGTATGTAGTGAGGATCAAAAGATTGAGAATAGAGACGGAGCTCTTTCTTTCTTCGCTCCTTATATCTGTGAATTAACGTATGTATTTGTATTTCAGGAGCAACGCACATCTCAGCTTCCACTGGAGCTGGATCAAATCGTAGATGACTCCGCATCTACGCGCACTGATGCCGATGTTAAGAGTAAATATCACTCCTTCCTTCCTCCATGAGGAATATGTATCTGGCGTACATAACGCAATACACATTCTTATGTATACACATTCTCATCCTTGTTCATTTCCAGTTGCTGATAAAGAAAATCTCGTGGCATTACCTGCATTTGTGAAGAAGGAGGAAAGTCACAAACGCGAGATCAATCGGGACGGTGAGAAAGAGGATAAGAATAAGAGATTACGTAAGGCCGAGTCCAAAGAAAATATACAACAACCTATCGAGAAGAAACAGGTATACAAAATAATTTTTAGGTTTTGAAATGTTAAGTTTCTCTAAAAGAATCGGAAAATCAGAGCAATTTAAAGTCATATAGTCTGGACAGAGAATTTCATTCTGAAATGTTAAATTCTTTTGAGACTGACAATTGTGCAGAAAATTGATATTTTTCAACTTTGCCACTAAAAAGATATCCTAGTAGTTTTCAGAACGACGAGAAAGAGGAAAGATATATTAAGAACATAAAAATTATTTGCGCAGGCACCTAAACCACCGCCAAGCGAAACAAGTGAGCGTAGATTATCTCGAGATAAAGGGCCAGCGCCTCCACCACCACCTATGCGTCAAGATAGTAAAAACGAGGAGAAAGAGAATGGCTTGAAGGACCTCGAGAAAGTGAACATCGTGAATCTAGCGGACAAACAGAAATCTACTGAAGATAATAAATCGCAGCAAGTTAGCAAATTGCCACACAACGAAAAGATGGCAGATCAGCAAGCGACAAACATTAAGGAGCAAAGAAATTCGGAGGTAGAAGATCAAAACGATTTTATGGAGAGTTCTGAAAAGGTGAAAAAATTGGAGAGCGAAGACAGAGGCAAACTGCTTGACAATATTAAGCGATTCGAGAATCAACAAAAATTAATGAACAACAAATCGAGTCCTTCGAAGAAACAATTAGGCATAAATGAAAAGCGCAAATCGGCACCCGTTAAGCCAGAAATGATCGAGGATTTGTCGAAGATAATATATAATAAACAATTATCTTTGCAAGATAAGGATGAGTAAGTATTTTATATTCGTCTCTTTATTTTTATTACTTCTATTGCTTTTTATTTTTACTAATTTCTAATTATTTATTTCTTAATCTTCATTGCTAGCTTATTATTGGAGATAAAGTTGAATTCGAAATAATAAAAATGTCACGAATCTACTTATCACGAATGATATTTTAATTTAGAACCGAAAACAAACTGTCATCCGTTGACGATGTAACGAATTACAACTTACAATCGCGAGAGAAGGAAGACTATAAGAGTTTAGAGGAGAAACGAAAGTCCGTCGGGGAAAAACTGAACGCCGTATTGGAGAAGCGATTGTCTATGGACTCCAAGAAAATGACGACCAACACCTCGATGGAAACACTGAAGCACATATCGGTCGCGTCGACGTTCCTATCGGAGAAGAACAGCGTTAAAGCAAGCTCAACAGAGGATATCAAAACGCAATTCGGCGTAACAAAGACTGAGGGTCCCGCGAAGAGCCGCAGCGCGGGATCGTCCAGAAACGATTCTCTGGAGAGCTTCTCGGACGAACTGCACACGAAAACGGACAGCAGGAAATGGTCGAGCACGGAACAAGAGGATGCGGTAAGCTCGGATGACAAGAGCTCGGAGAAACAGGATTCCGGAATTAACGTGTCAGTAATCACATCGACGCCGATCAGAAGCAGAAACGGCTCGAGAAGAAGCAGCGGGGAAAACATAGTCGTTATTACAGGTAACAGTCAACTTTTTCTTAATATTCAGTCTAAAAAATAATATTTTAATACTATGTTAATAATGTCTAAAAATATAAATATTAATATCACACATTTCTATTATACAAATGTTTATTTCTGTTCTATTATAGAAAAGATTATTTCTGTTGTTTATTTAATTACTTTTTTTTTTCTTTTGACAAAAATACAATTATGTCAGTTGTCAGATATATGATCAATAAATGAAAACAAGCCTGTAAACGCCAAAATATCGCTTGCGTGATGAATCTTTTAATAATAACTATTTCAACGAAGTCTATAAGAACCGACATAAGATGTCAATTGTAATCAGTTTTCTTAATAATACTTATTAAAAAGCTGATTGCAATCTGTATCTTGTGTTGGCTCTTATAAGTTTGATATCTTATTGTTATTATTTTTCTTTCCTTACATTACAATATATGTTGCAGGGAAAACTCAACCTGAGCAGGAAGTACGCTTAAATACATCGACCGTCCACATTACTGCCGACTCGCCAGACTTGTCGAATAGTCTAGCGAGTAATATCAGCCAGATAACGGTTGTAACGACGCATCCGCCTGTGCTCGTGGATGCCACTTCGGCGACGACTGCAACAACGCCTCTTCCACGGCGCACTTCACCGACGTCGGAGGTCGTTATAGTCGCCAACGAGATGAACAAAACTCAAGTGAACGATAATTCAACCGACGACGATGGATTTCCTAGTCTGGATAGTCTGGAGTACACGCCGCAGGAGCAACCAATCATACTCACCGATGTGTCCAAGAGAATTGGCAAGAAGTTGGATGAATCGGAGGTCGTTATAGTGAGCCCCATCGTGGACGAACTCCAGGATACCAGCCATGTCTCCGTGGTCACGGTCGGTGACGACAAGGAACAGGTGAAGGACTCGTCAATATCCAAGAAGCATAACGTCATTCGCACTGGTTCTTCTCACAGTGATCTAAGCTTGAACGAAAGATCGAGTCTGAAAAGCGACAGCGGCGATGAGAGCGGCAAGGTGATAGTCGCCAGCACGACTGTCGAGTCGCCGGACGTGGACGAGTACGATAGAGGTGCGAAGAAGATGAACGGCTTGATCAAAAACGAAATACCGCATCACACCGAGGACAGGATCATAAAAGCGGTCAAGCCGAAGGAGATTAACGTCAAGGGTCTCAAGGAGAAGCGAGTTTCTCCGGACAGCTTCGAGGGTTCCAGGTCTCAGAGCGACTCCAGTTCCATCAGATCGCACACACCGAGCAAGAGCATCGACCGCTCTGATGCTGAGTCCATTTCCACTACGATCAGTCAAGACAGCAGAGAATCGAACAAGGAAAATCGCTTGAACCAAGCTCAGCAGACGGAAGCCGACGAGGAGGTAGTTCTGCGCCGTAAACCTGACTATAATCGTGAGGTGTCTTCTAGACCGACCAGGACGAAGGAGGACATACAGATGATGAATTTGAAGAAGAAGACGCGAAAGCGCACGAGGAAGTTTGAGATCGACGGTGTCGTGGTGACGACAACAACGTCGAAAGTAATCTACGGCGACGACGAGAACGGCAAGGTATACGACGACCAGATATTCCGAAAGCAAGAGCTTCGGGAACTAAAGATGCTACAGAAGATGGAGCAGAAGCAGTTCCAAGATCTCTCGCAGAAGGCCCAATTCAACAAGGACCAGCAAGAGAAACGGTTCGAACAGGAACGGCAGATCTTAGAGCGTAGCACGGAGTCCGATCTGGATGCGCTCGTGAGACAGCAGAGACAACAGATCGAACGTACGGAGGCGCAGCAAGAAGTCGATCTGAGACTGGCGTCCAAAAAGATCCGCAGCGAGCAGGAGAGGGAGCTGAAGCAATTCCGCGAGGGCTTGAAGCAAGAGCTGCGACTGCTCAAGCAAGAAATCGACTTGATGCCAAAGGACAAGAGGAAGAGCGCTTTTAAGATACGGAAGGAAAAGCTCGAGACCGAGCACGAGGACAGAGAGAAACTCTTTCTCGAGAAGCTCAACGAGAGCCACGAAATGTCGCTGCGGAGACTCTCTGACGGTTACCGAGAGAAGATTGCGCTGATGGAGCGGCAGTTTTTGCAGCAGAAGCAGCAACTGATGCGCGCCCGAGAAGCCGCCATCTGGGAGCAGGAGGAACGACAGATACACGAAAAGCAGCAGCTGCTCAAGCGGCAGCTCAAGGACATATTCTTCCTGCAGCGGCATCAGATGCTGATACGTCACGAGAAGGAACTGGAGCAGATGAAGCGGATGAATCAGCGGAAGGAGGAGGAGCTGATCAAGCGGCAGACGGTGGAGCGTCGGAACTTGCCCAAGAGGATCCGCAATGAGATGAAGGCGCGCGAAATGATGTTCCGCGAGTCCATGAGGATCTCTATGTCATCCGTGCTAGTGCCCGACCCCGATGCCGAGCGCGAGAAGCTGAAGAAATTCCAGGAGAACGAGAAGAAGAGGTATCGGGCGGAGCAGCAAAGATTCGAACTGAAGCATTCCAGGCAATTGGAGGAGGTAAGAGCGCAGAGCGATGCTACAATCAAGGAGCTGGAGCAACTGCAGAATGAGAAGAGGAAGATGCTGATGGAATACGAGACGCTGAAACTGAAGGAGCAGGAGGAGGCCTATGGTAAAGATCTTCGCGAATGGAAGGCGCAACTTAAACCCCGTAAGCAGGTAAATACAAAATCATCATGAGAGATACGGTAACGTCCGTATTCATTTCTCTTTTTTTTCTCATTTCTCTTGGAAGATTGCGTTTTCTTTTATATCCCGTCGATGTTTCTTTTGGGTGCGAAAATTGATCGTCGATGACCTGCTAATAATTGCCTCATAATTCTCTATTAGTTCGGCAATACGCTTTTTTTCCACTGTCGAAATTTCGTTCTCAACTTACACATCTGCTGTAATAACAGTGTGAAGATTCAGTTTGATCCGAAAATCGGTGCAAACCAACGCTGAAACGACGCAACGGTGACGAAACGCCTCTGTAAATCGATGCAACAGAGACGAACTCGATTGTCATCGAGTAAAATATTCGGCAGCAAATAGCGGTCAGCGTTGTGAGTCGAGTGAGGATAAAGGAATCATAAAAAACTCTTATTTTACAAACGTCCCAATCTCATCATTCGGACTCTCTTCGATAACAGTTACAGTAAGATCGAAAAGAATTTGTATAAAAATTATATAAGAAAATTAATGATAATTATCAACATACTTAATAGTCATTATTAATTCTCAAGTGATTTTTATATGAACGTTTTATCGTAACATGATCATTCAAGAGGATCGGAAATAATGGATAACCGAAACGTTTGTAAAATTAAACATTTCTCTCGTTGGTGTATTAAATTTCGCTCGGTCAATACAGCGCTGGCTCTTATTTATTCCCGAACATTTTACTTGACTGTGTATCTCTATTGATTTAACATCGATTGTCATTGTAATTCTTACGATATGAATCCGTCTGCTTTTGCATCCGGCGTCGCTTTGCGCGCAGAGCTTGACTCTTGCATGACTAATCATTAATAAATTAAAATCTCTGTCGAATCAAGATAAGAAACGTGACAAGCGCGGAATCGGTGTAAGAAATTGGCAGCGGAGAAGAGATATATTTAGAGCTCGATGCAGATCCAAGTGTCAAAGAAAAAATAAAAAAAAAAGAAAGCGTCGTGCCAACTCGCGACATACTGAAATGAGTCTTGATGTTGTACCTTGTTATAGAAAATAGAAGCTGATCTGGCGGCTGAAAAGGAAGCATTGGAAACACGCTACCGAGACTATTTGCCTACTTCTTCTTCTGGTCTTAGTGGTCTCTTTCTTCCCTTTTATGAATACTCACAATTCGCCGTGATTTCCAACCACTCTCGGAAGAGATCTCCACGCTTACCACGCTCCACTCCCAACTCCCCGTCGTTCACCATACCTAGAGTGTCGTTACGGATTACCGGTTCCGATCCCTCGGGCTTCACGAACGGCATGCTTTCGCGCAGCCACTCCAAGCCGGACTTAGTACCACCTGCCCGTAGATAGTACCCGTCTATCTAAATGTGCCTTTGATATGTTTTGTTTGTTCATGTATTTGTTGTTGATGTATCGTCCCTAGACAGGAGTAGGATGGAGGAATGTTTCAAACGCGTATATGTGTAATTATGAAACTGTACATATAGTCAGACCTGGCCTGGGTTTCAGCTCAATACACGCAATTACATGTGGATATACATATGTATACACATATATTTCTTGTCGTGATTTGTATTAGCAAAAAGAAATTTCTCTGGAGCCGTTCCTCAGTCCAGCGCGGTGTATGCTGAATTTCAAGACAGCTCGAATGCACTTCTTTTGAATGCAGCTCGGAACGCATTGCTGACGGCGCCTAATGGGGCAACTTTTTTTTTGCGAAACTTCTCAAAAGTCAAGTTCTCTCACTGAACATTTGTTGCGTTCGAAAAGAAAAAGGATGAACTGTTTTGAAAGTCAGCGTCTTTCCGCCCGCACGGAATGTCTGAATTTAGTGCAATTTATTTCAACACCAAACGACCGTATAAATTCGTGTTGTTTTGTAAACATATGTATATAACATTTTTTCTTGCTTATGTAGCACACTTTCCGAATCATATGCAACTACATAACTAACGGAAACTTCCTTGCTTTGCTCTCACTCTGTACGCTGTTTTAACGGTAGTACAATAGCGCTTTGATTTCTGCTTATGTCGCTATTCGAATATAATATGTATTTTGTATTCGTCCACAGAGAAAGGGGGAGAATCGTTGATTTGGGAAGCTGATAAATAGTTATAGCATTTATGTAAAATCTACATGTAGGACATGCACAATTGAAATAGAATCATGTTGCGCGACGTAATGGCAGATTGATCGATTGTCCTTATCCAACAATGAGGAAAAGACAGATAAGATTCTCGTTATCTGTTAATCTACGATAGATCTATAAAAAAGATTTCGTTTGTTGTAGATAAATATGTATATTATGTCTCAATTTTATCTCGCTTTCATAAACTGTAATATTGTGCTGCTAATTTGAAAGGAAATCCGATGATAAGAGGAGGAAAGTGCGATTCATTGATTTCTATTACATATTAATGTAGAATTAGGTATTAAGATTTTTGAGGTAGATTATTTATTAGAACAAAAACGAGATGTAACATGCCGAAAGTGGCAGATGTAATAGTGTAATCCGTAGTGTATGTATCCTTATGTTTATGTTGGAACACAGATTCAAGTGTTGTATGGTTTCGTCTGCATATATTTCGATATAATCACCGTGTCGTAAGTCATGTCGCTTAATTACGAGCTTAAACAGTTAATTTACGGAAATAACAGGATAAGTGTTGCGGTTACCATGGGCTATGTGTGCTACAGTTAGTGGAAGTAACGTGTAATGAGCGGTTTCCTTGAAGAGGGTTCCGTATGGTTGTTTAATAATAGCATATATTATACACACACACACACAAAGAAAGAAAGCGGGAGACATACACAGACAGACATACATATATAATATTCTAGTTTATATTACAATCCTTGCAAATGTAACCCTCCACAAAAGAAACCCCCGTGATAGAATTATAAAGAGATTCCACAAATTGGATTTCAAAGCTGTGCACAGAGTAGTCACAAGGTTAGTCTACAATATATTGTTTGTAAGACGTTGTCGGTTGATACATTTCAGACATGCATCTGACAAAAAGAGAAAAAGAGACACATTTTGTAACTATAATATCCAGGATATTACTGAATATCTCCACACCACATACACACATACTCATCTATGTTCCCCAGCCATGTTCTCGCTATGTTGTAGAAGAAAATTCGAAACGTTTGACGTTTACTATGATTTTTAGTTGATTTAGTTGATTTCATTATTATATGCATATGCGCGCACTCATATCTACGAATAAGCTATAGCTAAGGGTGAGACATTAACCATTACTACTTTGCACACTTCATTAATAAAAAAAAGAAACAGAGTAACTTTCAAATCTTTCAAGCTATTCCATCTGGAAAAAGGAGCTATAAAACGATTGCTTTTGCACCACGTAATTTCTTTTAGATGAATTTAATATTTAGATACATTTTGTTTTATAAATCATATATATATACACACACACACATATATATATATATATATATATATATACAGGGTGTTCCATTTTAAATCCCCCAGGCAAATATCTCGAAAAGTATGGAAGATATGGAAAAATATTTCAGATAAAAGTTGCATCGTTTTAAGGGGGACATAAAACGACTATATCAGTTTGTTTACAGATAACGCCACTTTCGAGATATTCACTGATCGTTATTTTTCTTAAATGGAAATCCCAATTTTTTATTATATCATATTTTTCTATCAATTAATTTGAACAACTTTTGTCTGAAACATTTTTTTATTTGCCTAATACTTTTTAAGATATTTAAGGAAAACTTGGTAACTTTTCCAATATTTAATTTACGATATTTCGCTAACTTATTGTCGAAAGAAAAAATGGTACTAGACTTTCTTACTCTATTTAGTTTCAAGAATATATTGTTATAATAGCATCCTGATTTTTATTAATTGATTAATTGATGATTTTGAAATTTCCAAAAGTCGATAAGTTAACAAAAGTTAGGGCACTATTGTAACAATATATTTTTGAGATCAAATAGAGTAAAAAAGTCTAGTACTTTTTTTCTTCCGACAAATAGTTAGCGAGATATCGTAAGTTAAATATTGAAAAGGTTACCAAGTTTTCCTTAAATATCTCAAAAGATATTAAGTAAATAAAAAAATATTTCAGACAAAAATTATTTAAATTAATTGATAGAAAAAAATGGTGTAATAAGAAATTGGGGTTTTCATTTAAGAAAAGTAATGATCAATGAATATCTCGAAAATGGCGCCATCTATAAACAAACTGATATAGTTGTTTTATATCCCCCTTGAAACCATACTTTTGTCTGAAATATTTTTTCATATCTTCCATATTTTTCGAGATATTTGCCTGGGGGATATAAATGGGACACCCTATATATATATAGAAAGAGAGAGAGAGAGAGAGAGAGAGAGAGGTCGGGTTTAAATTTTTAGATACATCTTCTCCTATTTTGATATATATTTTGAAAATAAGGTTCAATGTAGTAATAGATATTACCTCACTCGGTATGTTCACCCTTCTGCTTCTAATTACAATATTCCGGAAAGGATAAAAGATTTATTCTTAAATTCCATCTGTATTGCCAATTTGTTCACACGCTAAATCATCACGTTATATTTTCGTTCGATGTGCATGAAGAGAATAGCCCTCTAATATTTCTCGTTCGCATTGCAGAAACTTGAGGAACAGTTCGCGTTACAATTGGAAGAACAAGAGGCGATCTACGGACCCAGCGCGATACCGTTGTGCTTGCCGGCCGATCTTCCGGACTTAACACACAATACGACTGAGTCTACACGTAGCTCGTTGTCTTCTGTGAGCGAAGGCTGATAAGAACGCCGACCTCGTCGAGAATGTGGATGCGAATGTGTATAATTTGTACAACTTAGCCGAAAGTTGGAATCGTCCTGTGACGCGCGGGCGAGTAGTCGATACTTTTTCGCGATTACGGCTTATGTATGTATATATTGCAAGAGAATTTGTTGCTCCGGAATTACATTTCGACCTAGACGCGGCCTTGAAATTTTTACACACGTCAATTTGTCATCGAGGGTCTTGCTTTCCTGATCTTTCTGAATCCATATTTAAAAATACGTTGCAGAATTGTGAAAAATTTCGTAACGTGCAGCATAAATTTGGATTTAACATGTTCGTTCTGCCAGGGTTTATTTGCGAAACATACCCTCCGCATACATTTCTGTTTTTTATGTAATTGTATAAAGCAGACTTAGTTCATTTATGTTCACATAAAAAGAAAAATTATCGTTGTTCAACATACGTGTGATACTGATCTCTCACGAGAAATCGACACGTTACACGTATCACGATAGCTAACGAACGCATGTTATGATACAAATATGATTTTTTGAAAATATGGATTTCGAACGATCTAAAGATGAGTTCTCCGACTCCCAAGGTATCTCGCTGAAATCTGTATTTCGTAAGCGAAATACCATCCAAGCGTCCAATTGGGGCGTCAATTTTTCAGGTATGATACTGCGAGTTTCCAAATCCTAAGAAAAAAGAATACTTTACAAATTATCATCGCGGTAGCCACTTAATGAAAGTTTGCAGAGGATATTTCATATATAAACGATTATGCTGCAAAAGCCAGTTTGATACTAGGAGTATTTTGTCGGAGGAATATTTGTATAGATTGTTATTATATTTATATACTGTGTGAGAGAGAGAGAGAGAGAGAGAGAGAGAGAGAGAGAGAGAGAGAGAGAGAGAGAGAGAGAGAGAGAAAGTACGTTGTGGTACACTTAAAATCAATCCGCCCACGTCGATCTTGGAGTATCGCGTTGCGTCTTATTGTAGTGCTGAGAGCATTGACAATAATACACATACTCCGCTGGATGTCGAGCATACTTCCTTTCGTACGGGAGTTAACTCCGTTAACTGTCAGCTTAACCAGTAATAATACTTTTAAGAAAGAAAAAGAGAGGGAGAGGGAAGAAGACAATTCACCGACCACCGTTGCGTATGTACGTATGTTTATAGAAAACTTCTAACAATTTTTACAGTTATACGCAATCCCGCAGACCACGGAATATGTATATTTTCTACATTTTAACGAGTATTATAATATTACTAATCGGCCCACTCTATGGATCGACTGCCGCCGCAGGGGTGTGTCAGAAATTTGTAATGTTGTTATATGTAATTATAATAAATAATAGCGGTAGAGAGAGAAAAGAGAGGAAGGGGGAGAGGGAGACGGCATACAATATCGGATCGCCGGACTTGTTTTAAAAATAACGATTTTCGAGATATATATATATATATATATATATAGAAAGAGAATCACTTTCGGGATGTACATGGTAAAGTTCATGTAAGCGCGTGTTAAGCCGTAGTCACCATGTTCGATTAGTTACGTTATTTATAATAACGAAAGTTTATATTAGTAGTAACGCGAGTATTCTACTTCAGACGAATATTTTAGTAAAGATCCGTGAACTCGGATTACTTTGTTCCTTAGATCGCCGTTTCCTCTTGCTGTATAGTAGCAATCTGTACAATTACATATTTGCAAAGTTATATACATTATCTAATTATGTTATAGATCAATTATATATATATATATATATATATATATATATATATATATGTATATGTATATATATATACATATATTATAAAGAACAATTATAGTATTTCGAAATATCTAATCTAATTTCTTAAAACACATACATCTAAGTGTATTGAAGATGATGAAGTAAAAATTTTGCGTTTTGAGAAATGTTAAAAATCAAAGTTTGTAAACACTTCGCTGATAATTCAAACATTAGAGAATCATTGTATGTGTATATACAGACACAGACATTTACAACAATAAGGAACAGAGTAATATAGTTTTACGTTACACTAAAAATCAAAGGATAACACCAAATATATATACATTGTACGTTTGCATGGCTGTGTAGCCTGATGACGTTCTAGAGAATCTCTTTAATGCATACTTAAAACGAGCATGCGTGGCTAAATGCGAGCTGTAGATAAAAGAGAGTACTTGTAAAAAGATCTTTTTTTTATTGTAAATTAATTTGCAATATGCATTAATTACATTAATGCGTATTGCAACGTTAATTAGTCTTGCAATATATGTACAGGATGTCCCAATACTCGGTGCAGAAAAAGAACAGTAAACGAATCCCTAAGTTTTGTACACAAAAACGCGTGGCTGGAAACAAAAAAAAGAAACGGTAAATGAAATGAGACAGCCTGTATATATACATATATATATATATATATATGATTGTTCATGGAATTTCATGTACATAATATTTTGATGAATCACTTAATATTATAAAAAAGTTGTAATTTAGTATAAATATGTTACAATGATTCATTTAGAGAGACAGACCTCTCTTTTTCTTTTCTTCTTTCTCTTGTTTCTTCTTTCCTCTCCTTCAATAAATACCGTGTATATCTCTTTGATCTACTGCGAGGATGATTGATTCCGTAGAACACTTAGATCTTATTATTCCAACATCGCTGATCATTGAATGACTCTATTAATATTATGAAATCATTAATACTTTATTAGTGGTACGAGTTAAAATTGTTCATCATGTTAGCTTACTTGTAAGAGACTGTTGAAATACATGAATTATTATTAAGTAAAAGGTGGAAAATTATTAAACGAATGGAAAAGTAACTCGCCAAAATATGTCCAAGAGTTTTCTCTCGATTCTTGTCACAAGTTGTAGGAAAATTTTTGAACATTAAAATATGTATTTTCATGAAGCAATTGAATTTCCCGCGTCGTTAGGATGTTGGCAGTCCGCAACAAAATACTTTAGGGCTGCATGAAAGTCAATCATAAATCTTTCCCTCTAGTGTAAAGTCGTGAAGAGATGGAAAATGGTGTGTGGACATTGTTTCGGAACAGTCCGGAGCCAAAAATAGAACCAACCAACCAACCAAGTCGTGAAGAGAGAAAAGCGCTTGCTTATTGGTCGAAGACGACGTTGATGAAACTGGTGTCCTCTAGTGTATCAAGACAATATTAACAGGAAAGAAAATTGACTATTGCGTTGTCTCTCTCGTGCCACACATTCGGAGTTCAATGTTCTTTCCAACGTGTTGTTCTTTTGGTTCACGGTGCTGAAATTTTGTAGGTGAGCCAAGCATGTTTCAATCGCACGGAATCGGGCTCAAACGAACAAAAATGAAAAGATATTTCGCGCGACTCAGAATCCGTAAAACTATCGCGTACATATGTCTCTCGTATTTTCTGTATATACGCGTGAAAAAATGCGGTAATTTTGTGCCAGTGCCGCGTGAACATGTGAATATTTTGTTGAGTTCGTTTAAGCCTGATGCACGTTTGTTGGTCGTTAAGTTTGTATAAATAAATTGACTGTCAGAATATCGTCTTAACTCTGAACTCTCATTCTAGAATTCAATATGAAATATAATAGGCTGGTTTCCTCGTCGCGCAGGAAGAACAGGAAGAGGCATTTCACGGCACCATCGCACGTCAGGAGGCGGCTTATGTCCGCTCCGTTGTCGAAGGAACTACGGCAGAAATATAATGTGCGCTCGATGCCGATTCGTAAGGATGACGAAGTACAAGTAAGTCGATCGGTTTGGAAGAAAGGATTGAGGAAATTTATAATATACAAAATGTTTACAATATACATGTTCTTCTTAAAGGTTGTACGTGGGCACTACAAAGGGCAACAAGTAGGCAAAGTTGTCCAAGTATATAGAAAAAAATTCGTCATATACATTGAGCGGATTCAGCGTGAAAAGACAAACACTGCAAATGTATACGTCGGCATTGATCCTTCCAAGGTGAGAATTGTCATTGTTTGTCTTCAGTAGAGAAAGTAATTGTTAATGAGCACTTCATGATTATTATTTTTAATTGATACATTCTCATGGATTTATATCAGGGAACTAAGATAATATTCTAGTATAGTAATTAGTAAGTGCTCACTGAGCTACTTTTTCTATGGAATATAGCCACCAATAACATGTATCGTACACATATTCAATATCTGTTCATTGAGCTTTGATTAATTTATTAATTACCTTCAAATTTTATTAAGATTTAAAAGTACAAACCAGTAAGATTCACAAGGTTACTGAAGACTAATTTTAAAATGAACTATATATTACATTTAGGTATGCATCAAATGTTTCTTAAGCTACTTACAGTAAGCAGTCATCTTATAATTTATATTTAATTTAATTTATATTAGTCATTGAAAAATTTAATCTTATAAATTATTTTTTATATATATATTAATTTTTTTGATACATGAATTAAATTTGCAAGTAATTTTTTTTATGAATGATGGTATAAGTAAATGTTCAATATTTTCTTAACAATGTTCGTATAAATTTCATATGACATTCAAAGTTGTGAATATATGTACAGTATATGAAAACTGATAATATTGAATGCATCTATAAAAACTTGCATATCTAAGGAATCCTTGAGAGCTTATGTTTTTTTTCATTTCTATGATGACCTAAACCATTCACATAGGTTTAGACAAATAGCTCGGCTTCAAAACTTTGTATAGGGTTCTCCTATACATTAGTTAAGCAGTCTTGCTTGGTCTAATCATTGCAGAAGAATTGGCACTGACCATATTATTTCTTTTCTCTTTTCTTGAGAATTTTTCTTTGGCAAAATTTAACTTGTATTCATATGATGTTGCAGACGGTTATTGTTAAGTTGAAGATGGACAAGGATCGCAAGAAGATCATAGACAGGCGAAGTAAAGGTAGGCTCGCTGCATTGGGCAAAGACAAAGGTAAATACACAGAAGACGTGACAGCTGCTATGGAGACATCATGAATTCTGATATTTTTCTTTGTGTTTATACTAATAAAAAAATATTAAAATCAAAACCATTATTGCTCACTTTCACCAAAATATCTTTATATATACATATATATTTTTTATGCTGAAAAACATATTCTTATATCTCAGAGATATCTAAATAAAAATACAAATTTATTTTATATAGTAAAACCAAATTACATCATAATAAGAAAATTGACAGCATAACCAGTAATTTCCATGCAGCGTTATCTACAAACAATAATAGGAAGTAATACTCTTAACTTATTGTTTCGAGATGGCGAGAGCTCGCAATATGTGCAGGAATAAGTTGATTATATCTAAATATATATTAATCGTGGCCAGGATATACTCCTCAGCTGAGAGAGTGTGCATTATCATTTGCGTGTCGAAGACGATAAACAAACAAAACAAGAGTGCACCACCGATACTTATAGCCAGTTCCAGTGCGGTGCTGTGAGCAAAAATTTGTATGAAACCACCAATCAAAAGACACCAGAGCCCAATGAACAACCTATAAAAGGGGGTTATAATTAAAAATATGCCAAATAGCAAGATAAATATAATCAGCTGAAAATGCTTAATTTCCTATTCCAAGAAGAAATGTAACTATGGTTGTGGTTCATTTAATGCAGCAACTGCCCCGAAACACGTTTCTATTGAATTTGTTAACATCATTATGAGATTAGAGTACATTGTCAGGAAATAACATTTGAAAAGCAACTCATAACAGTTATCATTACCTTTATTACATATTAAAAAGAAATGTTATCAAATTGAAAAAGTAACTTGTAATGTTAATAGTGTAATAAGTAAATAACACATCAATTCTTAACTTTAATATAATATTTTAGGAATTTCAATGTACTTTTGTCTTGTGGAATTTATTTCGCACATAAGCAAAATGCACAAGTTGATACAGGAAAGGCATACTCACCCGAATCCCATAAATGAGAAATCTCGTTTTGTTTGAAAAGTATAAGCTGTCAAGGCAAGCAGAACTGTCAATGTTATGAATAAAGCTTCCAGGACTACTGAGGTATCATACATGGATACCACAACTCCAACAGTGTATGATTGCACCAGAGTCTACAATTTTTAATACATTTTTTGCAAACATATTATATTAATATAAATAATAGAATCACTTTGTATACTTACAAATATGACCAAAAGAATCAAGTTAGTAGGATGATCCTTTCTTTTAAAGAGCAAACCAACCAATATACCTATTGTCAAGATAAATGCCAAAGCCATAGTCCATAAACTAAACCAGGAGATAAATCAATATCTTATCAACATTTATATATAAAGTGAATGCTCAAGAAGATTGTCTTACTTTTCTTGTACATATAATTTTACAGTTGAACTCATCATAAATATTGAGCCTACTGCAACTGTCATCAACAGCTGCATGCTTAATAAACCATATACTTTCCGCAAAAAGCCTGAGAAAATACATAATGTTACTAAATAATTATTGCAAATTTAATAAAATCGGTATCTTTCAATTATAAACAATCATGTTGGTATGGTCACAAGTCTTAATGAATGCTTTCTAACAAACATATGTTCGATTAAAAATCAATGAGGTTATATAAATACCCATTCGTATAGTAATAGTTGCATTGTGGACATTATTATTGTATGCAAAATCATTTTGTATATCATGTTCGGATTGTTCTTTGCCACCTCGTTCAATATCCTCCTCGGCCAATATCAACGGGACGGTAGCAGTCATTTTTCGATTTCCGTGTATAAACAATCTACAATAACAAAGACAAATATGACAATTCGATGCAACACGAAAAGGAAATGACAACTGGTTTCCACATGCACATGAAACTTCAGGAACCAAAGGAGCGACGACCCTTTATGCAGAACCGGTATGACGGGATTATTTTTATTCTCGAGAAAATAAAATTTTATGATCGTAATCAGTGACAGCCATATCCGAAATTTTAGCGAAGATGACTGCGTGCCACAATTGACGATACCTCGGTCCTCTTTGATTGGTTTGGAGAATTTTCAATGGTGAAATTTAAAGAGACAAGTTGCATGGATGCACATGAATGCCAAGTTGTTTGAATAAATGTCAACGATTTGACATTATCGTTGTGTGCAAATCGATCAATGGCGGATAAATTCCCGTCGCGATTACTTGAAACTGCGTCGCCTGAGAGGGTGTGTCGCATAGGCCGTTTTCCAGCTATGACACATTAAATTACACTGTGCTACACTAAAGTATTTGTTGGAACGCAGTTTAGTTTCTTTGTGTAACACCAGAGTGCATTACGGTTTGTCATTCTTATTTTTATGAATATCTTACGGATCTATATAATAAGCATATGTTGTGGCCTTCGCGCCTGATGCACTAAAGGCCATCATACACAATGAACGTAAGCAGTAATGCCTCGTCTACAATGGGGTCGTAGAGTCATAAAATATGGTCGTAGAGTCGTGGCGGTAGTCGCTTGAGAGATCGTAATCTTTGACTATATAACTATGGACTGTTAGCAATGACTGGGCATCTATAAACATCTGCAGCGCCGCCAGTACCAAACACGGCCATTATTAGAACTATCATCGCACTTTTCATTCCTGTTTTACCATTAAAAAGATACTTATTTGCGATCATGAATTTATAAGGAAAGGAAAATATAAAGAGCACATAAAATATGCTGTATATAATAAAAATTACATTAGTTATATAGTTTATGTTATGAAAATCTTTTTTATACAATAACAATTAGTATTTATATATAAATAAAAATAAAAATATATATGTTAAACATAGCATCACATATATATGTTAAACATAACATAAATAAAAATAGAACTTTGTTATTAATGTAAAAAAAAACGTTACATTTTCCATATTTGTTAAGATGTTACTGATCTATGAATAAAATAATTTTTGTAAACTGATGTCTGATGTACTCAATATTTTGGCTCATTAATTTCCCTTCATAATTCATAAGAATCTGTATATAACATTCTATAATTAATTTAATTAAATAATATTTGTGATTTTCGAAAACGTCTAACTCATTAACGTGGTTGTTAAAATTTATAAATACCTTATCCATATCAATATTACGTATTGTTTTTATAATTATTTCTTGGCATGCATTTTTCTTATACAAATTATTCTGTAATTTATAAAAATTAAAAACTTTATCAGCGGCAACAATGAGTTTATATGTATCTTCTCGTGGATAATGTAAATATCCACAGCTTTTTCTTTCTATGAATGTAGACTTCATAACTGTACATTCGTTAAAAAGATAAAGGCATGTTTCGCAAGTAATCTTTTTTAATAATTTTCGTTCGACAAAGCCTGACATATAAATGATAGCATGTTCTTTGCCTTCAATATTATTAATAGAATCAGATATCATTAAATTTTCTTCTTTATCACTATCACAAACATCATTAATATTAGCAACATTTGAATGTGCTACAGATTTTCGTGATGATATCGTAAGTATATTTGTTGTGTCTTGTGCAATGCAATTGGTTGCTGCAGAAGATTTCACTTCATTATGATGGAGTAGTCGCTTAAAAGCTGCGATGAATTATATAGCATTCGGATTATTATTAAATCCCCCCATGGATCGAATACAAGAAAATAAAATCTCCAAGTTGTCTTGCGAAAATTTATAAGTCATTATGTAATTCATTTTATTTTTTTCAACATATTCTCTATAGATATTTTCGAAACTTTCCATATTATTAATCAGTCCTAAGAAACCCGTTTTGCTTTTGGTTTGTAGAATATTCATCTTATCATTTATATTTTTTTTATAATTCTCTGTAGAAACTTTGATTTTAATGTTCGACAAATGTAATTTTGCTTCTGTGAAAAATGAGATTACATTATTAAATGTTTGTGGACTCAATGGCTGTTTATACCCATAAGAATATAAACTGCGAGAATTTAAAATATCAAAAATATCGTTCATAATCATAATAAATTGAACTGTAGCTGAGCTGCCAACAAAGTCTTTCATATTATCTTCTTCCAACTGCTGTAAAGCAATTGCAACACTTTTGCTCAATGTTTGTACTGCTAACTTAACATTCATTTTATTCTTTTGCCACTGAATATGTTTTCTTGTTAATTTATTTGCTAAATGAAAATGATTTTCTTCTTGATATTTAAGTAATTTAACGATAAAGTCCCAATTAATTTCGTTATCATTAATATCATATAATATACCTTTACTGGCAAAAACATTTCTTACTAATTTATACATATGAACTGCGTCCAAAATAATAAAAATTTTTTTATCTGAGTTAAAAGGATGAAAAAAATATGATTTGTTGGCAAAAACATTAGCACCAAGTTGTTGTGACATTGAAATATTTGCTGCCAACCCATCAAAAGTTAAAGCAACAATCGTGATTCCACTAGGGACAAGAAAGTCTAATACTTTCCTGGTTATCTCTGCTCGTTCTTGTGCAGTAAGAGAATCTATTAAGAAGTATACTACAGGAATTTTCCATCTTGCGTTCACGCCATTTATTAAATACACTAACGCTTCTTTGGCAAACGGTAATTCTTCTGGTTCATGAATACAACTTCCATAGTCAATATATCCTATAAACTTTCTCGCCAAATGATCCCACTGAACTTGTTTGCGAATAGCCATTTCATCCATCATTAAACATCCATATAATTGTTTGCCTTCATTTTCAGCTGCTTGACTTTTTATTTTCAAAATTTGTAATGATTCTGTAGAAAATCCTGGAGAGCCATCAGTACTGCTATACCATAATCGAATAGTGGATGATGCAGGCAATTTATTCATAAAAGTTTGTCGAACATAGCAATATGCCTTAGGACTGTAAAAGTGCAAGGTTAATGCAAACGCTCTCAGTTGCGGGGGATACTTTCCTTTAACCTTACCACCTTGTATCTGCTTAATGATATTCATCATTTATCAGAAATACTCTGAAAAATGCACATTTTTTATTATTAGCAATAACAAAAATACATATATATATATATATATATACAGGGTGTTTGATAGCTGATCATGCAGACGAAAGTTGGAGATAGATTGGGTGTAGCCGAGAAGAAAAGTCATGTACCATAATGTCAAATTGGCAATAGTTACCGAGTTATTAATTAAAACATGTGAGCCAACGAGCGCGTAGAGAGCGGAGGGCGGCCGCAGTAAGCACGTAGATATTTGATACAGGCGGAGTCAGTGAGTGACGGTAGGCAAGCGCACGCGGCGAGGGGCAACGTAAGCGACAAAAGGCGATCGCACGCGACGAGGAGCGAGCGAGCTTTTTCTTTATAGCATTTTCCTTATAGCTCGCTCGCTCCTCGTCGTTCGCGCTCGCTCGCCTCTTGTCGCTTGCGCTCGCTCGCTCCTTGTCGCGCGCGATCGCCTCTTGTCGCTTACGTTGCCCCTCGCCGCGCGCGCTTGCCTACCGACACTCACTGACTCCGCCTGTATCAAATGTCTACGTGCTTACTGCGGCTGCCCTCCGCTCTCTACGCGCTCGTTGGCTCACATGTTTTAATTAATAACTCGGTAACTATTGCCAATTTGACATTATGGTACATGACTTTTCTTCTCGGCTACACCCAATCTATCTCCAACTTTCGTCTGCATGATCAGCTATCAAACACCCTGTATATCTCATATGGTATAATATATAGCTACTAGATACGTCTACTTCGTTATCATTCGTTATGCTCAACGAGTTCCATCATTTGCCGTGTTTGGTACTGGCGGCGTTGCAGATGTTTGTAGACACTTATTGCATGGAAAAGTAAGCTGCTAGCAGTCCATAGTTATATAGTCAAAGTCCAACACGAAACAAGCATCGTGTACCGCTGGCTTTAGACACACAATATTAGGGATAATTTGTGGTATCTGGGTGCAATGAATTATTTTTAAAAAGCAATTTTTTTAACCCTGAATGTGTGTATGTATGTGTTTATAAAGTCATATATTTAATGAAATTGTATTATTTAAAGGTATGTAAATAATGTAATGTATGCTAATCGGGCCTCGTAAGAATATATATTAGAATGTGTTGTATTCAGCGCCACTGCGCCTGTGCATCATTTCATCCAATGAAAAATGTTCACACTTTACCTCGTCGCTCCTCCCTCAGTAGCTTCACCCCCCTTGTCTAAGTACTGAGTTCACGCTCCATCTCTATATTTCTATATCTATGCTTACGACACGTATTGTAGAATGACTTTTATGCTACGTCTACAATGGAGTCGTAAAGTCGTGAAGTCGTAAAGTCGTGAGCTGGGTCCTATGGCGATGCTTGTACAAAGTTCAATTAGTCGCTGGATCGGAGTGTAAACCAATCAGAGAGCAGGATATTGCCCGTACACACAGATGTCTATACTATACTAGATTGCTAACTTCGATCTTTGACCTATACAAGAGCTGTGTACCGCCTATTTTCCGGTTCAGCCATGAAGACCGCCAAAACATGGCGGCGGTGTGTGTTTGTAGTGCGTACGTGAGTATTCGATGCGTGTGTAGTAGTGCTGTACTGTAAGTATGTGATACCTGATGTGTCTACATTGATGTGTCGTATTTACTGCTATTTATATTAGTCAAACTGCAAATATATAAACGAGATAATGCCAAGTACATGTTGCATTGTTAATTGCAATAATACGAATAAAAAAGGATATTACTTATTTAAGTAAGTAGAATACATTTATATATAATAAATGTTCGAGGTTTGTAATATGTGAGGGTTATCTTGCAATTAAACATTGTTAATATTATTAATATTATGTTAATATTATTAATATTATTAATATTAGAATGTATTCACTTACAAAAACAACGAAAGATAGAAATCCTGCAAGTAACAGACACAAATTTACAAAATTAATATTATTTAATAACACATAAATTACATTTTATTCTTTATATGTATGTAAAAAATATTAATACAAATACTTTGACATATTTTGAACTGTATATATTCAATTTAATTTTAACCTTTACCAAACACTTAGATTAGCAACACCTTATTAATACACACATCTTTAAATGATATTCTTTCTTGTTCGTATTTTTGAAATTTACAATACTTATTCGGCATTATCTCGTTTGTAGATTTGCAGTTTTACTAACATAAATAGTAGTAGACACATCAAGTGTCACATACGCACAACCACGCACTACTACATACACATCGGGTATTCACATACACACTACAAACACACACCGCCGCCATGCTTGGCTGTCTTCATGGCCGAATCAGAAAATAGGCGGGACACAGCTCTTTTGAGAAGTTAGCAATCTAGTATAGTATAGACATCTGTGCCCGTACATAATACGAATGATTGATCGTGTTTATGTGTGTTATTGAAATAGAAATATAATGGAATTCCGTGCAATTTGTAGTATTTCTTTGTTATTAAATGCTTACCATTTGAATTTAATATCGATATATTTATATCTAAAACGAAAAAGACAAAGAAGATGGTGGATAAGACCTATAAATAGAAGCAGAGATTATTTAGGATATTTCAATAAATAATTCAAAGAGGCATATGAGACAGATCATGAAGAATTTTTTAGTATGACACGAATGACACCTGTCCAATATGATTATTTGCGCCATATTGTCAGACCTTTCCTTAGAAAAATGAGATATATAAAAAGATATATAAAAAGGAGATATATAAGATGATATATATATCTTATGAAAATCTGTTGATACCACAAAGCAAGGCTATTTCATGATTAAATTGTATGTTTCACAAAAATATTACTTTTAATATTCATATTGAGTTTTCTTCTTTTAACAGTACAACTGTTATATAGAGAAGAAAGTTTTGCAACTGTGTAAAAATACGTGAATCTGATTGATAGTATGCTTTTAATCTTGATTGAATTTAAAAATATATACCAATCAGATCAATTTTATAACATTTACATAACTTTCTCTGCTGATTACTGACAATATTCCATATAGAATCCAACTACACTATAACATATGCTATAATAGGACAATTATATTTTTAATATTTTCTATCAGCAATGACTATATAATTATTTACTCATGCTGAAATGATTCCAATATTTTCAACAGTTTGATAAAACATTTTATTCTTTGTTGCATAGGTACGTTTTATTCCATGTAATAAGACTGTCACCATACTTTTCTCTTCTTCTGTATCTAGCGTGGAAGTTGTACTATTCAGCAATGCTGACAAAGCTGAACAAGCTGCAGTAACAGCCTGTGATGATTCCATAATTAGAGAATTCACATCAAGACTTATATTCTTTCTTTTTCTGATATCTATTTTAGGCACTTTGAGGTTATGTTTATTTGCTGGATCAATATTCTCGTTATCTGAAATTTATTTAGAAGTGTTAAGAATGTAATTAATGATTAAGTTTTCTGTGGAAAATAGTAATTTATCAATCACTTGCCTTCAGAAATATTAATAAAATTTTTATTGCAAGTAGGCAATTTTGCAGATAATTTCTTTATCATTGATCCTTGTGATACTGATGAAATTTGTGAAGATGACTTTATCAAAAATGAATAAATAAGTGCCGTCCACAAACCGATATAATTTTCCCATGTTGTTTACATAGCGTGATATATAAAATCTTTCCTCTGATTGGTCTATTGTAGCTCAAGTCATTACAATAGTCGCTGAAATTGGATTGGAACCAACTCAAGCGACTGTGCTTGCAAGCGTTTTGCGATCGAAAATAACCTTTCAGTCGACCATTGCTACGACGGCCGTATTCTATGACTTTACGACTCTATTGTAGATGATCCTAACTTGAACGACAGCGATTACGATCTCTCAAGCGACTACCGCCACGACTCTACGACCATATTTTATGACTCTACGACCCCATTGTAGACGAGGCATAAGAAATAACGGAATAAATTCGATCGGAATCGATTCCGACGAGTTCCATAATAGGTACCCTGATCTCAATTCGTAAACACCCAAGGCTTTAAGCCAGCGGCACATGGTGTTTGTTTTCGTGCTGGATTGCTTGCTGGATGAAAATATTGCGTTCTGATTGGTACATTTCCGAAGATGGACGGAAACACCGTGTGCCACTAGCTTTATTGGATATCGTACACAGTGTGAACTATACATAACTACTACATTATCGACCTTAGTTTTTTTATCAAATTATTAAACGCTGGTAACATGCAGCTTGACGTTGAGAGAAACAAGAAGTAAGATGGTAGTTTAACTAGACTTTCTTATTTTTCTGTTTCTTTAGAGAAGTGAACATTAACTAATTAATTCAGTAAGATAATTAACTATATTTGTAATTCACCGATTATTGATACACGTAAGTAATTTTCATACAGATTTGTACAATACGCTTGCATGAATGCAATTCAATCTACTCTAACCTCAATTCATATGAAAAAAGTATTTAGTTTTGAACGTATTTAAAGTTCCTTGTGTATGTAAGAGTATGTATACAAATATTTTATCCACAATCTCGTATCTCTGAATATATTTTAATGCTTGCAATTTAATGCTTGAAAATTTATAAAGATATGTATCGTAGAATGGGTCGAAGTCGCTCGCCGTCACCAGGAAGACGAAGGGACCGCTCACGGGAACGAGATCGTGACAGAGATCGACGAAGAAGACGATCGCGAGAAAGAAGACGAAGGTATCACCTTCGGAAAAAAATAATTTCTATGTCAATTTATATTTCTAACTTATATCATACATACCAATAAAGCTTTAAATCTTTTAAATACTTGTAGATCGGTAGAACGAGATAGAGTAAAGTCGCGAGACAGAGATAGAGAACGAGAACGTGACCGAGATAGGCATAGGAGATCATACACTAGGTCCAGATCAAGGGAACGTGATCGATCAAAACATAAACCAAAACCTTCAACAAATGAACGACCAGTAATTACAGGTATCAAATGTTTAAAAAGTAAATTTCTTAAAAATACAATATTTTATATTGTTAGTGTTAATATTAATAGAATTATTAAACTATTAGTTTTACTGATAAATATGATATTGTTAAACAATAAAATCATAATCATCTGTAACATGAGAATTATAATGAAGCCATGATCAACTTTCATATTACACATTCATATTACAGAGGCAGATCTTCAAGGTAAAACACCAGAGGAGCAAGAAATGATGAGGATAATGGGATTTTGCGATTTTGACACTACTAAAGGAAAAAAAGTGGAAGGCAATGATGTAGGTGCTGTTCATGTCATTTTAAAGAGGAAATATAGGCAATACATGAACAGGAAGGGAGGATTCAACAGGCCTCTGGATTTTGTCGCATAATTTACAGTACAATCATAAACCTACAGATGTCTTATTTTGTGAGATAATGTTACAGTCAATTTATATTCTTTTAGAAGAGAGTGCAAACAAAATGTTGACTCCATGATTATTAATGTGATAATCGATGTAAGCGCAATGGACAGCCGAGAGAACATGCATTGTAAGAATAGGATATTTATATTTAATAAATATGCTAGTTTTTTATATATTAATGAGATTCGTCGTATTATCAAATTTATATAAACATTTTATTAAATAATACATAGAAACAATGAACTTACACATATATTGTGTTAAGGTAACTCGAATGAATGAAAACTTGTAATTTACAGGAACAGTATAGTTATATAATTTTTAAGTGTCTGATTTTTTACGTCGTTTTAATGGTGTCGATTCTACGGATCCACGACGATCGGTGGATGATGATGCCATAGACGTATCATTCAAGTCTGCATTAGATGTATTTGCATTGTCGCGGTGAGATTTCTGTGTATTCAACTGTTGAAATATTACACACAGAGATTAAAGTAATAATTAAAGAGATAAAAGAACAATTTATTGTGTTCTTACCACACTTATATTCATTTTTTCCAACGCTTCCGACAATTGAGTGTTTTTTATACGAAAATCTCGTGTTACACTGTGCTTTACATAAGTCTCGAGTGGTACCTAAAAATTAATAAATCTTATTCTTCCATTAATATATATTAATCTATAATGTTATAAATCTATAATGCTATAAATCTTAATGCTATAAAGTGAATGTTCCAATTTATAATAGTTGCATCAATTTTTTTAAATAAATTAGCTAATATATTCTATATTTATCTTAAATATATATACATGTCTTTGTCCTAAATTTTATATATTATCAATTATAATAAGTTTCAAATAAAATTAAAAGCCATAACAAATGCTGGAACTTCATAATTACAAGCATATTGTTGATGGCAATTTATACAGTTACTTACTATAACTTAGAAACTGATTTTATTATTTTTTTTCTACAGAATACTCACGCCTGTTTTTTTATCAAGTGATAGAATCTCCTTGTGGAATTGCTCGATTTCATATACCACACGTGGTATGATCTTGGTTTCCTTCAATATTTTGTTCCTCTGCATATGCGAATCAGCTTTTGGTTTTGCTTTTTGATTTTCCTACATATATATAATATAAGTATAAATACGTGTCCTTATTTATATGAAAAATTAAAAACAGTATCTCACATAATTACCTCAGTATGTGTTATTAAATTGTAAAACGCAGATTTCAATGGTTTTCCGGCTGATTGAATAACTTGAATAAATCTGAAATTATACAAGAAAGTATTTACACATTATAGAAAAATTCAATGAGAAGCAGATATGTATGAGAATTGCTTAGCTAATATAAATATCCTAACGCCCAGCTTGCTTCCGGAAAATTTGGTATATGAAGTTTCATTCATCATCAGATTGTTCCTTTCCCTTCTCAAATATGAAAAAGAGAAAGGAAGAGAGTGGACGAGAGAGAGAGAGAGAGCGAGAGAGAGAGAGAGGGGGAGAGAGAGAGAGAGAGAGAGAGAGAGAGAGAGAGAGAGAGAGAGAGACAGAGACAGATAGATAGATAGATAGAGAGAGAGAGAGAGAGAGAGAGAGAGAGAGGGAGAGAGAGAGACAGAGAGAGAGAGAGAACGAGAGACAGAGAGAGAGAGAGAGAGAATATTTTAATATCACTATTCTAATGTAAAATATTTAAGATTTTAAAAAATTGTTCTTACTTTACAGATTGAAATGCTGCGTTTTGTTTACTGGATTTAGCGTAAAAATATTTAGTGAGATTGCTGAGCGTGTTGTATAGATGTTGTAAATTCTTGAACATAAAGTCCATCGATGGTCCTGGTTTAACAGCAACGTTGGCTAACATATAAAGTATCTGTATGATATGCGACAACTGTCTGCACAAACTACGTTCCTGTGTTCTCAGCTTCTCTTGATCTGTTTCGTACATGTATATATATTTAAAGATTTTGCATTATTAGCGATACATATACAGGTACCAAATCGATCGATATAAGTACGAAAGTATATATACGTGATTCGAGATCCGCGCCAAATGGACAAACTATGTTTTGCTCGGATTTAAGTCGCACCAATAGCCACGACACATTCTCCAACTTCTCTTTCACTGAGTTGTTCGCCAGATTATAAAGCTGTAAAGCTGTATCTTCGTGTATTATCTTGAATTTATTCTCTGGTACCTCAGCCTGTATTATAAGTGAATATTTAACAAGTTCTTACATTTTCAATCAATGTGTTACATTGATTAAACTTTAATTAAATATTAAATTAGTTAAAGTTATAAAATATAGTGTTGTAATACGATGTATGAGACATTACATTTACACGTATTGATTACATACTTTATCAATGCTGCCCACTTTCTCGCATAGCGCATGACTAATATCAATTAATAATTCGCCATGCTCTTTATTACGCTCTTCTATCCATAGTAAGATTTGAAAAATAATCAAGGAGGCTTGAGGATCCAAACCTTCCAATTGCGTGAATTCCATCATCGATCCGAATATCTAATGCAATGATTTTAATATTCTTTAAAACCCTATTCATTTGTTCAATGAAGTATCGTTATTGATTACGAAAAATACTGACCTTATCGTCGTGCGTTTCATAAAAGTTAATTTCTTGCGTCAGTTGGCGTATAATATCTAGTAGTGTGCAAAATATCTTCTTGGAATTTTCTTCATGTTCTTCTTTCTCACTAAATAACGTTCTGAAGCTCGTTTTTAAGGTGGAAATTACGATCGCTAACTGTGGGTTAAGATTGTCCGATTGGTTTTTCTCATTAGCTAAAATATAATGTTGTATATAACATATGTATGATATATGCACCTTTCAGCATGTATATTAAGTATTATTTTGAACACTTACGGACAATTTCATCGAAAAATTGCGGTAATTCGGTAGCGAAAGTGCAAATAAGGCAACATAACTCTTTGAAGCATTCCAATGCCAGTATACTTCCTTGTTCATCCGTATCGAGAACTGTCTTCAGATCCAAAACAACATAATCGTATAGTAATCTAAATTGTAGAAAGAAAGAATTGAGGAAGTTCACAAAAAGAATGGGAATACTGTATTCTCCTACAAATATTCCTTACTTTCCGATTTCACAGTAGATCTTCATATTCTGATCTTTGTGCTTCCGTAGATTGTATTCCGTTAAAGATTTGACGTTTTGCAAGATTTGCAGTAGCGTTCGCAGTATGTAATGGTAAAAATCATGGTATTCTACTAACAAGGATACTTGATCCGCACGTGCCCAAGGAACAGATTTTCTATAATTGTGATAAATTAATTTTATATTATGATTTTACACGAAGATCTTTTTTTATATATAGCTCAAAATATTATGAAGACCGAAATAAATACTCGGCTTGCAATGCTAAATAGCTGATCTTACTGTACAATTTTAATAAATATCAATTATTGAATTATAAGATCGACTCTGTATCACTTATAAGCTAGATATTTATTTTTAGATTTTATTAGAATTTCACTTAATATTATATTGCTGTAATTCAATTTTGCAGTTGATCATCACCTGCATTGCTCATTTTCTTGTTATTACAATGTTATTATAATCGATTGTATGCTTACTATCGTTCATTACCGAAAAAGATACTTACAAGTAAAAGAGCGACAAACATTTGCATATTACTGATAGATCCAAGATGCTAGGTGGTAACTTTATATTACTCAGTCGGCCAGCTTTCTTTATTGTCGTATTATTCGGATCGTTCTGTTTCTTAGTTTTACCCTTCTTCACCTTTGATATGTACTGCAATAAAAAAAGTAGTATTTATGTCAATTATAAATATCGGAGTCGTACGATGTTAATTAATAAGTAAATACACCTATTGTAAGCTTTCTTGTGGTAAAAATCATGTGAAAGAGAAAGATATATGAGGTACAATATTATAATCTTATTAATATAATGTATATAAACATAATATACATAACGCTGGAATAGAGCAAATAAATATTATTATTAATTTATTAAAATAACATTATGAGAGAATCAAGTTATAAGATCTTAGTTAAACCATTTAAATTAAATTAAATATGGATGAATAATATACATGATTGATATAAATTATGCAACCAAAATCTTACAATTGGCTCTTATAGGTTTTTTTCTTCCTTCATTTGATAAATGATATATTTGTCACCTTTGTAAATTCCACCAAGTTCGTGTATCCCTTAAATAGACTCTTGATACTTTGTGCAGTGTCGGTGCAATTCACAGACCACGCGCCGATTCTGAAAGATATCAGAGCCTCATAAATTTTAATCGTCGTTAGAAGATTCTGCAATTTCTCTTGCGACTTAATGTTAGCACTGTTTAATTCCAAATTGTCGTCCTGCCGAGACAAAAATCCCTTATGAAAGAATTGAATATTGTTTTCGTTTTCTTACGAGTTACAAAGCATCTTTTTTTAACTTGCCAGATTCAGGTGTTCTATATCGACTCGTGGCATTCGCTTGCAGAGAGACTCCAAAATAATAGCTAGCTCATCTACGAAGGGCGACGTCAACAGAGCTGCCTTGATATATATCTTTTGCAGCCCAAAGATCAGTTCCGCCAAAGGTTCTTGCGATACAACTTGATCCCCTTGTACAGTTACACATAGGTCCAGTTTAACGGGCAGTAAAATGTTTTCGTCCTCTTCAAAGTACAATCTGAAATGCGGCAATAACATCTCTAGTATGTATTCCGCGACTTTGATGTTCTTCGACACGACGTCATATAAACCTGAATAATCATGTGAGAGAAGCTGACAGTTAGAGATTTTAATTTAGGAGTAGCGAAGCGTTTAATAATGTAATCGTATTTACATACTGTTATATAAATGTAACCGAACTTCATATTCATGAGTGAAACATTTTCTTAGAATGCCCAACAAGTCGTAACTCAAACATTTATTATATCCCGTGCTAGATCCTGTTGCTTGTGATCCTCTTTCTAATGTCACCTGAAAAAGAAAATAATTCATTATTACATAATTGTATATCGCAATAACATATAATTATTATTATGCAATAATTATCAATATTAATTATATAGTATTAACATTATAAAAACTAAAAGAAGCGTGTGCACGTAACTGACGTGTAATCGGTACCTGAGTCAAGACAGAACTCGCACCAGTAGATGATGAAGTAACGCACTGGCTAGAGTTCAATGCAGGGCCATTCAATGTATGCTTCTTCAAGTTTTTCAACATCTCCGAGAGACCGCTGACCGCCATCTGCCGCTTGAACGTATCCTTTCTGTAGAGAGTCGTCCTCAACGTTAACACTGTTTGCTCTCTGATGTCAGTCGAGGCTTTTATCAATGGAAATATCGCGGAAATAATGAAGATGGAAACCTCCCCAGGCACAAATGAAATTTGATTGAGGAGACCTATTACTGAATCTTTCTGTTCTAATATGAGAATCGGTAACTTGCGGCACATGAACGCTAAACAATCTGCGAATGAGAAAATATTTCTATTATTAATTATGTTAATTTTAATTAAATATAAATAATTAATTAAATGTATTAATTCTTTAGGTTTCGCACTGTTTTATCTTGGAAATTTTGTTATTTTAGTAAAGGATATCAAATAAGTGTAAATGGCATCTCAAGAATTCAATTTGAAAAATGATTTTAGTAAGAAATTTGGAAAGTAAAAAGATTTTATTATAAAAAACTTGAATAGAGAGATTGGTGAATGAATGGAAACAATTTCTTTCTCAAATTAAGTAAACTATTGTTAGATAGATCCAATCTCTCACGAAGATATTGTGAAAACTTACCAGTGTATTGAGAAATAAACAATCCACCTGCAATTATTTTATCGATCAACATCTGGAACACAGTTGCGACTGTTTCGTGGTGTTTCCTCATGATCCTCTGAAGTATCTTTATACCGATTTGCGTTAAAGGATGGGTGTCTGTCTTTGATTTATGCTCCGTAGCCATGAGGACAAATGTGAAATCTACGAGTCCTTTAAGTATTAAATGTCGATCCTTTTCACTGTTGAATAATTTGGTGTTAAGTTGTTTTTACAACATACTTGTACATATGTGTTGTACTTTTGACATACTCATTTATATCTATTTACCTGGTATCTATAACATTCATCATCATAGTCATTATACTACAAGAGTCAGGAATTAGTTTTCTTAACCACACACTGTTCTTCCGTTTATTATCATTTTCATTCCGCTTATTCATAATCGTATGTAACAATTCAAAAATCTGCAAGAAATCTGCATTGAATTGGTAGTATTTGAAGATAATGAGATAAAATGTATGAAAAATTAATTAAAATTTAGATATTAAAATATTAATCTCTATTGTATTTGCTGAGTAATTACTTGGTCTTCACAAATAGGAGCAACTGTGAGCAATATCGAGAACATAAAAGGCTCCATTATAGTTTCGGGAACATTTGATACATTTTTAGAGTACCGAATATAATCTCTTATATGCTGGTGATTTAACTGTGCTGCTTGGTATATATGATATAATACAGTACTCTCAACATCTTGTATCTCCTTAGCACTTACGGTATCTATGATTAAAAATCAAAACAAAGTACATCATATCTCTTCAAACTAAATCTCAAGTTTATTCTTCTTACCAATAGTCTCAAAAGTATTTATATCATCAGAATTAATTTGAGAAAAACGTGTAGTAAAATATCTACGTAATGCTTCCAATAAATGTTTGCTGTCCTGATTATTACAGAATCTTAATGCCTGATGCACAAAGGGAGGCAATTCTTCAAGAGGTATATTTTGCAGTCTTGTGCACAGTACTGTAAATACTAGGGTATGATCCTCTTTTTCTAAAGACATATCTCTGAACACAAGACAGTCAACTTGTTAATTATATCATATTTCTCTCATTTTCTCTTGATATTAGAAATAATAAAAACATTTACCTAAACATCATCGCTATTGAAGGCATGATTTCTGTATTCCATTCACTAATACATATGTTATTAATAATGAGAGATTTGTACTTAGATCCAGAAACTTCTCCATTCATATAATTAATATATTTCTCCTCTTCTAGTACTTCCAGAAGAACAGGCAATAGATCTTTCCAACTGAAATATTGAATATATAATAAAGTCAGTTTTTTAACTTTGATCACACTAAACAGATAAAATTAATTTCTTGTATACCTTCTGAACTCATCATCGTTATTACGAATACTAGTCAGACAAAATTCCACCAATCTAATCAGATGTAGTTTTGGATAATTAGGAAAATCAACTACTATTCGATTGACAATATCATTCACATGACTGATTGAGACCTTGGCTTTAGCTAGAACTTTCAATGTGGACTCTACTAATTTGAGTCTTTTCGAATATAAATTCTCAGATTCTGAACACACTTGTAAGATTTCATCTAGTAGTTTGAAAACATTTGAATCACATATCATGTTAGATATTATTTTTGCAAGCTGAAAAAGACAATTATACTTAATATTATGACATATTTTTATAAAAACTTGTGCTATATGTAATATAGTATAATATTAACTCATGTAATATAATTTTATAAGTGGAAAATACAACAGATGCAGATAATGATAAAACAATTATACCAATAATGTTCCTATTTCTCTTACCTCGTCAGTTAATGTCTCTTGTACAAATTTACGTAATTTTTCTCGATTATTTTGACCTAGCAAATTGTCGATTTTCGCGTTCATTTTTCTTTTCTTTAGTATTCACAATAAATTAATCCTGCAATATTTTACTCATATCATAGAGGCATAATCGCTCTCTCTGACGTTCAACAACTTTTCCCGCTGTTGTGAACTTTCCACTTTGTGAGACATGGTTTGTTCTTTTTAGTTGCACTACTGAACTGGTGCAATAAGTTAAAGTGAGAAAAAATATAGTTGTCTCATTCTAACTTATTGCACTAGTTTCGCAGTGCAGCTGAAAAGAACAGACCAAAAGTCAAAACAATTCAATTGTCATCCTTCTTTAAAGCCAGCGGCACACGGTGCTTGTTTTCGTGTTGGATTGCTTGCTGGATGAAAATACTGCATTCTGATTGGTACATTTCCGAAGATGAATGGAAATGCACCAATCAGAACGCAGTATTTTCATCCGGCAAGCAATCCAGCACAAAAACAATCACCGTGTGCCGCTGGCTTTATATTAGGCCTATTCGTTTTGTCTGCATTGCTGAACTGGTGCTGAGTGCATTAAGTTAAAGTGAGACAAACGTAGGTTTTCTCACTTCAACTTGTTGCACCAGTTCAGCAGTGCAAATAAAACGAACAGGCTTATTGTGTTTACTGGGATGATTCCTCCTGATGATATATATATAATTTTTACTGTGTAGTAGCTCAGATATGAACCAAACTATCACAGACGCACCTCGTTATCGAGCGACATCGACGTAGTTGACGTCTATTTTCTCAGGGGACGCGTCGAATTCATAAAAATTTCTGAACCTTCGCTGATGGCCGCTCTCAGGTTTCTTTCTGGTATTATCATAGCTTTCAATTACCTCGGTACCCCATTGCCAATACGAAAATTTACTCAGGGTTGACAGTCTTTAATATTACGTCGTCGGGGTGCTAATGTTGACACGCGACGTGTGCTACTCAATCTTCGCGTTTTCTATGGTCGTGTCAATTTTCAGAGTATTGTCCATTGATATAGGTGGATAGAGCAGACGCTGCGTCGTTTTTAGTGCTTTCATGAAGAATTATATATCCAATAGTATTAATGCAATATACTACTGAGTATTGTCGCTAATTACCATAGTAGCTGACAATAAACGGAGTTATCGTTTTGTGCATTTTAGCGCAAGTTCCTGTCGTGACTGTACACAGAATATTCGCAATCATACATGCCTCCTAATATGAACGATCATTGCCAACAACATACCTGTGAAAGAAATTTGAGCACTTTGTAATCAAATTATTCACGATAGGACCATTTTCCAAGATTCGCAGTCGCATCGGGTTAGTTGTTAAATCTCCAAGAATTTTTTGATACACTATTTGCATCTCATTAATTACTTCAGTATATATTTCAGTGTATTTTAATTTATCATAATTGATCATAATATTTAATTTATTTTAATTTATCATGATATATTTACATATTTTATTTTAAACATATACATACGTGTAAATGTATGAAAAAAATATATGATTGCTAAGCAAAGTTGGAAATTGTTAAATTAACAATAAATCACATTATCCCCAGCACACAAGAACACCAGAGCCAAATCATGGCAATGCACAGTGTACCACCAAAGCGAAAGGAAATCTACAAGTATGAGGCACCATGGCCCTTGTACAGTATGAACTGGTCAGTAAGACCTGACAAAAGGTTTCGTTTAGCATTGGGCAGCTTTGTAGAAGAATACAATAACAAGGTACAGATTGTCTCACTGGATGAAGAAACATCAGAGTTCAGTGCCAAGAGTACCTTCGATCATCCATATCCAACTACAAAGATTATGTGGATACCTGATAGTAAAGGTATATTGGTTCTTTGTTCTATGTAGGATCCATTTGATTACACAAATAGTCAAGCGAACAAACTACTTTAGGTCTATTTCCGGATCTCCTTGCTACGTCTGGTGATTATTTGAGAGTATGGCGTGCTGCAGAACCAGAGACTCGTCTAGAGTGTGTTCTGAATAACAACAAGAACTCAGATTTCTGCGCGCCACTCACGTCTTTTGATTGGAATGAAGTAGATCCGAATCTGATTGGTACCTCTAGCATAGATACGACATGTACAATCTGGGGATTAGAGACTGGTCAAGTGTTAGGCAGAGTGAACATGGTCACTGGACATGTCAAGACACAGTTGATTGCACACGATAAGGAAGTATATGATATTGCGTTCAGTCGCGCAGGTGGTGGACGCGATATGTTTGCTTCTGTCGGTGCAGACGGATCTGTGAGAATGTTCGATCTGCGGCATTTGGAGCATTCGACGATAATTTATGAAGATCCACAGCACACTCCATTGTTGCGATTAGCATGGAACAAGCAGGACCCGAATTATCTCGCTACTGTGGCAATGGATGCATGCGAAGTGATCATCCTGGATGTTCGCGTGCCGTGCACGCCGGTAGCGAGATTGAATAATCATAGGTACGTGAAAAAAATCATTGTATTAGCTCGTCCTCCTCTCACCGCTGTTTGTTTGTTTATAATCAAAATTTATGTCTTGATCTTATATTTTGATATCTTATATAATATGTATTTATTTTATACAGATAAATTCAGATTTATATCATTGTATGTAGATGTATATCATGTACAGGGTGTCCCATTTTAAATCCCCCAGACAAATATCTCGAAAAATATGGAAAATACGGAAAAATATTTCAGACAAAAGTTGGTTTTAAGGGGGACATAAAACAACTATATCAGTTTCTTTAGAAGATAACGCCACTTTCGAGATATTCACTAATCGTTACTTTTCTTAGATGGAAATCCCAAATTTTTATTATATCACCTTTTTCTATCAATTAATTGGAACAACTTTTGTCCGAAACATTTTTTTATTTGCCTAATATTTTTGAGATATTTAAGGAAAACTTGGTAACTTTTTTAATATTTAACTTACGATATCTAGCTAACTTATTGTCGAAAGAAAAAATGATACTAGACATTTTTACTCTATTTAGTCTCAAGAATATTGTTACAATAGCATCCTAATTTTTGTTATTTTAATGATTTGAAATTTCCAAAAGTCGATAAATTAACAAAAGTTAGGGCATTATTAAAAAATATATTCTTGAGATTAAATAATGTAAAAAAGTCTGGTACTATTTTTTCTTCCGACAAATAGTTAGCGAGATATCGTAAATTAAATATTGAAAAAGTTACCAAGTTTTCCTTAAATATCTCAAAAAATATTAAGTAAATAAAAAAATATTTCCGACAAAAATTATTCAAATTAATTGGTAGAAAAAGGTGGTGTAGTAAGAAATTGGGGTTACCATTTAAGAAAAGTAATGATCAATGAATATTTCAGAAATGGCGCCATCTGTAAACAAATTAATATAGTTGTTTTATGTCCCTCTTGAAACCATACAACTTTTGTTTAAAATATTTTTCCATATCTTCCATATTTTTCGAGATATTTGCCTGGGGGATTTAAAGTGGGACTGTATAAATATACAAGGTTTAATTTAGTCTTGTTCAGATTTTTATCTGAAACATTTTTTCGAATAATATATAATAAATAACCTTCAAAATAAAAGGCAGAGCAGGTGCTCTGAAACATTCTCTATAAAATAAACAATTCATGAGATATAAAGGAATGATGAAGAATCGAATAAGATATAAAGAAGAATATATTTAGAATAGGAACACATATGATTAGGATAAATACAAATCCGTATTGTCTGATTTATCAAAGAACACAAGTGCACTTGTCCCAATTTTTTTCGCAATCGCAATCGCCCGTTATTAATTAGAACATTTATCATAACAGTTCATCTTAGCAGTGTCAGATTTTTTATCTCGTTATAATATGCATCTCTGTTTGAATTTCTTAGTAATTCTCTATAACCAATCTTTTATTGTATATTACAGAGCCAGCGTCAACGGAATAGCATGGGCTCCGCATTCGTCTTGTCACATCTGTACGGCGGGCGACGATCATCAAGCTCTGATCTGGGACATACAGCAAATGCCGAGAGCCATCGAGGATCCTATACTCGCTTATACTGCGGCGGAGGGCGAGGTTAATCAGATTCAATGGGGCGCTACGCAGCCCGATTGGATAGCAATTTGTTATAACAAAGCGGCCGAGATCCTTCGAGTGTGAACGAACGATAGACATTTGTTTTTTTGTTTATTCTTCCTCCAGATATTTATTCAGACATAAAAGACTGTCTCTTTCAGACGAGTAGGTATTCCTTTATTTTTATTAAAATATGAAACACAAATCGTGCGTCGCGAAAGAATGAATAGCGATTAAGAATAATAGAAAGAGGAGAGATTTTGTATACGTTGCGTTAAGTGTGTTTGTATATATGTTTATAGAACGATACTGCATACTTAATAATACTAGATATAATCAGGGTTCCGAATACTTAAACCGCATCGGTAAGTAATCGATTGATTATTAGATATTTTGCGTGTATTTGTTAGATCATGTTATAGATATAGGCAACCAAGGGACGATTCTATGGCTATCATTAGGATAGCCTGTGACAGTGGATAATAACGGAGTAGTAGATCGTAGTGTTAGAATGTGATGTATAATTGTGAGTACCTACAATTTTTAACATAATGTACAGATTTTTTATACAGACGTAATTTTTTTATATGTAAGGAGAAAAATATATCTACACACATACACGTTCACGTTATTCATAATAAACTCATGTTTTACCGACACAAACTCTGCACCCGATCGATCACTGTCATCTTCTTGATGGACACCGGATCAATTGTTGGCAAATATATGAATTATTGATGCCATGTCCGGCATCTGTGATCTTCACATGTGTTATCATACAGGAATATAACACTGAATAATCTTTAAAAAGATTTGGATGGCGATCACTACTTATAAACAAAAAATTATTAACATGTGTTTGAAGAAATGAGCGTACTGTATTAGAATTTTATTCGTGTAAAGGCCAATAAATGTAAATAAATGTCATAATGCTATAGGGTAGGGTTAGATTGGGTTTCTTCACTCATCTTAAAGTAGGTATTTATATTGGAAGCAGCTAAATTTATTAAGTGATTTTCACGTTATATTAATGAACAATGAGTAGACTAAGACTCTTCGAAGGCTCCTTAGAATTATGTCCTTTATAACACACGTGAAGGTCAGAGAGAGAGAGAGAGAGAGAGAGAGAGAGAGAGAGAGAGAGAGAGAGAGAGAGAGAGAGAGAGAGAGAGAGAGAGAGAGAGAGAGATATCGAAGGTGGTGGAGCCAGTAATCCGCATATTTACCCATTTTGTAATTGCTACCAACGCGTCGTATTTCTCGTCAATTTGTGCGCTGTATCGCACCGACATAAAGAGAGACAAAAGACACCGTTTACCGCGCGTTAAGGACCGACACTCACAAGGGAGGTATACGATTAATAAGAGCCAAACTTACAAAAAGAATCACATACACGTGTATTGTTATACGAGATATCGTATAATTTACAGAGATGTTAAGTGAGCAGAATGCGATATTTACAGTAATGAACCGCGCGCGCGCACGTGTGTATACAAGAGTCCGTAAATTCAGTCAATTAACATGAAATGATTGCGTGTTCGTTCTTTTTCTTTTCTTTTTTCCCTTTCTGTTCTCTCCGTTTGTCCCATTCACTTCGATCTGATCTGACCGATTTTGATTGTCACGTACGTACATGGGTACATTTGTACCTGTATCTCGATCTTTAACAAAAGAAATTAGCACAGTCTTATTATATAATTCAATAAATATTAATAAATATTAATAAGAGCTTTCTTTATTGTCTCCTCTTCGATGTGTGTAGCAGACGCGATCTTTCGCAGTGCGCCTCCGCGGAAAACAATTCGTCGACATTAACGCTAACGCTCGAGAGGGATAAGAGTCGAAACAAAAATTCGGATGAGATCTCTAAAGAAAGAAGAGGAAAAGAGAATCTCTAAATATATTTTATTAAGCGAGCCGCGATCTTCTTGGTCATCCTCGATGTAAGAAAAGATTGAATTATCATCAGCGAGGAGACGCTTTGGCAAAAATCCGTGCCTTCACACGCTCGCTCGCGCGTGTACGATATTTTATACGTCTATACGTTTCTGTTCTACACGTGACTCCAATTACGCCTTCCACTTCCAGTTAAAATATTTGATCAATATAAAGGGTGGCCCACATAACTCTTAATAGCTGAATATTTCGGAAACTATTTGTCAAATCAAAAGTTGTTCATGAGAAAGTTACATGTATTCAAGAGGCCTTTCTAACTACATAATATTTCAGTATTTAACTTACGATATCTACTATCTATTAACTAACTATAACTAACTATAACTAACTATTTGTCGGAAGAAAAAGTGGTATTAGACTTTCTTACTTTATTTAGTTTGAAGAATATATTGTTATAATAACGCCCTGACTTTTGTTAACTTACTGACTTTTGGAAATTTCAAAATCATCAAATTAACAAAAATCAGGGCACTATTGAAACAATATATTCTTGAGACTAAATAAAGTAAGAAAGTCTAGTACTACTTTTTTTTCGACAAATAGTTAGCTAGATATCGTAAGTTAAATATTGAAAAAGTTATCAAGTTTTCCTCAAATATCTCAAAAAATATTAGACAAATAAAAAAATGTTTTAGACAAAATTTATTTGTTTTTTACCGTAGAACCCAACCATCTAACATTTTATAGGGGGTCCCGTTTGAAATTACGAGGTTACGCCCTGCCCCCCTTTAAGGGGGGCAGTGAGTAACTTAATATTTATGTAGTTAGAAAGGCTCCTCGAATACATAAAACTTTCTCATGAACAACTTTTTGATTTGACAAATAGTTTCCGAAATATTCAGCTGTTAAGAGTTATGTGGGCCATCCTGTATATTAATATATACGGTGAAAAAAGATGGTAGATGTGTGCCACTATTTGAATGTCGACTATAGTCAACATAACAAATATTTCTTGTCATAACGATTACATTGTTGAGTAAGAAGTTATAACATTGGTATAATGTTACAATCAGTTGATGTTTGCTAAGAGATGTGTAGATACACACAAACGGTGCTCGAACCTATGAAATACTCTAACCGAAAATAGAAGGCATTAACTATGTGTGAAGTCATGTGTACGTCAAAGGAGACACTTTCTCGTATTTCCGTCCCAAGGTGTCATCCACACGAGAAATCACTCGTCGACGAATACAAATTCATTAATCATCAATATCCATACACGATCTCAAGAAAGTCTCTCGGGAATTGCATGCGCTCCGCACAATTATTCCATAAATCATTTATACAGCACACTATCACGGAATTAAAAGCAGATCGATATATCATGAGAAAATTTGTCGATTGTTATTATCATTATTATCATTATCATCATCAGCATCATCATCATCATTATCTTCATCATCTTGGCTCGATTCTCTCCCGGATAGTGCTTTGAAAGGATACGTATCACGGCAAATATGCGCGCGATCGGCACGACGTCCCATTAACGATCACGAGCTAACGAGACAGTCGAGCGATTCTCACTGAGTAGTCGTTCTACTGAACGTTCTACTAACGAGTACTGAGTAGTCGTTCTACTTGAACATAGAACAAGCTCAGATTATTACAGTGGCCGTTCTAAAGCTGTTTAACACGCACTTGCGAGCGACCATCTCGCTCTGCGTTTTTGTTCCTTCCTCTTCCCGTTTTTTCTTTCAGCGTCTTCTCGATACGAGGAAGGATGAGGAAGGACTGCATCGCTGAAAGACTCGCATTTCGCCTAACTTGTCAAAATGCTTACTTTAATTTCACACATATATATATATATATAAAACATATAATCACATATATATATATATATATATATATATATAATGGCAGGAGAGATTATCAATATTTCTCATGTCGTACCGCGGGGAGCGTTCCGGCACATTCGGACTTCTGGCATTCGTTTATCAATATTGTATCATCGTACGAGACATGCATTTCTTGGAAATTATTACGTAAACTATGTCTACGTATACTTCGAAAACTGTTCCCGAAGCGAACGAGTATTTCGAGGGAGGATGGCTTCACGATGTATACCGATAGATCATAGACTGTTTTCTTACAGAACGCACAATTTGCTCGCTATATAATGCAGATGAAGCACCGTGCACGCCATAGTGAGCATATTACCTACGGCGATGTATACATGCACACGACGGAAGGTATGGTGAATGTTCAGATAGTGCGGACAGTGTTTCAACGGGCCGGTATTGTGACGGCCGATTTCGTTCCCGACGCCTGCCGTGCGTTCCAAATTATTTTTTAGCACGATCAGCCGCAGAAGCGGTGGTGTCAGGTAGAGTCGTATCAGCAGTTCCAAGAAAAAAGCACCTGACATACCGCCAACCTGTACGGAAAATATTATCAATCATAACTGTCAGCCTAAAGATTACCAAGTTAAAAATTAGGGGAGAATTTTATCATTAAAAGTTGCTGTAGAAATTTATAATCGAGAAATACGTCATCGTTCATCTGATCAAATGTGATTATGTAAAATTAGACATATGAATAAATAAATAAATAAATATATATATACATACAGGGTCCATTTTAAATCCCCCAGGCAAATATCTCGAAAAATATGGAAGACACGGAAAAATATTTCAGACAAAAGTTGTATGGTTTTAAGAGGGACATAAAACAACTCTATCAGTTTGTTTACAGATAACACCACTTTCGGAATATTCACTGATCGTTACTTTTCTTAAGTGGAAATCCCAATTTTTATTATATCACCTTTTCCTATCAATTAATTTGAACAACCTTTGTCTGAAACATTTTTTTATTTGCCTAATAGTTTTTGACATATTTAAGGAAAATTTGGTAATCTTTTCAATATTTAACTTACGATATCTCGCTAACTTATTGTCGAAAGAAAAAATGGTAGACTTTTTACTAGACTTTTTTACTCTATTTAGTCTCAAGAATATATTGTACAATAGTATCTTGATTTTTGTTAATTTGATGATTTTGGAATTTCCAAAAGTCGATAAGTTAACAAAAGTTAGGACACTACTGTAACAATATATTCTTGAGATCAAAAAGAGTAAAAAAATCTAGTACTATTTTTACTTCCGACAAATAGTTAGCGAGATATCGTGAGTTAAATATTGAAAAAGTTACCAAGTTTTCCTTAAATATCTCAAAAGATCTTGAAGATAATAAATAAAAATATGTCTCAGACAAAAATTATTCAAATTAATTGGTAGAAAAAGATGGTGTAGTAAGAAATTGGGGTTACCATTTAAGAAAAGTAATGATCAGTTAATATTTCGAAAATAGCGCCATCTGTAAACAAATTGATATAGTTTTTTATGTCCCACTTGAAATCGTACAACTTTTGTCTGAAACATTTTTCCGTATCTTCTATATTTTTCGAGATATTTGCCTGGGGGATTTAAAATGGGACATCCTGCATATATCATGTATGTACGAGTGAGTATATAAGTTTCATTTTTATATATTTTTACGAACCTGAATAGCGATCTCCGTGTCCCAGGTGTGCGGCGGATGATGCTTGACGAATATGAGGAGTGTAGTGAGACTTAGACACGCGTTGATCGTAAAATATCTCGGGAACAGGACGCGCTGCACCTCGCCGAATGTATGTCGTGGTAAGGCGAAGTATAAAGACAAACCTACAAATGAAACATACATTATGGAGGAAGTTAATCGGAGAATCACATTGGTGGCTAAACAATGCGACCGTTTCCCATTTACCTGATACGAAAGTCATCCAGATTTGGGCACCAAAGTGCATAACGAAAGATGCGAGGTAAATGAAGGATGTTGTTCTTGAATGAGAATAGTCGGAGGAGACTTGCACCCTTTCCTTCGTCGGAACGAGAAACGACGTAACGAACAAAACTGCGGCGATCATGATTACGTGAGCAGGTTGCGTCGTATAAAACAAGATCCTGCAACGAAATCGAATCCATATTTTAATCATCTGAATAAGCCACATCCCAAGAAATTCTTTTTTTAGATAACAGATTAAATCTTGAAATTAAAAGATTGTTATATGTATACATTCCTTTACTTTATTTAATTAATTATATAAATTTAATTAACTATACAAATTAAATTTAATTAATTATATGAATTAAATTAAATTAAATTAATTATATAATTATAAATCCTCAAATCTCTCCCAAATTTTTTTCTCAGAAGTAATTCTCCTTAGATCTCTTTCAAGTTTGTACAGTGGTACTTCGAAGATTTTCAAAATTGCAATAATTATTTCTCGGTGTATTTCGATTAGAGAAAATCTGAGAGAGGGAGAGGGAGGGAGAGAGAGAGAGAGAGAGAGAGAGAGAGAGAGAGAGAGAGAGAGCGAACTTATGGACAATATTCGTTTCACCATGTAAAAAAAATTGATGCTGTTTTGTTTTCATACTATCTCAACAGGCGATAGAACAACCTGCTCATGGTCATATTAATTTCGGCGAGAAGAAAGCATAAATATCTCCGCGAGATAAGGTAGAATTCACGACGCACATTGCCTCGATTACAATCGAGCATCCGTCTTAAATCGTTTAACAAAGCCTTGTTTCTCCTTTCTCTATGTGCATCCGGATTCCTATGATTCGAATCCAAATAACTGGAAAATTTCGAATCGGGAAGATTCGAATACAAATCAAATGCATTATCGTTTGCGTGATCAGCTACAAAACGGACCATCTGGGCCTGTATGTTTGAACCCTTAATTTGTAATTAACTTAACTTACAATTAATAACTTAATTATAAATTACTTTAAATATTTAAATATATATTTTACTACTATACTTAAGATGACATTATAATATCAATATTTCCTTTCATATTAAAATCTTCCATCATTATTGGCATGTTTAATAGTCATGTTAAATTTTTTAATGATTCGATTCGATTTCATTCGATTCGATTTGAATTCGAATGAAATTTCATAGATTCGATTCGATTCGAATTCGAATTTAAGAAATGAGATTCGATTTGATTCGATCCGAGATAAAAATTCTTGTTTCGCACATCTCTAAAATTTACTTTGACTGTCCTTATGGCATAATATTCACGAAATACAATATTGCCAGACCACGAATCGCGCTTATGTGTATGTGCACGTGTATCTTCGCAACTAGATAATTCGTTGACGAGCGCCTTGAATTACTCTCGTGGACTCACAATAGGATATCAACGATTGTCGCCAAAATTTCTTCCTCTTTCTCTTTCTGCTTCTTCTTCCGTTAAATAATACGCAAGTTGGCGGGCTCGCAGTTAGCGGCTATTTCTTTCGCGACGTGTCCTGACACACCAAAGTCAAATAAATCTACCCACACCCTGAAGATGCGCCTGGGAACGTTCCACCTCGTAGTCAATGTGAACAATCGTCCGATTAATACCAACTCAACATTAAATCCGACATTAAATCGATTCGCGCTTTTCAGGCTCTTAGTTGCCCCGCCATTAAGCGCAATTGATACGGCGGCGGGTAAAAAAAAGATATTAGCATACTTCACTTGAGATAATTTTATACGAGCGGAAGATATCGCTGCGAGTCTCGCTCGATATATTAGTATATTGTTGAAAATATAGACAAGTGAATGTGAAAATTACGCGTGTCTCTCTAGACTTTTGAACTCCGGTCCTTCCATTTAAAAGCGGGTGCTTTCATTTCCAACGAATCAAAAGGTTCTGCAGACTTGTTTCTGCCGTTTATACATACTGAAACATGCAAAAATAAAATTGTGTGCAGCATGTACACGTCGCGTATAACGATGTGCATATTACTAACGCGTACGTGATCCTCGCGAGTTCTCCGAAGTGTCTCGTAATGGTTTATGAGCGATGAGGAACGCCCGGTCAAACACCCCAACGTGCCATCCTCGTGCTTTCTCTTTTTCTCTCTTCTCTTTATTTTTCCGTAACAAAAATCGCGCGTACGATTCGGCCGATACGAGATCCTGCGAGCGCCCCGAAGGGAACCCAATGCTGGCGACCGTTTCGTCGACACGAGAGCACGCATACACGAAATTTTATCCTCTTTATTCGTATCGAAATTTTATCCTCTTTATGCCAACCGTAAGTATCGAATTTGGAGAAATTATTCGTGACTTAATACAATTGTCATCGGATATTTAACCGATTTAGCATGACGAGACGTAAAATTATCGTACTTTCTCCCCCTCTCTCTATCTCTCCCTTTCCCCTTTCTCTTTTTTCTTCTTCTCCTTTATCGGGTGGCCTTAATGCTCTGATTACGTTCTCATTAATTGCGCGTCACGTCAAATAAACAATCAGTCGCACATGTCCATGTCTTTTTGGCGGCGCGCGTGCGAGAAGGCTGTCACCTTCACGCAGTGGCTTAAAAATAAAACTTTCTCGCTGAAAAATCATTCTTTTTGAAAATCATTTTTAACAGAAAATGCTTTCGAAAGAGAAAAATAACTATTTATAAGTGATTTAATGAAACTTTTCAGGAACCCAGGGATGCTTTTGAAACATTTTTCTAAACCGTTTGCAAACAAATGTTATTCCGTTCTAACATTTTATAATGCCCGTCGAAGCTTCTTTATGCAAGATAAATTATTTATGATGTGGTTTAGATATAGCATAAAAGTTTGCACGAATTAACACGAATTATTTTTTCGGGATATTTTAATGATATATTATGAGCGTAAACCGCAAGAGTACTTTCTAGTCAAGCCCAAATGTCACTTACTATGCGATCGTCACACAGTTAAGCAGTATACCGGGTGTATCTGACCACCCATCCCGACCAGTCCATCCCGATTTTTTTGTAAACACGACATTTTAGAAAAAATATTTCAGAGAAAAGTTGTTTGGTTTCAAGAGGAATATAAAACAACTATATCAGTTTGTTTACAGATGGCGTTACTTTCGAGATATTCATTGATCATTACTTTTTATTATATCATCTTTTGCTATCAATTAATTTGAATAATTTTTGTCTGAAACATTTTTTTATTTACTTAATATTTTTTTAAATATTTAAAGAAAACTCGGTAACTTTTTCAATATTTAACTTACGATATCTCTCTAACTATTTGTCGGAAGAAAAAATAGTACTAGACTTTTTTACTCTATTTGATTTCAAGAATATATTGTTACAATAATGCCCTAACTTTTGTTAACTTATCGAATTTTGGAAATTTCAAAATCATTAAATTAACAAAAATCAGGATGCTATTGTAACAATACATAAATAGCCTTTATATTACAATTTATACCATATAATAAGAGTCATTAAACAAGTCATTAAACAGGCGAGAATTATATAATAATTGTGAGTAATAAGAAGATAATAAATAATAAACATTTATAATTATTTAACAACACTGTAAAGCTGTATTTATATCAATTTTGAAATTTGAAACTTAAAGCTAAAACTCAAAAGAAAGAAAAATATATTGTAAAGAAAAATTTATGGCCAAAAAGTATCTTAGATCATCTCGACCTCGACGTCGATGTCGGCTTCGACATCGACGAAACAATTACAAAATTTCAGGTACGCGTCACGAAATATACAAAACGTGCAAATTGTGAGCTTGCAATATTTTTAGCGTGTCATATAAGCAACTTCGCGCGCGAGGAAAGAGAGACACAAAATTTAAAAATAGCACGCATGTAAGGTTTTCTTGTTTATTTCTTTCTCGGTGAGCGAGTAAAAAAATCACTCTGCAAAGAGGCGGAACGCGTTTTATCCTTGAACTAATTTGACAAGAGTCTCTCAGCTGCCAGCTGAGAAAAATTTTTCACGGCAAGCATACGATAAGGAACATCTGCAACAACACGTGTGATTGCAAAATACATTGCGCATTATATTGTAAACGTTGTGATTATCGCGGAGTGAGTTTCCGACCGATCAATCGACAAGATCGATTGTAATGCCAGTTGTCTACAGATTAATAGATTCGTCCGCGAAATCTCCACAATCAGGATGCAATCTCTGTGACCTGTCGCAGAAGGTCGATCGCGAATCCGCTTGTTCGCGAAAGAGCTCGCGAGAGACGCGCATAAAGAAAAAACACGTTGAAAATCCCAATGAACACTTTGCGTCATCTCGCTCGCTCATCTGACCAGATAAATATTTTTATCCTTTGTACATAGATTTCACAATGCGCTATTTTTGTGCTATCCTTATAATCGCGATAAGTACATCGTAGAGATGTGTGAATCAAGAATTTTTATGTCGAATCGAATCGAATCGAATCTCATTTTTTAAATTCGAATCCGAATCGAATCGAATCTATGAAATTTCATTCGAATTCGAATCGAATCGAATGTATCGAATCGAATCGAATCATTAAAAAATTTAACATGGCTATTAACATGGCTATTAAACATGCAAATAATGATGGAAGATTTTAACATGAAAGGGAACATTGATATTGTAATATCATCTTAAAGTAAAATATATATTTAAATATTTAAAGTAATTTATAATTACGTTATTAATTATAAGTTAAGTTAATTACAGGGTTCAAACATACAGGCCCAGATGGCCCTGGTTTTGTAGCTAATGCGCGCAAACGCGATAATATTAGTTGATTCCTATTCGAATTATTCGGATTCGAATCATAGGGATTCGGATTCGAATTCGAATAGTTCGTACATCTCTAGTACATCACATACATCGCACGATGATATTTACGCGTAAGGAATGTGTTATAACGTGTGACTGAGAAATCCGAATGGCGCTCATTTCGTATACTGAGAAAAAATTGTATTAAAATTAAACAAATATTTGTTCGAATACGACTGTGAATACATTTATTTAAATTAAGCAATTATTTTCTGTAATTCAAGAAAAAAGTTTACGTTCAGAACTTCTGTATTTCATTTTCGAACTTAGTCGCTTAATTTGAATAAATGTATTCACAGTCGTATTCGAGCAAATATTTGTTTAATCTTAATATA